TGTAGATTTAGTCCATCATGTCACTGATGAATGTGTTGGCTTATGTGGGTCACAAAGAGACGTCATAGTAGATTTCAGTCTGTTTGGAAACCAGCTAAAACTCCTCACAGGACCTTATAAGATATATACAGCATTAGCCATCTAAATTTCATTCCTAATCTAAGAGACTTTGGATGGATTTTTACTCTTGTACAAAAGATTGCACACACTCAGTTTGACTTCAGAGTTATTTGGGCCAGTCAACCAGATTTACTCCCCTCCTTAGCTCAAATGTCGGTAACCACAGTCAGGACCTACTATTGAGGACACGGAGGTCATGTCCTCAGTATTTTTGTGTCAATTTATAGTCACGTTTCAAACCAGGTGACGTTCTGTAAATCAAAATGTTTGGTCTTTTTATTGTGCGATTTAAAGAGGTTTGAATGCAATGTACTTAAAAGTGGAAATATCAGATGAACCGCAATAAAGAACTGAGACTGTGTGCCTGTGTTTATTCTCAGTCCTATTTTTCTTCTTCCTGTTAAGCTAATTATGAAGAACTTTGTCATTTTGTGAAAGTATGCTATTCTTAAATATATTGCCCTTTTTAAAGGTTTGACAGGCCGAAGAAAATAATGAAGACACATCCTAATTAGAAAATTTCTGAAAAAACTGAACCAGACCAACAACCTGTCCGAATATCTAATAACGTCAGACACTCACTGCTTAAAGTCTAAGATAACATAAGATAAGATAAGATATTCCTTTATTAGTCCCACACGAGGAAATTCCAAGTTTAACTATCTACTTCTATTTAAAAAAAGATGAAAATAAAAAATAACTCAGGGATTAAACAAGGAATAAAACTTTGGTTGGCACTTGGCACATAAAATAAAAACACTTGAACACATAATAACTGAGTGGTCAAGAACTCAGTCCACCAACATGTTGACACCCTGATGAAGGCTCTGAATTTGTTAACCCATGGCAAATAGAATTTGAAAGAGATAAAACTGAACAGCTCGCTGCAATGATTAATAAATAAAACACTCAGTGCAGTGTCTCTCACAGTTCAGACTGACAGGCTACAGGCTGCAGGCTGTCTTCGGCTTCAGTCAATAACACAGAGGTGAGTTCTGGCAAGCAGACAAGGTCTCTTTAAGTGTCTGTGTCAGTTTAGTGTCAGGACAAGATGGCATTTCTGAGTCAGCACTAAACCTGAAGCTATATTAGTTCCATGCTATGAGCTGAGACCCAAGCTAAATCTGTCCGGCACTAAAATTTGAGGTGGCAATGTCAATTACAGAGTCACAGCTGCTCTGGGGCCAGAGCTTTTAAAACTGGAAATCTACATTTTCTGCTATATTCTGGCCAAAGTTCTTTCTTAGTGCTATTCAACATATTTTAGTTGGAGTGACAGAAATGCAAATCTGAGACACTCTTGAAGATTACCAAGATGTTATTTGATCCAACTTGTAACAAGAGGCCTTGTTAAAGTGATTTGGCCGAGAGGGAAACAGAAAAACCCTGGCTTAAAGGACGCGGGCATTGAATTTAATGTGGACCAGCAGCTGATACAAGACAGCTCATCTTTTATTTTTATACCTCAAATCTAATTATAATAAACGTCAGAAAGCGAGTATAGTTACTGTTGACCGCAGCGCACTACACAGAAAGGTTAGCGGCTGAAACTACTGAAGACGCTTGTAACGACTGTGAGACTGAAACTTGTTGCAGCGACTCGCAAAAATTCTTTCTAGTTCATTTTATCAGCTACTTTAATATGAAGTCATTTTTTCACTCCCTCCTTCTTTCAAACTAAAAGCTTAATGTCACAACAAGTCTCTCTTCTATTGATGGAAAATGACACACCAATGTCATGCTGTTACAAGCTGTACATTCATCACCCTGATATTTATATATGACCTCATATGTGAACTCTGCATGTTATTTATCTCAAATTAGGAAATGGAAAGATAAATACTTAACCAGAAAGACTGAAAGAGCACTGAAATCACGTCTGAATAATTCTATTTTGGTAATGAGAAGAAAGTGAGAAGATTCAGTCTGAATTATGACATGTTATCATCAAAGACCTTTACTTTAGTCTGGGGTCTCACCATCTTGCTGTTTTACATACAAATGTGATTAAACTGCTCTGTCTTTAACCTTTGACTTTTACAGTTTGGTTGGTTTCTTCAAAATAAAGAAGAAATGTTGCAAATTTTACAGAAGTCACACAAATATTGAAGGAATTACAATACCACAGTCAAAAACAGTTTAGATTTGAGCTCTTTGCAAATCTAATACAGGCACGATTTAACCTCACCAACAGGTAATAGTAAACTAGTATCATGAACATTCGAATGGCTAAAGCTCACAAGTAGGTCTGTGAAAGGTGATTATGTCATTACTGAAGGGCCCCATGCATCCCAGCATGATGTGAATTCTTAGAGTTGTTGTTGAGTTATCACACCCCTTGACTATCTCATGACTAAAAACAGCAAAAATTAACCCATGCTGATAGTTACAACGATATTTGTGTCACACTGTTGGTTTCCAATGGGCAATACTCAAGACATAATGGCATTAAAGATATGTGGTAAAAGGGAAATGAATGCAGATTTAACCAAGAGTGTTTGAGAAAGAAAAGATAGTTAAAGCTCCTGACACCCTTACCATGAAAGCTTTTATATATGCACCAAGAACTATGGAATTAGTAAATCTTTTAGCCAACGGCCTTTTTTTGGTTTTGTAGGTCATGAAGAGGCCTCTCTGTTCATTACCACCTGTTTCATTACCAGTTTAAAGAATGTACATAAAAAAGAAAGAAGGAAGGATTATGGTTCGAAAAACACAGAACAGCATCAAAAAAATCCTGAAGATGCCAATTTTGTCCCACAAATACTGTAAACCTACTATCCCATCATGTCCTAAACTCAAAGTGTTGAAGAGTCAATAATAAACTCTTCAATTTGATCCCAAGCCCTTGATCAGAGTAAATCATTAATTGTTGGACGGGCACAATGTGGTGATGGTCCTCTCTCTATCTATCTATCCAGGGTGACAGGGTGACATGGATTGGGTCCTGAGCCTCTTTGATCTCTTTATATGACTGGCATGCATGGCTGGCAACTAAACAGTCCACAAAACACATGGCAGGATGACAACATAGTGACAGCTGACTGTCTCAAAAAAAGCTGCACAGGACAGATATCAGGCTGGACCACCAAAGAGATAGAGCATAGTAAAATAAAAAATGTTAGAGCTAAAGATAATAACATGATAAAATCTTTAAAAAAAGAAAACAGAACATAAATAACCTAGTAAAATGTAGAGAAAAAAAAGATTTATTCTGCAGCTAACATTTATTTATGATAAAATGAAAAATTAATGGAGAAATAAAACATTTTTCTTTTGCAGATTCCTGATCAAATCCTTTCAGAAAGGAGCCAAAGTGGTGACTGATATACATGGGAGGTGAAGGCCCCTTTTCTAAAACTCGGAAAGAGTGGGAGTGGCTACCGGGTCCTTGGACAGAGTAAAGCAGGTGGTCATTCAAGATCCCAAAAATAAGCTCTTGACAAAACACAAGAGGAACAGCGTGTAGGGGTAAGATAAGAAAGAGAGGATGCTTAAGCTAAGAGGCTCCTTAGAGGGACGAAATACTACCAGTGTGGAGTTTTGGACAAGAAGGCAATGTTGTTCGTATAGTATTACATAACATTAGTATGTCAGCATATGAGTGTGTATGTTTACAGCATGTATAACCTCACAAATCTTCTTAGTTTCACTTCTTGACTTATACTGAGTAATATTTGGTTGCCAGTTCTTCAAATCAAGGTACGATTCCCCTGACATGTTCAAATATTAATTACTGTAGTCGACAGTAAACTATTATTACTCAACCCTCCACCCATTCTGACCACAACTTGTGTGTGACAGCTGCGCCTGTGCCAGTGGCCCTGTGAACTATCACAGCGGCTCTGGGGTGGGGGGGTTGAAATGCCAAATGCTCCTGTATCTTTTTCACTGGGCACGCCACTATATCCACTTCGGCCCATTTGAGATCCAAGTCTCAGGCATGTTTTAACTGTGAGGAGAGCTGGACAAGCTTGATGATATATTTCTACGCAGAGCAAAGCCTATCTGATTGCTGCTCGGATGTTAAACTATGCTGTGAGGAAGCCGCTGAAATGATCCAAGGGAGACAAACAAGCCGTACTGGCTAATATGACACCCCACAGAGGGAGAAGAACTTTCACAGGGGCTTATCCAATCACATATGTTTGTGTTGTGTTAATAGCTTGGGGTGCTGTTACCATCAATTCCAAGCCAACCTCTGTTTCAGTGATGACAAGTTGTTAGTACATGTTTCATCAAAAAATATGTGTGAAACCCTTTGTCATGGCGCTCTAAATCAAATGTTAGCATGTGTTTTATGAATAAATAGTGTCAGGGCTCTTTACAGTGGCACATGTACAGAAAAACAACTGAAAAATACCTTCAGAAAATGTTAAGATTACTTTGAAATTGCCTTTTAGTCATGGAGTTTTAGGGTTATCTTCCTGGGTGATAATGAGGTCATTATTACCATCATGTTTCACCCAAATAATTCTCCTCGGGGGAGCTACTACCTTGGAGTCCTGATACTTGACTTCCTGCCTGTCACTTGGAGGGTGTTAGAAATAGGAGTGGACGTCTTGGTGCGAGGGGCGGGGCCTCCCTGACGTCTGTACCCCATGTATAGTCACAGAAGTGGTCAAATGTCATGAATGAGCGAATCACAGTAGGGATCCAGAAAAAAAGACAGGTCCCGCGTTGGCAAACAGCTGCAGTTGTTTCCAAAAAAGTATTGGGTGTCCAGTAACTGCCCAGCAAAACTACATATTTGACTCACTGCAGCTAAGGCGAGCTCGCACTCCAGCTTGGCGTTCAGTGTGGATCAGACGCTCCGATCCTTTCATTCAGTTTCTTTTTGTTTTCTAGTCTGCGCGGACAGCCACCGACACTAAGCAGCCATGGATGCCATCAAGAAGAAGATGCAGATGCTCAAGCTCGACAAGGAGAACGCCTTGGACAGAGCTGAGCAGGCCGAGTCAGACAAGAAGGCAGCTGAGGACAGGAGCAAACAGGTCGGCATCCAGTGTGAAACCCACCAGTGCGCTTTTACGCACCGGTGCCAGTGACTCAATGCACCTAGCGCTGCGTGTCCAGAGTCCTGTGACAACAAAATAATATGTTTTTATTAAATATGAAGAAGATAAGATGAACTTTTTTTTTCTTTTCTTTTTTTTTTTACTTTTTGGATTTGGCAACTATAAGATCAATTGCAGCCTCATTCGTGTGTCTTGAGGATTAATTCATATTAGCTAAAGCTTCCTTAACCTGCAATATTAGAAAAGAAAATCGTATTTGTAAAAATGTAGCCTAATCAAATCTGTACTGTGTCAAGAACACCTCATTACAACTAATCATTGGAGATCTTTTCCAGGCATGAAGTGTCCTTCTTAATGTTGTACATGTGTCTACTGTGTTACTTGTCCTCTGCATGCCAGTAAATGTCCTCTTGTCTTATGTGCCCTAGCTTGAGGATGACTTGGTGGCACTGCAGAAGAAGCTGAAGGCAACTGAGGATGAGTTGGACAAGTACTCTGAAGCCCTGAAGGATGCCCAGGAGAAACTGGAGCTGGCTGAGAAGAAAGCCACAGACGTGAGTTTGGCTTAAGTTCAAGAAAGGCCCCCAGTGAGGCCCCCAGTGCCTTATGGTCTGACCTTGAAGCACCCCTTGGGTACCCTTAGGAAACTAAGATTACAAGCCCCCATGTATATTACCTCTAATGATTAAATTATGTGGTAATCAATTATGGGAGACTTAGGGGCTAAATTAGGGTGAAGAAAATATGGATGGTTAAATTTAGCTCTTGTGCTGTATATGGTAAGGTCACAGCTTACTGGCTTACCAGTGCATTCCACAGCCATTTGGACAAATCTGAGGACCAGTGTAGAGTTTCAGTGGGGCATTTTACAAGCATATTTTGGCCTGTTGAATCCTTGATAGATTTGTAGCTGTACTGGCTTCAGTTGGCATTCCTCAGTTATGTCCAGCCCTGATTGAATTTCCATTTTATTTATTGGGTTATTGTTATAAACACCAAAACAGCTGCTAGTATTTTGACATAATTTTAAAAATAAGATAAAATCTTAATTCATTTAATGATAAAAAAGTTTTAATGATTTATTTGCAAATCAAGGGATTCGATGCACAACAGACAAAAGAACTGGATTATTCCAAAGGCTAGAATGTCAATACATCATAAATTTATACATAAATAACAGTTCACACAAATACACAACTTAACATAGTATAATAGTAGTGAAATGCTCCTGTCACCTGCCCAGTCAAGGAAATATCAAAAGTACTGAAACTCTGAAGGGTTAGGTAAAATTTCAATTGTGAAATTTAAAGTAATAAAACGAGGTGAAGTAAGTACAACGTAGCCCTTTAATGCCTGACACCACAAATTATGGCCAGAAAATCCTAATTTTGGGGGGGCTGAAATGTTTATTTCACTTACTACTGAAAAACAAAAAAAATCATAGTGGCCATAAAATTGAACAAATATATTTATTTATCTCGCTTGATACATTAGATGTTTTGGAAAGTGATTAACTATAATAGGACATTTTTATCATCTATCAGACTGTATTCAGATGTTTTTTTAGTAATTTGTTGATCATATTGATTTGATAGAAGTATAAAAAAGTATGTATCAAAAAAAATCTGGATTATTCCAAAGGCTGGAACATCAACACATCATAAGTTTACACATAAATAACATTTAACACACATACACAACTTTACATAGTATAATAGCAGTGAAATGCTTTTGTCATCTGCCCAGTCAATATCAAAAATACAGAAACTCTGAAGGGTTAGGTAACATTTTAATTCTGAAATTTTAAGTAGAAAAAGAAGAAGGTGAGGTAAGTATCACTTACTGTGAGTCCTTAATACTTTGTTATGCCACTAGCCTATAAAACAGATAAAAAGGGGGACTTGGTTGAAGTGAACTGCTCAGTGAATTTCTAAATTTGTACAGGAAATCTCCAAAAACGCAGTGCTGGTAAATTGTAAGAGAAACAAACAAAAAGTTATTACACTTGAAGCTGGAAAAAAGTCAAGAGGATTACACTCGCCAACGTAAACTAATACACTATGTGTACATGAATACTAACATGTTTCTGCTGCTTTAGCTCCTGACTGACTCAGCGCCTGAAGTCTGGTCTGTGATTTATAGGGTTGGCTCAATTTACCAGTAGGGGATGCGCTCAAAAACGGTTCATTGATAAAGTAGTATAACAACTGACAAAAACTACAATATATGATAGAGAATTAATTTAAGAGACAAGAAAAATAACCACACAATTTATATGTATTTTTAAATGACTCGATAAATTAAATTACTTGCGTGTTAGCTCAGGTACTTCCGGGTTTGGTGGCACGTCCCAATCCTCATCAGCGCTTGATTAAGGGTGGTGGGGGCAGGGATCAAACGCACCGCATCTCCAAGTGTGTGCATGTGTGTGTGTGTGTGTGTGTCTGCGGAGAGGGCAGCCTGCACAGAGCTGGAGGAAGAAACTAGCTTAGCTGAAACAATAAAGCGCTAAAAATGGCCGGTGGGAGCTCCCTGGAAGCTGTGAAGAAGAAAATCAAGTCGCTGCAGGAGCAGGCCGATGTTGCGGAGGACCGGGCGGCGTTACTCCAGCGGGAACTGAACCAGGAGAGGAGCGCGAGGGAAGCCGTAAGCCGCTGCTAATTATTTAAGGCAATTAGTGCCCAGACTGTCGACGGTATTAGGCGCAAATCTGGTCAAAAAGCGTGTCTGTTAGGCCTAGACAGAGATGGTTTATGGCATAATACAGTCAAGTTGTAGGTAGACGTCTGTGAAATTAGCCCACTGCAGGATGGGACTGAACGGTTAATGAATGGATGAATGGATGAAAGGACACCACCCGGCACGTCCAGAATAAACAAACAGCCAAGTAACAAGTCAGGCTAACACTGCAGCAGCAGCACCATAGGACCCGTGAGGAAACTCCTGCTTGCTGATAGCACTCAAAACCTGCCTAAATAGTTGAGTAGCCACGTTGGAGCTAATGTATCAGAGACAACTAAGTAGCCGTGAGTCAGGAAATAGGAGGACTGAGTGAAAAAATAGGGGGAAATGTGAGTGAATCGGTGCAGCATCGTCTTTCTACTATACCATACATAAATAAGACTTGAACAAATCTTGATAGGTGAAATCCTACATCCTTGAGCTTGCACATAAGATGTGTGTATCAGAGCTTGCATCCCTCCTTAGGGCGTGTTCCTGACCAAGCCCAGGCTCTCCTTGCAAAGCATGGGATGGGTCCTGATGCACAGTTCATGGTCTAAGTTCCTTGATCTAGAGTTTGTTCAATTCTTTATGATTGTTGTTTTGTGTCCCCCTAGGCTGAGGGTGATGTAGCTTCCCTGAACAGACGTATCCAGCTGGTTGAGGAGGAGTTGGACCGTGCTCAGGAGCGTCTGGCCACAGCCCTGACCAAGCTGGAGGAGGCTGAGAAGGCTGCTGATGAGAGTGAGAGGTGGGTATCCTGTACTCAAGGAAAACAGACTCGACTCTCCCAGTAAAACCTACAAAGGATATCAGCTTTGTATATTGGTTTCCCATCACCTCTTCATGTTATTTTGGTGGAAAATTTGATGAAAAATGGGGCGGTAGCAGGGTAAGATTTTTCTTCCAAGTTAAAAAAAAAACAGCAAATGATAGTGTCCCATGATGTCTCAACTTTCCAGAGTGTGGTGGTTATTCTGGCATCCACTAACTTGAGGGCAAAAGGCAAATTGAAACTACTTGAATGCTCATACTTGTAGCATTTGATGGGAACTTAAAAATATGTCTTTTGGTAACTGAATTAAACAGCACACTCACCACCCTATATTTTAGTTTACATAGTTTTTAAACACAGAAAAGTCTCTATTTTTATATAAGACTGATATCTTCTCAGTTGCCTATAGGTAAATGATAAAACCTTAAACCTGTTGTTTATGTTGTCCTTGGCGCTTACCCTGCTTCCATACAATTTTCTGTCCCTCAGAGGCATGAAGGTTATTGAGAACAGGGCGATGAAGGATGAGGAGAAGATGGAGCTGCAGGAGATCCAGTTGAAGGAAGCCAAACACATTGCAGAGGAGGCTGACCGCAAATACGAGGAGGCGAGTTTCTCAGCTGTTCACAGCTCTCTGCGGCTTTCCCAGCTGTTGCATTCCCACTTTCTTTTACTTTGATGCATTAGCTGACTCTGATGATCACCTCCTGTTTGATCAGTGAGACTAAACTCTGTATGTTGTGACTGCAGGTGGCCCGTAAGCTGGTCATCATTGAGAGCGACTTGGAACGTACAGAAGAGCGTGCTGAGCTGTCTGAGAGGTAACGACCACTTTTCCTTTCCCTCCCCTTCTAACTTTGTTCCAAGTTCAAACTGAAAACAAACTCTCTGAATAATTGGATTGTTTTTTTGTGGTTGTCTGTCGTATCTTTTGCCATAAAACAACAGCAAGTGCTCAGAGCTTGAGGAGGAGCTGAAAACCGTACAGAACAACCTGAAGTCCCTGGAGGCTCAGGCAGAGAAGGTAAGACCACCTCAGATATATAAACAGTGAAGTATCCATAGCATTGGTCTTTTAAGATCTATTTAAATTGTCTTGTGTACCGTATTGTCTTGTATGTATCTTTTAACTCTGACCTTTGTATGCAACCACAGTACTCACAGAAGGAGGACAAGTACGAGGAGGAGATCAAGGTTCTCACAGACAAGCTGAAGGAGGTGGGTCTGCTGAAATCTCAAACATTTTGCTTGTCCATCCTCTGATTTGTTTAATTGGGTGATATACATGCTGACTCATCAGTTCCTAGAATGCTGATATGATGTTTTTCTCCATTAGCAGTAATGCTTAGTTTTCTTTTCGAAGCACTAAAAGCTTTAAGTGTCCCACTGGGCCACGGTTAGTAATGTAAACCTTTTAATATGTGTTGCTAATGTTTAACTGTATTCCCCCCTCAGGCTGAGACTCGTGCTGAGTTTGCTGAGAGATCAGTCGCCAAGCTGGAGAAGACCATTGATGACCTTGAGGGTATGAATCTTTTCCGCTTGATTTTTAGACTCTGGCTGAAGTTATTTTCGTATTTTCCACAAAATTTGCAGCTATTTGTTCAGTCAACACAGGGAAAGTAGCATTTCTTTTCATAGTTTCTTTATAGTTTCTCTCTGGGTTTCTCTACGTTCTCATAAGAGTCAGAAATGTACCTCTTCTGTAAAAATAGGTGCAGTGTGAGGTTACTTTTCTGGACGGCAAGGTGTTAAGTTGTTCTCAGGACAAATATCTGCCCCGTCAGTCGTCTATAGGTGGGAAAAAATAAAGCTGTGATCCACAGAGGTTGGCGTGATATTACTCATGTTGGCAGCAACATTTCTCACCACTGTGGCGTTTGGCATTCTACTGTAAGTGACCGTTCAAGGCCAGCAAGTCCCAAGCAGTGCTGGTGGGTCACGGAACATGTGAGGCAGTTTCTCAGTGACTCCTCAGGAATCTGACACAACATCAGCAGCTGTTCCCTGGCACTTCCTATTTCTGTCCTGCCTTTTTTTTCAGTTTCTCCACTTCGCTTCTGTTCTCTGACCCTGTCTCGTTTCTGTTGTCTTCTTATTTTATGTCAAACCCTCCACTTCACCGTAATTATCACACAATAGATGAGCTGTATGCCCAGAAACTGAAGTACAAGGCCATCAGCGAGGAGCTGGACCACGCCCTCAACGACATGACCTCCATGTAATTCTCCCCGTGCTTGTTCATGCCCTCTGCCTTAGATCCCCAAACTCCCTTTTAACCATTGTTACAACTCCCAACAGCTCCCTCTTGTGGCATGTTTGAGTGCAGTGAAGTTGACTCAGTTTAATTCTAGATGAGGATTTTTTTTTAAAGATCCTGCTCTAACATTGAGTCTAACATTGAGGTGTTTTGTGTGTGTGTGTGTGTGTGTGTGTGTGTGTGTGTGTGTGTGTGTGTGTGTGTGTGTGTGTGTGTGTGTGTGTGTGTGTGTGTGTGTGTGTGTGACAACTTTCCAAGGCTAGAACCTCCTACATATTGACAAATTGATTACTAACAGCATTCAGTAGTCGTGTTTGTTTATCCTCAGATTCTCCCAGAACTCATTGCTTCATAAGTTTAACTTAAACTTCTCTTGTTCAGTTCTGCATCCCCTTTTCCTTCATCTTTTTATTTTTGCATGTTATTTGTCTACAATTCTTTTATTTTCATCTTCCAACACTTTTGTTCTTCTGCTTTCTCCCCCACAGCTAAATGTTTTCACTCTTCACCTCAGAAGCTGGTTGAGTGTCATCTCTCTCTCCTGTGCAGCACAGCCCAACTTTCTGTCTCCTCTGTCTCTCTCTGTGTTTCTTTACTTCTGCACATTGGGCCGTGGCTGCTGCCATTCATTTCTTCATCTCCTACACAGACCTTTGAGCCATTTTGCTTTCTGTAAAATAAACATTCTACCATCTACGACAGCCCGTCCCCCTTTTTCCTGACATGTTTCTTTATTTTTGTTTGTCCTTTCTTTCATTTTGTGACTTTTTTTTTCTCTTTGTGTTTAACATGCTCAATTTGTTTTGTTGAGTAGCTTTTGAATAAACTCCAAAGCTCCTCGTTCATTCACTCCTTCTGTTTCTATTTGAGAGGACAGTTATTTGTTACTGGTATCACTTAGCTTTCATTAATGCTTGTAGTAGAAACAGTCTTAAAGTTTCTTCTCTTGTAGGATTTTGGGAGATTGTAGTTTCTGAAAATGACTTCTTTGTTTTTACCACATTAGTTCTGCTAATTGTAAACTATATTAATATCTTCAGCTTACTTCTGTAGCAAAAACAAATCGACTGCATCATGAGGACTTTAAAATACTGACTCAAAGTTACAAATAGTTATTTTGTTTTAAAGGAAGTTATTTCATGATATACCTCCAGGTTGATATGATCAAAAGGGCTTCTTGTTTCTCTGTAGTTAAAAAAAATAGTCCAATAAAAATTGTTGTTGCCCCAGGTAACAAGGACAACATTTTAACTTTTAGTTCAAAACACATCAAGTAATTTTTTGCCTTTTTGTGGATTTGTTAATCAAACCTTAATGCTCCTGTGAGGAACTTTTGGTTTGTGTCCATTTTGGCACAACCCTATGGACAAAGCAGTCTTTGCTTAGCTTGTCCTCTACATGCTTTGGTAGTGTATTTTAACAAAAAAAAAAACAACCTCACCCAGCTGACTTGACAGCCCAGTGTATCCTTCTGTGTAAAAACTGTATGTGGTCATTTGAAAAACACGGCTGTTTCTTCAGCTGCTCGGCTGAAACTGCCCCCTCATTGACTTTAGCCAAATTAGGATATAAAACTGTCAGTGTCGTTGCTAATGGTGTTGTTTGCTTTTGGATATTTTGAAAAGGCATCAATATGAATTTTCATTTGTTTACATCATTTACACCACTGTTTACATGTTAACATCAAAAAATCCTCATAAGAGCCTTTGAGGTAAACTGATTCAGAATAGTTTGAAAGGTCTTCTCTTGTATGTTGATCAGGTGGGTTGTATTTCCTGCAGCCTAAATACAAAAAGCACTTGTTTGTTGAGCTCCCAGTCCTTACTAACCCTGTATCTTTTTTACTAACCTGCCTTCTTTCTATTTCCTCTTTTCTCTTACCTGCTTTCTGACTGTCAAGACCATCTATACAAGCAGCTTGAGAAAAACCGTCTCCTCTCCAATGAACTGAGAGTTGCCTTAAATGAGGCTTAAGCTGGGGAAATCCTCGTATGCTTTCATTCTTCTGAAACTCAAACGTGTGGGCATATTGTCTAATGCTGTGATAGAACAAAGTTTAGACAACTGTGTCTATGACACACAACTTAAGTGGAGAAATACTTTCGACAAACAGGAGTACTTACGCAAGATTCTCACATATTGCATGATCATGCACAGTTTTAGACGGGAGGTCAGAAAAACCTCAGAATATGAACATCATATAAATGACCTTGAACTATATTTTCCAGTTATGGACAGGGCTGTAGCACATGAGACCAGCTGAAATCTGTATGGTGCTGTTACTCTAAGGATGAAGGCTGGTGACGGTGCTAGCGGTCCCCTCTGCAAACTCAGGCAGGATCAATCATGGATAAACTGAATATTAAGAGATGGAGCTGCAGAAAACCAAACTGCTTTTAATTTTAGTTGAAGTGAAGATTTGAATTTCCCTGTCTCTTATTTTTCTTTGACTTTAAATTCTGTCATGTAGCATTTTAGCCAGGACACATCAGTGTTTAAATTTTTCTGTGCAATATATTTTTGATTTGAGAGCTATAGTTTTTAACCCAGTGCGGAGGCATCAAAAAGTGAGACTGTCCTTGAGTTCTCAGTTTGAAAGAGTTACAAAAGTTACCCTCAAGTTACTGAAATTTAATCAGCAACTCTGGAAGTGTGGGTGTACTTAGTTGTGTATCAGTGGGGAGCCAGTGCGTATTGCTGGTGAATGTGTAGCATTAAATGTCTTAAATGGGCTAAGCAGCTGATGGAGAACAATTTGTTTTTAATCCTATTTGACCAACAGAATTTAAGATGGAAATGACCATCTGAAGCCCTGTGGTGCTCAATGCTTGAAATCGGTCAGTAAATACTGCATTAGTCTAAACTCAGAGGGGAGTACACCAAAATGGTAAACTTAAGAGTGAAAGTTCAATTCAACGATGTAAACACTGTAACAACTGTAAACAAAGGACGAGAGTGTCCAAATCATGAAGAAGACACTTTTGTATTGTTATTAGTGTCGCTCTCAGTTGCTTTTTTGCAGTGCTCCTGATTAACCAAAAAGCTTTGACAGTGTGTGCTGACAAAACTAAAATCTGCTGACAAACTGCAGAGGGGTTAACAAAAGCCACTCTTTTGCCTTCAGACCAGCTGATGCAGCCTTGGCTACAGCCCTGTTGATAGCTTGACTAGTCTATTTATATGTAAGGAGTTTTGAAGTTGAATTCCTGTTCTGCTTTATGAACCCTGACTTAACTCATATGGGTTTAACAATATCCAGCACTTGTCAAACACTGTAATCTCGAGCTTACAGCTTTATCTGTTTGTCTTCACGTTAGGGTTTGATGATGTTTAACCCATGCAATGCTATATCAACAGATAAACTGACACGTGCTAAAGAAGAGGGCCTGAGCATAAAGCAGATGCTGGATCAGACTCTAATGGAGATGGTTAACATTTGATCCAGCTCTGCTCCCCTCCCCACATTGCCTCCTTTGCTCTGAATGTGGCTGGCTCCCTTATATGGCTGCTAGAGTGATGTTGAGCCATGTCCTCCCACCTTGTCATCCTGAAGAAACAAGCCGATACAAGATAGCACGGGCTGCTTCAGTGAGATAAACTCCACTACACTGTCTGATTAACACTGTTAATGATGTTCAGCTTCACTTGATTATACATCTTTGATAGGTTTTCCTAAATATGTTGGGGGAATTTGCACTTATTTTGGGAGGGGGGATGCACATAATGTGAACAAAGCCATAAGTAAAGCCAATGTTATATAAAAGGGACTTTTATTATTTACTCATGATTATGTACTTTTGTAAAGTTGTCTGTTCTCTGCATTGTAAACATTTATTCTTGTCAGTGATGTTGTAAACTTTCTGTTTAGCAAGAATGGAGGTTAGTGCATTTGCTTGAATGTGCTGTTTATTTCAGCCAAGTGAAAAATGTTTGTGCACTGTACTCACTTCTCTGTTCATTTTGGGGAACCTTTTTTTGTTGAATTTTGTGTCTTCCATTTTATCCTGGAAATGTTAAGATCATGAATAAATGTTTGATTCAATTCAACTTTCTCTGGTTTAAGACAAATTTTTCTTTGGTAAAAATTGGGACTGTCAAGAAGGGAAAAAGGAGGACGAGTGATATGGCTTTTAGTGTTGTGTCGTTCGCGAACGATTCGTTCAAAAGAACCAAGTCTTTTAAGTGAACGTACTGAACCGAATCACTTCCCTGTGTGATTCGTTCGTTTCTCACTTGAGTTGAGCTGAAGTGAGAAATGGCACTGCCAGGCCAGCAGCCAGGGAACAAGGGACCACATGCACCTGAATCACTTGGTGAACAAATCATGCATTGAACTACACTCTGGAATCATTTTCGTCGGAGAAAACTATCTTTTTTTCACTGCTAAATTGCCACCACAACAACTTGCATACACTAGGACACAGCATGTAACAAGTATTAAACCTGCAGCATCCTATCATGGCAACAGTTTGCGAGGGAATGGTGCATTTTCAGTGTGAATTCTTTTAAACGTTCAGTGAGCGAATCACTCACTGACCCCAATTTACCAAGCAGACCTGATAAATAGCATACCATAGGACAGTACACTATGAACATCATGACTTATAAACAAGTTCATTTTTACAAACCTGTTTGTCAAAGCAACACAGCCAAATACTTTCATCTCCCGGTCCCAGAAGCTTGAATTGAACTGAATCCTGAAACGTTCAGCTGTGCATCAGTTCAGGAGGTCAGAGTTGCAGGCTTTTCACGCCAAGCGCAGAATGATTCTGTAATTTTGTGAACGAATCTTTCTGGTGAACTAATTCTAGAGAATCAGTACATCTGAAAGAACTGCTGTGCCCATCACTAATGGCTTTTACTGTGGCTGTGTCCTTATATGGAAGTTTCACTAACAACATTTAATTCGAGGTGGTGTACAGTCTGTCTCTTTTTTTTAACGCAAATTGATGAATTGTATAACAACAAATCTTACTCTTAATAAATCCACAAAAGTTAAAATATTAATTCACATCCCTGTGGCCTGTTGACAGTTCGCTCAAATAGTAAACGTCTGACTTTTTAAATAGCTTACTTGAAATTTTATTTTGAAAGTCTTGTAGTGCTGGAATATCATTTTTTTACACACTTTCTTTCTACACACACACAAAGGAGGAACTCGGGAAAGTTTAATTTTTATCCTTTAAGTTTTTTACTTTTATAACTACCAGTCTAAACAAACACGATCCCCAAACTTAACCAATTCTGCCTCCACATACCGTACTGTATTTAGGAAACTTAGAGCTGCCACAACTCCGCCTCGCCGTAGGGGGCAGTGTGCTTCCTCCTCACACCCCTGCAGCGGTGACGGAAGAGCAGGGGTGAAAGTTCGTAGTTGTGCAGCGGTGCTGGGGAGCTCACGTCTTGAGAGGGAAAGATGGATGAAAACGAAGATTTCGCTCTTTCTTTACAAGATAGCAAGGCTGCGTACGTGCTCAGCAACGTTGCCGAAGTAGTTGAGCGAATTCTGACTTTCGTACCGACTAAATCACTTCTTCGGATCGCAAGGTAAAGAAACTGTTTGTATGCTAAAGAGTCAGTTAGCTAATGCTAACTGTTTCACGGAAGTGAAAGTGTTTGACAGAGAAGTAGGAACGAGTTAAAGGCTCATGAAGCAACCAAGACTGCCAGTTTAGAGTTGTTGTCATTGTTGTATCTGTTTGAAGTGACTATTCCTATTTTGGACAGAGTTCAACAGCTAGCTCATCGTTAACTCAGGTTCTTCCACCAAGCTGACAGGTAGTGTTGAGCCTCTCTGTGTGTGTGTGTTTGTTTTGCTCCTCAGCGTGTGCAGGCTGTGGAGAAACTGTGCCCGCAGAGTCCTGAGGACACAGCAGCACCTGGCCTGGGTGTCCGCATGTGGACCGTCTGACACTGAGGCCCACGCACTCTGCAGCGTGTTGACTGAGGAGGTGGAGGTAAAACATCAGTCATTTTTCACCTAACTCTCAAATAAATAACAGTTCAGTAAAAACAACAGCCCCAAAATCACACCAACAGATCAATAATTTGATATATCACCCATTATTATTGTGTAAAACTAGATATTAATTTGTTTATAATGTTGTACTTCTCCAGTTCACATTTTTTTTAAGTATTAAAATGTCAGCTGTTTAAATGATTAAGTTCAAAACTGGAAAGTTTAAAGGGATATTCTGGTGTAAAATTAAGTTAGAGTCAAACACACCGCAACACCAAGTTAGACATCCTTCGAGAGATGAATGTTGCCGATCGCTTGCTTCTCCAGTTATACCAACTTTAGTAACGACCGCATGATAGCAATACACAGTGGTCTATGTCTCCACGTGCAAACCTCAACCAAAACGCCACTCTATTGCCACAAATAGTGCTCAGAACAGCACCTAACTTTATCAACAGTACACATAGGGTCCCAGCCATCAGGTCCCAAACATCTTTTTAGCTTTGCCTGATTTCTTGAGCAAAGAGACTAAATACAACTCACCTACCGTATTTTTTGCACTATAAGGCGCATTTAAAATCCTTTTGGCTTGTCGGAGGACTGTGGCTACGGTAGCCTCGTGGAGTTATTGAATGAGTTAAATAAAGTTGGACTTATCTGACTCTTTTGTTTGGCTCAATGTGCTTTGTAATCCGGTGCGCTTTATAATCTGGTGGGTTTTGTATGCAAATAGATGCGAATAGAAGTGTTCGTTGATGGTGTGCCTTATAATCAAGTGCGCCTTATAGTGCAAAAATACAGTACTCTCATCCAGCAGCCGCTTGTTTTAGCGAGACCTCGGGCCAGTCCATTACAGACTACAGCGGGGTGACGCAGCTCAAGGAAGAACATTTATGATCATTTCTTCATGGAAATGCAGTCAGACCCAGACAGAAGAACTACCATGTCTGCAGTGCACAATAATTAATATGGTGATTATTATTATTTAAGAAAACGTAATTATCATAAATGTTTTTCCTTGAGCTGCGTCACCCCACAGCAGTCCGTAATGGACTGGCCTGAGGTCTCGCTACAATCAAGCGGATGCTGGAAGAGAGTAGGTGAGTTTTGTTTAGTCTCTTTGCTAAAGAAATTAGGCAAAGTTAAAAAGATGTTTGATGGCTAGTGCTGTGGCTGGGACCCTATATGTACTGTTGATGAAGTTAGGTGCTGTTCTGAGCATTATTTGTGGCTATAGAGTGGCGTTTTGGTTGAGCCCCTGGCTCTCTGTATTGCTATCTGCGGTCGTTAGATCTGTTGATTGTTTTAGTTTTATTTTGAATCATGATGTACTCGTGTCCTTTGTAATATGCAGCACATAAACATAGTGAAATCCCATAATAGTAATGATAATGATAATACAAGATTACATGGATAAAAGTGGAAGATATTTTTAAAGATTTTTTGAAATATTAAGGAGTGAATGTCTGTGGGATTAAAACTCACAAAAATGATCAGTATTCAAGATAATGTGTTAGTAGCTTTCTTTTTTTTTAATCAAATCACTCATCATTTAATATTTGTTTTTAAGTACCTCACCATTTGTATTAATACTGTTTTAACATGTAGCCTTTGTATGTCATTGTTTTCAGAAAGTGTTTCTCCTACCTAAAACAGTTCTGGCAATGGTGGACTGTGAGGCATTTAATGGACAAACTTACTGCTACCGACAGAATAAAGGTAAGTGTAAAATGAAATGACACATGACAGCCGATTTTCATTAAATTGTATCCTGAACTATATGCTTGTACTTTATCCTTGGTTTGGTGCTTGATTGTTTAAACGTTTTTTTCATTTTCAGTGTTTGCCACATATTGTATATATCTGTGAAAACATAACATACATTAGCTGCTAAGGCTTTTGTCACTTTGATTTTTGTCAAGGGAATGTCTCTCTTGTGGATATGGACCTGCCGGACCTTTTCATATGACATACTTTTGTTTTACTCCTGAAGCCCATCTTGTCCAGGACTCGATGATGGAAGAGAAATTTGGCTCAAGGGGACCCTTCTGGTCAAGTGACAGATGAATAGATAGGAGAAGTTTGGATTGGTGTTTGACACATACTATACTACTACAATGTTATTTCTTATCAAAAATCGCATTAAAACAATTCCCTATCTCCTCTTTTACCCCCTTTTTGAATTTATTCTTGCACTTTTTATGTCTTTATTCAAGAGGACAGTACAGTGGATGGAGAAGAAAAATTAAGGGAGGGTGTGGGAAGTGAGATGCAGGAAAAGGGCAGCAGGTCTGGACTGAACCTGGACTTCCTGTCTGGAAGCCTCTGTTTATGGGATTTGTACCTCATTCTCTCTCTCTTTAACCTTATTTTTTTTTCTTGACTATTCTAAAGCAAAAAAGAGTCGGCACAGTCTGGATACAGTTGAAGAACTAAACCTGGTCTTTCCCAAAGGCTGTGACATCATCGGCATTGCTACACCAGGCATAGTCTGTAAGTGTTTCTCTTTTCTGTCCCTTACTTTTACTTATGTGGAGGATTATTTATTTCCCATCTCTACTCTAATAAAACTACGCTCAGCCGTATGAATAGCAGGCATCTCATTCAATATTAATGCGACAAAATATCACTTAAATTATCTTCAAAGCTTTGATTATCAAACCTCGCCACAGCAAGTCCATTCACTGTAATTTTTGTAGATACAGTGAAAGCGAACCGGGAGTCATGTTTATATCTAAGATGAATTGTTCACATTTGATCAGGGAGGACTACACATTAATCCCCCCCTGCTGCTGCCTAGTTGAACAGCACAAGTGGAGGCTGGCACCTCCCTGCCTCCCCCCCTCTGATAGATTGCCCAGTCTGCCTGCTGCTGTGCTCCTCATTTCTCCACATAATCACAAGCCTGCGGAGAAGTGACTCTCCATCAGCCACGTTCTCTTTCCGCTAGATGATGGCTTATCAGGCTTCTGTCGTCTATCAGCTGTAGTGGCAGCCTCAGATGTTTGTGATAACTCTCATTTTGTGATATTGCAGCAGAGGGTCACCACAGGGTCAGTGTGCACATCTTAATCCAAATGGATGAAATGTTTGATTAGATGAGGTTGGACCTATGGATTACATGTAATAGACCTGCCATAGAGCTCACAGTACCACTAATTATTTATGTATGGTTGTGCTTGGGCCATATGGCAGTGAAAAGATCAACTGCGCTTCACTCGAGCATTGTATTCATTTTTAAAACCATGGAGGATGTGGATTGATTAGAATCTAATGCGTATTTTTGACTTACTTTTAAACACAGGGAATGATGTCATAATGTACAAACTCAGTTACACATCAAGGACACAGCACTGCATGAACTTAAATCTAACTCCTGGTGCCTTGTGTATCTCACTGGCATTGTTGCTCATCCGTCTGATAAACTCTTGTAGTTGTATTCCACTCAAAGTCTCGCCTGCTGTTGTTTTTCCTTGAAATCCTCTTGAATATTGTTCGGGGATCATTAGTGACTTTATAATATTGATCACTTTTCTTTTGTTGAATCTTTTGTCTGTGGCTATTAACACGGTGATACCTTTGAAAAATGGTTCCTGGTCCACCAAACATCAGTGCCTGGAGTTGCAGTTCCTCAAATGCCCACTAGATGCTCACTTCACCAAACTGAATGTACTAATTTAAAAAAGTAGTACCTCTCCTCAGGACAAAGTCATAAGTTATGTCAAAGAAAAGCTACTAATATTTATTGAGGGAGATTTTCAAGCTGTAAGGACATGTCTAAAACTAATTCCTTCTATTCTATGTGCGTGTACAGGATGACAGACAATAAAAATGTCCTGTCAATTCTAAGTTGTCACACTCAGCAGCAGTTCAATTACTTTTTCCATCCTTGGGCTGTAATCTAATGGCTGTGAAATGGCAGCAGGCTCTATATTCAGGTGTTTTAGCACATACAATAACTAACCGTGGTTATTTGACGGGTCTTTGAAGGAAAAAAAAAAGACTGACATCAACAAAAATAATACAACAGTATTTCAAGAGAATAAAGAGAGAGAAATATTGATACTTAATTTAGTAAAGATGCATTACAGCCTGCAGGCCACCATGAAACAATGTGAAGTATGAAGATTTGTCAGAGAAGGTAATTATGAAAAGTAAACGTGGAATTAAAATGTTACAGATATTAATATGTTGTTTGATTTGATTATGTAGCATATCATACTCACTATACCAGCTGATGCCTGCCAAACAAGAGGACCTCATATGTTATGAACTTAATTTGATATTTATTCTGCTTAAACTATTTTCACAGACTTCCATCATGTCATGAGTGCTGGCTGTCTTTAAGCGAACAGTATTTCACAGTACATGTTTGCGCCCTTTTGCAGTGACTCCAAGTGGCCTTTACTCCAGCCCTCCCCAGGAGTACCAGGAGGGCGAGGCAGGCTTTGCGGTCATGTTCCCCAGCATGGAAGGTGTTCACATCAAGCCTTTTCATTTTTGCAAAAAGTCCATCTCCCCAACAGCCCTGCAAGAAGCAGGTAAGCACAGGCTGACAACAACTGTTAGACAATCTACAGTGACAAACAATAAACCCCTGTTTGTCTCACTCATGTTTGTTGTTTTCTTTGCAGGACTGGTTGAAAACCCAGAACTCCGTGTGGTCTTAATGTTTGTTTATGAGGCCTATAAATCTGGAGGAGCTCGCTTCCTCGGCCAAATACTAGAGCCACTGGCCAAGAGCAAAGCTCTTATTGCTGGGGGGCTTGTAGACAGTGTTTTCTCTCCAACCAGACACTGGTGAGTAAATTTTCACACCCAGGATCCCACCCTATTTTACATTTGTGTGTTTTATTACGTATGCCTTGCATTAAAATCAAAACACATCATGTACTTTTGAATTGTTTCAGTTACCTTTGTAAAAGTCATAGTTTCTCTCCTCTTGTCATATCTCACTTTGTAGTTGTAGCCAGGGTGCATATGGGGTGGTGGGCCTGGCCCTGAGTGGCCCTAAGGTGCAGGGGGCATCTGTGCTTTTGGACCAAGACATCACCAACTCAAAGGCAGCAGAAGCCACGATCAGGAGGCTAAAGGCAGCCAAAATTCCTGAGAGGAACACCATAGGGCTCATGTTTGCGTGCGTGGGCAGAGGCCAGGACTACTACAGCAACCAGGCCAATGTGGAAGCTGACGCCTTCCACAAGGTGTTCCCGAACACCCCGCTCTTCGGCTTGTTCGGCAACGGTGAAATCGGCTGTGATCGCATAGTCAAAGACGACTACACGCTGTGCGACACTGACACTGACAATTTGCAGCACGAGTACACCACAGTCATGACCCTGGTGCATCTGGGCTGAGTGATGGAAACACAGTGCTGATGGTCAACAGGCGGTAAAAAGACGACTCATCAAACTCCTGTGTGCAAAGGCAGGTGTCAGTACGGAGCGTGAAACACATTATGACTGAACATTTCTGCTCATAAAGCAGACAAATAGTCCCTTAAGCCATCAGTGTAATGGCATCATTAGGGAAATTGTGTCCCTTGGAGACTGTGTGTAAACACAGCTTCATATTAAAACTGGTGGGTATCACCATCACCCATATTAAAACTGATCATCTCTTTACATCCAATGTGAGAGAGCACTCTTGTAAAATATATTTGTTTATATTTACCCCAAACTTAATGTACATTCAAGGCATATCCTACCCTCTGACATCAACCTCATGGTGTGTTTGCTTTGCAGGTGAGTGAATTATATACACTTGTGTGTCCCACAAGTTATTATTCTAGTTATTGAGTCAGCGCAGGCACTTTTAATTCATGTAAATAAGACAAATATGGTCCCTCTTCCTTTAAAATTGAGGTGATCTTGATTTATATGTTCTTCCTTGTCATGAAGCTTTTACACTTCAGATTTTTACACTTTTGTCTTACCAGTGGGAAGAAATAATAAGCAGTGTTAGCTTGTAGATTTCAGACCCTTCTGCAAGATATCCATCTTTCTTGGACCAGTTGGACGCTTGGACATCATTCTGAACCTCACAGTGCCTCTTTTTAGACCAGATGTCATATCTCCTATGTCTTACTTTCAGTAGTTATTGGTTGTACTCGGTGGTTACTCCATCCTCAAGAATATGCAGGTGGTGAGAAAGACTTTTCCCAAGGCAGAGGGGAAACGGTTCAGGACATCTGTACTGATGACTATGAGGCAAAGAGGAAAAACTTAGATTCACCCCATTTTACTAACTACGCAGTCACATATTTAAACAAAATGGTCAGAATCTTTTAGACAGCCCTGTATACTAAGATATAGGTCTCTGTCAAAATCAGTTTGTTGTTTTTTGAAATGATTCATTTCAAGCCGTTTTCCTCAAATATCTTGGTGACCTTGAGGTGCAATTTTCAGTTTAAATCTGTTGGTCAAGAAGTTTTTGGAACCAAGCTTTTCTATTTTCTGCAACTTTGATTATTGCAGGTACTTTACAATATTTTAATTTCTGAATAAATCAATTAGAAATCCTTTACGCTTTCCATTTTAGTTTTTTTTGAGGAGGAAATTAAAGTATTGTTGCATATTGCTTATTGAACAAAAAGTTGTTTTGGTGTTGATGCACTTTTCCATATGTGCCAAATCATATCTGTTCTGCTCATTTCCTCAATAAATAACAGACATCCATTATGTTAAAAAAATGTTTTATTCCCCCTTCATCCATCTGTTGTTGCCATTCCAGCAACCAGGATCTACAGACCCTGTCCTGGAGCGCGCTGGGCGTTACGCATGCCTCCTCTGTTGTAACCACAGGCCTACTACAGTTTATTCAGATCAGCGCTCTTCCTTATTTGCACACTCCCTGAAATGTGAGCCTCAGCCTATAACATCTTGAGCAGCCCACGTCCAGGCGTGTTTAAATAAAGGAAGAGACGCTTCAGATTGATTGATGTGCGCCTTAACCATCGACTGGCTAATCCCGATGAATGACAAACGGTTAAGCCAATTGCTGCAAAGGCAATTTATATTCCCATAGTAGCTTTATTTTGGGAAACCATAAAAAAACGCTCATGACACGGAGAGGGACGACCTGCCAGGCGTAAAGCTAATAAAATCATCTGTGGCGATAATCCGCTTTTAAATTGGCCTCAATCGGGAACTGAGAAAATCTCCACACTGGATTTTATTCTCTCTCTCACACACACATAGACACACTCATTCACGGCCAACATTTTTAGATTGCTATGTCGTGACCGGAGCGATGCAAATGTCACACAATTCATTGGCTACTGTCAGTCTCCGGTACCAAAACGTCAATGTTTTGATGGCGTTTGGCTGAAATTGGCCCTGCTGCTGCTGCTGCTGCTGCTGTGGAAGGAAGCTGGGAATCGGGGGAAGAGCCGAGGATTGGTCCTGCTCGTTTCAGCACCTGGACAGCTCCGCTCGCAGGGATCCCCGCTGCGCTCGCCGGGGAAACCCTCCACTGAGGAGCGGGATCTGGACCTCGATCTGGAGCAGCGATTCTAATCAGGGATGGAATATTTTCTTTTTTAACCCACCAGGACACTTTAAAGCTACCATGAGCTTCCCTAGTGACGATGCTTCTTGTGTTTGAGCTTCAGCCCCTTTCTGGTTTTGCACTGAAATCCAAGCAGCGCAAGTGGGAGCAGCGGAAGCAGGAGCAGCAGCAGTGGTGGTGGTGGTGTTGGTGTTGGTGGTGCTCATCCAATGCAAAAGTGCTAAGGATAGCTGCAGCCTACACACACTGTGAGCCTGCTGCTGCTTCACTCACTCTGATCATCACCGAGGGAGACATCACTATCAGCAAGGGGGCAGCGGGAGGCACGATTACTCGTCAACAATGTAAATCTTACACAGGTAGGTCTGAATTAATAATTCATTTACGCCTAGAGAGGTGCGCTGGGCAAGAGTTGTGCACAAAACTGACATTTATTTTCATTTATAGTTTCTCCTTTCTGGCTTCTGATAGCATCTAATTCAGTTCATTCAGACTCTGATTTGCACCTATCTGTGGAGTGTTTGATCTCAAGCTTGCTGTTTGCACAAAATGCTTGAGTTTAAGATTAAAAGTTCACATCGAAAAAAAGTTCCTTGATGTTTGCACTCTGGAAAGTCTTATATATTTATGTGGCTCTGTCTAATGTTAAAATGTTATTCAATTATGGGGTAGTTGTTGGATTTGTTAGCTGTGAAGGCAACTTAATATCTTCTTGTGTATCCATTTTTTGTGTATATCAAAGTTCAACTATCATTTAAACTTTGCAAAAAACATTTGGCCTAATGTGTCTGTTCCCCAAGGTTCATTGTTAAAGCATGTGATGAAAGCAACTAGTTATACCTTCATTATGCATCAAATGAACAGCTTACAAGATAGATGTTGCTAGCCAGTTGTCTCAAAACTGTCTCAAAAAATTTGCAAGAGTTGGTAAAACAACTTTTGAGCTTATAGTTTCCAGCCACCCACATGTAAGTCATGCATCTCTTTCGTTCTCGTCTAAAATCAGAGGACTGTTCTTCACCGGCATAAATGACCGTGTTCTTCCTTCTCAGGTTCATTATGACAGCATCATTCAGGTGAAAAGGTGAACTGCAGCGCAAACAAGAATCTGAACCGAGAACAAACCTTTGTGACAACAACCACCACCACTCTTGGGATCATCTAACATCATGGCAAATGCTGAGTAAGTACAGGACATCACTTGACTTTTTTTCCAGTGCAACCCTGCAGACAAATTGAAAAAAACAAAAGGATACGATAGTTTAGGGGACAAGTCAGTCGTTGTCAAATGAGGAACTGCTTGCTTACAGGTTACACATATCCTAACTCCTTCTCTTCATTCAATCTCCTCTTTCACTGTGCGCTCGTCTCTGCGGAAATGATTTTTACTCACCGGACAGTGCCTCTGTTGAGGTATCTTTGACCCTATAATCTCTCTGAATGAAAAACACTCAGATGCAGAGACACACCTGCACAATGCTGACCATACAGAGCGTTTATTCTGTATCTGTAAACACAGGAGGTCACTATGTTAATCCTTTCTGCAAAGCAACACACAGTTTAATGATTACAATTATATACATGAACATCACAAATTAACTCCATCTTCAAACAAACCCTCTCCAGCTTCAGTTTTCCCTCTGATTTCCATTTTTAATCTGTGCACGCCGTGTTTGCACTGAAAACAGCTGATGCGTTTTGTGCCTTCGCCTGAGTGTGTTTGTGAGTGTGTGTGAAGACAAAAGTGAAAGGTAGAGAACACAGAAAATCATTATTCTGTTAACTTACGATTCTGCTGCTGTAGCATGACTCTGTAATTTGTCCTGTCTTAACTAGCTACATTTATTCTCTTGACCTAGATGAATAGCCCTAAATCGACGCTCTGTTTGTGCTTAAAAAGGGACCGGTTCTGCACCTCGTCCCACTGTGAGCTCAGTTCAGTGAGTGTCAGTCGCAATGTCACACCATGCTGTGGTTAAGGTGAAATGCGTCCTCAAACAGATGACGATCGCTCACAAAACAACAGCTTTATTAGTCCCCCTTAAACTACCTTTATCAACTGGATTTATGCACTTTAAATGTGAGTGTTAGAATAACAGACTCATTTCTTTAGCTTTAAAATCATTTACATCCAACTATAAAAAGTGAAAAGATCTTTGAAAGCAGTGTTTAGAGAGAAGTTCCCAGATCTCATGTGGGGTTATAGAAACAAGTTTATTCATTAAATTGTACTCAAATAATTGAACTACTACCATTTATTATGTCGAGGAAAAAGCCCTTGTGCCTGCTGTATTTTTGTCATGGCAGTATTGTTTTCTTACTCAGGCTTGAATCAATGTTTAATCTTGTGGCTTTTGTCCTAATGCGACATAGGGAGGTCACAAATTGAGTCAGGAGCTTTGTAAGATGATCAAAACAGTTGGAGAAGAAAAACAAAAATGCAGCACAAGTACGTAACCTATATTTTGACTTCTCTGTATCTTTTTTTTAATTAATATCCCAAATTCACCTTTCACTAAACAGAGTCACCATTAATTTAATCTCTGTCTTATATATATCTTTATCTTTATAAGTGTTTTTCCCGTCAAAATCTGGATTTAATAAGTAACCTGTAAATATGATAGTCAGACAATACAGAGAAAATATACATTATTTTCCTCTGAAATGTGTGATGGTAAAAATAAGCATAAAATAGAAATAAAGAACCTCACCTCATGGTATTTATAAAAACCGTAAATCCTGTGTTATGGGGCCATTTCCCTCAAGTTTCAGAGAGGTTGTTGGTGCTGATAGGAACAATTCATTTATGTTATGGTGTGGTTGTTAACCTTGTTTATGCACCTCCATGGTGAAGCTGGACAGGTTGAGGGACTTTGTCTTTTTCATTTAGAAGGTTTTAGTGGACAAACACATGGTGTCTTTTTGCTGGTTGAGAGAAACTACGTCTACCAATAGCTGGACATTCAGCACGGTTAATGCATGCAGTTAATGACTAGAGCTAGTCAGTATTGCATATAAAAGGAGAACTCCACTGACTTTTAATACAAAATTCAGTTTACTCTTTGTTGAGGACATGATACTGAGGCTGGAAATGTGCATAGTTTGGTTGACTGTAGGAAACTTTCCACAATAAGAATTAGAAAAAAAAAAGAAAAAACATGGTAAAAATAAATCTAGCATTATCATTGTGTTGAAGCATTTAGTAACTTTTTTTGGAAGCAATTTGACTGTAATTGTGATGGCACACTGATATTAGAAGAAAAAAGTAAAACCAGTCGTATTACTCAGTTGTAGAAAGCCTTTATTACAAACACCTCCAGTCGCTGATTTAAGCTGGATATCCTCAGAAAGATGTCATGGGGCTGGGGCAAAGGAGCTGGAAAGAAATGAATTGTATCCAAAGGTGCTGATTCTTGCAAAACGTTGCTTATAGTAGATGGTGGGGTTTCATTGTAAATCAAAGGTGGCTGAGTAGGATGATACTACCCATCGATAAGGGGGCTCCACTCATGTGTACATCAAGGCAATTAAGCTTTCTGGTCGTAGAAACTTGAAGGAGACAGTGAACAGAGGAGGTGTGGTAACTCTCTGTGAAGAGTCGGCCGCGAAGGCTCATCCTAGCTTGGACCTGGGAACTTTTTTTTTCTATCCATCCCAAGGTTTAGTGTTTAGTTTATGAGGATTTGCCAGAGTTTGACTTTCTAAAACTATAATTATTTACTCATGGTGGTAGTAAGTTGTGAGATATAACATCTCTTCAATATCACATTGAACATGTAATGAGACAGCTTTCTTCAATTATCGTCTTAGCTATTTTTTTTTGCAAACTAATTATTCTTGTGGAAAAAAAAGTCTTACTCTAGGTTACTGCTTGTCGAAATACCCAAATTGTTATCTCCAACATTCCAACATTTGATATTGTTTAGATTGCAACTGTTGCTACAAATAATCAATTAAGCTCGATATGCAACAGGCTACACCTTAAACAGAAGCAGAATATAATGATTGTCTGTAATGCTTCCACTACATGCAAAAATTCATTGCATGTCAGTTCAAACAGTCTACAGAATTCAACCTTTTCAGTCATGAAGTTTTCCAATGCCCACATTCCCTCATGCGTCTGTAGAATTAAAATAATCTATTATTGGAAACTGACACAGAGTAAAAAAAGGTCCATGGACCTCTCTGTTATGAAGAAGGTTTATGTACATCTGCTGTCTCAGTCCTGCTATGTGAGGGTCTCTGTGTCTCCTGCCTCCTCTTCAGCTTGTATCTGTAAAGGTCAGATAAGAGACTGGTCACACCAGGGCCAGAACAGTCCATTGTGCAGTCCACCAATTCATCATAGTTTAATCTGTAATATTATTAATGAGCTAATGTGCCTAGCAGACTTCATTAATATCCAGCAGCATAAAAATTACCAAAGTTTCTTTGGAAGTTGAATTGTTCCATGAAATTACCCGGAGCAATTTGTAAAATCTGCAAAAGTGACGGATGATTTATACGACAACAAGGACACTGTGTTTAACACAAATTTGAATTATGCAAGTTGTTGCCCTATAAAGACTGTTGCTGCAGTTGATAAGGTGAATACTGACCGTAATTCAAGCGATCCGGGTGTCACTGTTTTGGCAGAGGCTAATCTGAATGCCAATAAAGTCCCCTCTGTAAAAGCTGACACAATTTCCTTTGCTCCATCTTTGTCTAGTAATTTAAAATCCATACTTTGGATGTGCATGAGCAGCACAGACCACCATTGCCCACAGTGTTCACTTTCTAAGCAGCAACAAAAAGACTTTTCTTCAATTTACTGCACCACAGCAGTGTGGGAACATTGTCAAGATTACGTTATTCGTGGTCAGACTGGCTGAGGCATTAAGTCAGACTTTTAGTTTGAAGTTGTACAAAAGTTTGAAACGTCTGTATGTTGCAACAACAGTGGAAAAACTTAGTGTGCAGTGCGTTTTGAACACTAATACACAATGATGTCCTGCTTCTCCAAAGTTCTCCTCAGCAGCTGGTGGGAGCAGGGAACATCTGCTTTGTGCCGTCTTATTCTGGCCAAGTTTTGGGTGTGTTTTATACCCTCAGGTGTTCTACTCAGACAGCCTCATCTAACATGTGTGTTCTGATCCCATAGTCCATCAAGACCTTAGATATAGGGTTTCAGAAAAAATGCGTAAAAAGTAAAAGAAAGCTGTTCAGAAAATGTATTTTCAGAGCTGATATCAGGCTTTGTACCCTGTGCGATGTATTGTTTTGAAATGATAGCTAATAGTTTCCTTGTCTTTACTGATGCATATATTCATGACATTTTAGAGCATGAAAGAAGACCATGTTAAACTGAAATAACAGAAGAAGTGTCCAGTTGAAAATACACCACCTGACATGAGCTGCCCCCTACCCCAACCTGTAAAGCTTTTAGTCGTACCGCTATGAAGTAAATCTTAAAAATGCAACTGCAGATCTTTTCCCCCTCATGTGAGGTGAAAGTGGAATTTTGGATTTATGAACGCTGTCCAATAAAAGTTTAAAACGGACATAAACTTACTGAGTTCACTTTACAGCCCTTTTAGGTCGATTTAATTAAAATAAAATCCACACGTCCATGCCGTTCTTGTCACAACTTTCTCACTCTGTTGTTCATTTTTTGGGTCATTTTTCTCATCAGTTTGTGGAAGCTTGTATCTGAGACCACCAGGGCGGAGATGTTAGAAAGTCTTCATTCATTTACTAATATGTTAACAATATCAAGGGATTATCATGCTGAGTTATTTATAGTTTGTGCAGAGATGAAGGATCCACTGCAGTGTGTAGTGAGTTACCTCAGAATCAGTGCATAGGTCTCCAAACAAGCTAGCAGCTCCCTCATGCTTTGCTAACATACAGCAGTACTTTGAGCTAAACGCTTACCTCATCAGCATGCTCTCATGTCTCATGCCAAAATGCACGTCTCATGCCAAATGCAAATATTTAGTGTGTTTAACATGCTTTCAAGGAAACACAATGTACTTATTCTGCAATGAGCACAAATTTACCGTGCTCAGTAGCGTAGTGTTGAGAAAGATGCTGAGATTGCTCATTACTAAACAATGCCAAAGACTTCCTTTACTTCTCCCCAAGGCTGCGTACAGCCCTGCAAACTGATCATAAGGGTCATGAGCGAGTCACTCCAGTGGTCAAATAAAGAAGTCAGGCTCACAGTTACTTTCATGACCTTCTGTTTCGGCCATGAAATCCCTTGAGCAACTTTTGTCACATAATGACCTTTCCTACCTGGCCCACAACTCTACAGTCCAATATGTAATTTTATCTGCCACCCCCTGGGGGATCCTGCTTCCCTGAATATCACTTCTTTCCTCTGGGTGCTCTTCTGCAGTTGCGTTCTTTTTAGTCTTTCCATGAAATTGTGTTTTTCTGAATTTTGCAATTGCCACTTTCAGTTAGATAGGAACATTGGGGAACACAGAAAGGTCAGGATTTATGTTTAGGACAGCGAAAATAACCCTCACAGATATATTATACAGAAGTGAGTCTGTCTTTGTGCTTTCATTTTCATCAACAGCTTTAGTGTTATGGTTCGCCAATGTTACTGTCACGGATAACATCAAATTATAAGAGCATCATCATAAAAATTGTATCAGAACTACAACTGTTTAATATGATGAACAACGTTTTTTTTTAAATTACCATGAATACATTTTAAACATGTTACATTTCAAAAACCTATATGATTTTTGTGTAATATTAACGTAGCTGTCAACAAAATGAGTGTGACATATACAACAAGGATTATCTTACTGAAGCACGCCAAACAACTGTCTCTTGAATATCTAAAAATGCACAGCCTACTCTATTCCTTTACATAAGAACTTTATTTACATTATACATAAAAATCCATGGTCTGAGTCTGCAGCTCTCCCTGATATCTTGTCTGGCAGCTCTGCAGCACGCCAGGTATATTACTGTAAGCTGTGAGCTGGTGGGGCTCTGGACAGCTTGTGTCTGTCATGAGTGGTTATGTGTGCGGTCCTGATTGTTTGGGAAGAGAGCCAAAGCTGCTGCTGTGCTGTAGATGAGAGGTGGTATGGATGAGGTGCTGTGTGTAGGAGAAGTGTGGAGAAAACAACATCTATCAGGCCAACCCACTGTGGCATAATGCTGTGTATCCACAGTCTCAGGGCGGGAATTAATTATTTGCCAAGTAAAATAAGTGTGGAGGTATTTGTCATAGAGACGCATAAATAACTTTCACAGCAATAATAAACCACTCCATCTTACCATCTGTTTACCAGAGTGGGACATGTGAGGACGAATTGAGCCCCTTGGTCAGCAGGTCCTTTCTAAAATACAGAGGACAAAGGTTTTTGGTGGGGAGGCATATTAAAGGATTTTGTCAATATCCTCCATGCTAATATTTTTGAAAACTAATATCAAAACTGATTCCAATCGAAGTACATCATTAGCTAGCGAAGCCCGACTCCTCTGCCATGCTGAGAAGTGGGTTTCCAAAAGCAATGCATTCAATGTTTTTCTTGTCAAGCTCTTTTATCTTACCTGAGTGGGCCCTGCTATATTCCCAAGCTCTGTCAAATGAATAAATAGAGGCTGCTGACAGATTTTGGCTAGAACCAGTGCTTACTTTTCAGAAACGCTTAGTTTTTTTCGGGTTGATGGTTCTTTAAGATTCTTCCAGACAGCTGACAGATTGAAGCTAGTTGTTGGTGTGGATAAGCGGTCATTTCATGAGCATAATTAAGTCATCTCATCAGCTATAAATATCAGCAGAAATTTTCCTAACCTGCTGGTAATGATGATTAACCTGCCCAAGAATGACTAATTTTTATAACTTCCAAAAGCAAACAAAGCACAAGTAAGAAGATTTTTGTTTCTATTAAGGAATTTTCAATACCTGAACTGGTTTTGGTCAGCTAGGTCTTCAAAGAACGGATTGGCATATTGCTGCCAAACAGCTTTTAGCTGACACAAATTTTGAGTTGACTCTTAATTGACAGCAAATCGAGATTTCATGGTTTCATGGTTTCTGCTTTTCTTTGCTGCTTTGTTAGATTAAAATGAAATAGGACAGGGTCTTTTATGACCTTGATGTTGGGTCTTTGTTAAAATGAAACACAGATTTTGATCTTTTTGTAAAGTGTGTTGAGATAACATTAGTTATAAATGGGCACTATATGATTTAAGTTTGGTATGCTGATATTTTCAGGAAAGACCTTTTTATCTAAAAGGGTCGCCATGATCGTCACACCCAAAGTTCCTCACAGGAGCAACAGTGTTTATGATTTGAGAGCAGTAAAAACTGTTGTGGGATTTGATAGAAGTGGAAGAAGCTCTGCAGCCAAAAGCAGAAAAACCCCACAACTACTGTCACTGGTTTTTATGTTGCCTCAACCTTTTTGTTGCCACATTTATCTAATCCAACTGAACAAGGAGCACGGACAGATCCTCAACTGCAGGAAATTTCTCAACTTAGATTAACAGAAATTTTCCAGCTCAGGATGGAAATAGTTTATGTAGCACATTAGTCAGAAGACAATGATTTACTAAGGAGGTTTTTAAGGCCTGTAAAGGTAAAATAATGAGTGAAAAACGGTCGTGTTCACTGATTCCTTTCCTCCCAAAAACACTTGGTTTGTAACTCCAGGGGGCAGACCTCCGTGGTTTAAGTTCCTCCCTCTGAGGGTGGAAATAAACAAACCCTTGGTCTGATTTCAAGTCATTTATTGATACTCTAACTTTAACTAAATTTGTGTTGAATGTTTGTATGTCCTCTGCCCTGCTGTTGTTGTTTTGTTCTTGTCATTATTTTATTTGTTTTATCTGAGTATGTAAACTGTTAATCTTGTAACAAGACTGATCTGCAAGCTTGTGTTTCTGTCTGTTCCCACTTTTACTCAGAAGGAGCTCAGTTCCACGTTATTCAACTTAAGTCAGTCACAGTTGCCAGCCTTGTATAGGGCAGATACAATATTATAACTCACACAGGTGTTAGATACACAGGGTTAGGGTGAGTCTACAGATACACAACCCTAACCCTAACCCTACCTCACAGTTTTCTGTGTATTATCTTGAACAGTACACATATGCATTGACGACTGGGCTGGTTGCGTAGCCCTTCAGCAGATCCTTGTGTCAAATTATGTTGTTTTGCTTTGTTATTGAAATCAGGATCATGTTGGTCACTTGTTGACCACACCTGTTTGAAATCAAGAGCAGACATAAAGGATCCATAATAGTTTGAATATGCAGATTGATCGAGCAATGCCAGGTCAGTATACTATGTTGCAATGTAATTTTGCAGACCCTTTTGTCCAAAGCCATGGACTGAACTAAATAATGAAACCATCACATTTTCTGAACAGACATGGGCTGTGGCGACCAGAAATATGAAATAGTCTGTCTTTTTCCACAGCATCCATTTTCTTCACTCATGTAATGCATATTGCACTGTACATGAGTCAACAGCATTGCAGCCTCTTGTGACTGTCTATCTGACTATATAGAGTATGTATCTTCAAAGAAATGTAGGGCCCGCTTACCAAGGGAAATAATCCCATCAAATTGGGATGAGGGGAGCAGCTCTTGAGACTAGACTGCAATATCACTTCTTTCTAAGAGCAAAAGGTTTTTATTAATGAAAAACAACAAAAAGAAATGCTGCTGTTGGATGTTATACATACTGAGATGATAGACTGCTCTTGGGAAATGCAACCAGCTGTCTTTTCACAAAGTACTTTCAGCCTCAAATAACAGAAATATCAGTATAAACCATCACTCAGCACGTGAAGCATTCAAACAATTATTTTGTAACCCTGAGCTGCTGTATTTAGCCAGACTCAAGTTTTTATTGAATAGAATAGAATTGATTTATGAAAACATATCATCTTGCTCACTCTGCAGATATCACATCAAACTATGACCCTAAAAATTGGCAGGATGGTTACTGAAGTTAAAAATCTATGCCAAATCAGCTCTTGTTCAAGTAGGTCCTAACACTCCTGTCGAATTATATACCTTGAAGATGCTATTATTGGATTTTGGCCTGGGTTTCTTTTATAACTTGGATTTAAACTGGAAGAAAAGTCATGTTTTATGTAATACCTCCTTAATACAAGATTAAGAAGTATTTTCCAGGTTACTTCCTTACTCCTGGGTGTTGAGGTCATAGTGCAAAGATTGTGATTAGATCAGTATTAGTGGTTTGAATTTTGGCATCATTCATTTTACAAGTTGCCAAACAAAATTCACACACACAGATACACACACCCCTGCGGTCACTCAAAGAGAATAGGTTTCCCTCAAACAGCTCAGGTCACAAAATTGGTATGTATGTGTTAACCCCACTGAGCAATAGATGCCAATTAGACATTTTGTTGTTTTTTTTTAGACCTAATTTCAACCATCTAGATTCTGTTTATTTTTAGATGGAATTTAGACGTTGCACTTGAACCCATTATTCGATAACTATTTATTTCAAAAAACAACTGTGAGTTGCGTAACTGATCTCTAAGTACTTAACCAAAATAATCACGATAGCCATTGAACAATATACAGTGTAGTATAGATATAGCCCAGATTTAGACTTGGTCCAAACTTGGTCTAAATTTAGACGTCTAAAAACTTACATTTTTAGACCTGTGCTAGCCTGATTTTAGACCAGTCATCTAGGCTACATTAAGACGTCTATTAGACCTCTTTATAGACTAAAAAATGCTCAGTGGGACTTTCTCACCACCATATATTTTAATAAACTGTGGTTGATTTCTGGATTATTGCATTAGTCTTTTTCTGCTGTTGAGTATAACCATGGTTTAGTTTTTATTCCGTTATTGTCCATGCCTCTAAATTCCTGCATCACCTTCCCTCCTCTTGTATAACCCCTGGTATCCACCTCTCTTTTTGCACCCAATCCCCCTATGGTTTCCCCTCCCTACTCACCTTTTTTTTCCTGACTTCCTTTGACGTTTGAAGGAGAGTGGGGATCCGCTCAGCTGACAAAGGGAGAGGCGATGACGTCACAGCAGACATGATACACCAGCATCTGCTCTGGTCTAAAAATACACACCACAGGGCACACACTCAGTCTGCAGCTGCACTCAGCATTTGTTTCCACCTCCACGCTTTACTGAGATGGCCCAGCTTTTTACACAACTAGGGCTTTTGGGAAATGCTGGGTTACTTTGTGCTGGCCCACAGCTGAGAATCCTACATGTGTTATCTTGGGTCAAAGTTTCTGGGTGAATGAAGGGGGTCAGGTTGAGGTTGAAGAATATGAGTATAGGGGCATGCAGGCGTGGTTTTTTGTGTGAGCATTGTTTCATTTATCAATTCATTTTTTCTAGCATATCATGATTTTATTTCATGTTCAAATAATCAAACCTTTAAACTTAATAAATCAAAGTGATATGCCAGAACTTGGTTTCTTGTAATTTTTTTGCAAATTAACCCTGTAATGATTAGTGGAAAAAATGGTCTATTTTCTTTTTTTTTTTTGTCTGGCACAACTTAAAAAAAACAACAAACAAACAAACAAACAAAAAAAATCAACAACAACAAAAGAAAAACCTGTATTTTGTTCTAGGTAGCCCTCACGAATATTGTTGTAACTTTTTGAAGATTTACTTCTTTTTTTAAATTTAATTACCAAACAAATTTATTGATTTATTTATTTTTTCAAGTTAAAAAAAACTGTTGTAGTTTTACCATCCCATTATAGAGCCAGATAAGAGCTGATTTTAGCTAACGTAATGCTCTGTTGTGAAGCTAACTAAGCTTTGAGCTTAGCTGTTAAGTAGCCAAACTTGAAGAAGTTAGCGTCGACTGTTTAAATTTGATGAAAAAGAGATATAATATTCAAATAATTTGTTTTGTATGTTTCGGAAAACAAATAAAAAATAATCCATGTACAGTGATAGATATTCTGAGTGTAGGACACTTTCCTGTAGTTCTTGGGGACTTTAGCTTGTAAGAGTGGCTCAGATTGAAGAAAAATCAGTACAGCTGTAGCTAACACACTCTGCCCTTAGTAACCCCTGACTTTGAGCAAGGCAGCATATACCTTCAGCTCTTTGTGTCCTGCAGTGTAGAGGATGGTGTAAGCGCTCAGTAGCGCTCTGATGCTGAGTGGGTGTTTGTGTGTAACCCTCTCTGACCCTGCGCTCTCTCCCTGAGGCCATTTCTGTAAATAAGAATGTGTTCTTAGTGAAGTTGCTGGGCTGAATAATTAAAGTCCTTTTTATCTGCACTGCTTTTGTGCTCATGTATACACTCTTTCAGCGAATACATGTCTGTGTTTTTCTCATGCTGCTATCTTTGCTGTTTCTGTTTCTTTTATGATGTTATACTGCGACTTTTAAGTGTAAACTACAAAAATGGCCACCTGGGATCATTTTAACAAAGCTTGGCAGATATTTCATACTTCTTTTTTTAAGCATCAGATGTGGTGTCTAACACTTCATTTCGCCAGATTAGCATTAAGTCTAAATTCATGTTGTGGGTTAGATGATTATTATTTTTTGTGTAAACATGATTGTTATTTTAAAGATATGTATTTTCCCTCTTTGTCTTCTCTCTGTGTCTTTGTCTCTGTGTTGCCACTGTTTGCATGTAAATAGGGAAGTGGAGCAGGCAGGTCTGTCAGATTTGGAGATCATCTCACAGCCAGTGGAGGATGAGAACCAGTGCCTGGCTCCTCCAGTCCAGCTGGTGAGTTTTGGCTACAGAGATCTTCCCCTCACTGCTCTGGACCTCTCCCTGGCCGGATCACAACTCCTCTCCAACGCCGATGAAGATGAAAACAGAGAAGGGTGAGTACAACTGGGAAACTTATGGATAATTTTTCAGTTCTTTTCTTTGACTTTTAGGTAGTCAGTGTTTGTGGCAAGTGTGAGTGACAAATGTGTGAAAGTGTTGTTTTCAAACTGTTTTTTCTGCATAAAAGGGAAAGAAAAGATTTGATCTGTCAACAGTTTGGCAACCGGGGGTTGTGAGTGACTTGCTGATAGTACTTCAGTGTATGGCAGATGACTTTCATTGAGTTATTTGGTAGCTGCATGAGCAATTTCCCATCTTTATTGTTTATATTTATTGTTTTAAAAAAGTCCAGATTTCTGTCTCTGTTTTATGCAGCCTTCTGTCTCTTGATTCAAAAAAAGGGAAAGGCTGTTCTCCTTCTCTTGATATCCACCTTTACTTTACAGAGCTGATTTGTCATTATAGTGCACATAAACTAATATAACCTCTTCATAAGAGCTGCAAAACTCGCCAAAAATTATTATTATTAAAAGAAATAAAGAAGCTGAACTTTTTAATAGAAATTCAGTTGAAAAAACAACAAGACCAATTATTGAAATGTGTTTTGAAATTTTGTTTTGTTACATTCTTGTATAATTTAGTCATCCTGTTTATATTTTATGTGTCAATTTTTCTGAACCACCCTAAACATTCAGCTCAACTCAACTCAACTTTATTTGTAAAGCACTTTAAAAAAAACCACAGCTGAACAAAGTGCGGTACATAAATAGACAAAACAATGCAGACATAAAAAACAATCAAAAAACAATTAAAACAATGGATAAAATAAAAGCAGATCTTAAAAAGTGAAGTATATATTCAGACAATGTGCGTCTTCCATTTGTGAAATTCATCAAGGAATCCAACAGAGAGAGTAAGAGGTACAATGTGGTTGACTTTGTCTGTGAACTGATGTGACAGAGAAACACAGAAAAACATGTGAAGGCAGGTAACCCCTGAAATTAGGAGCTACCCTACACAGTCTTTTCTTTAATCAATGCCTGCAGTGATACGTCCCTACTGGACACTGATAATGGAGTATACATAAATAAGGATTTGTCTTCAATCTGTTTTGAACACAAACATTTCTTCTGTGTGATTTTCAAAATAGTCTCTTTTCTCTCAACACAGTGATACTTTAACTAAGGCAATGTTTTTGACCATAAGTTAATCCATTTTGTTGACAAGTCAGCAAACCAAGCAAGTATGATTTTAACCTGTTTAAATCTTGATTCTACTCTTTTTGCATTTTTTGTAAACAGATAAAACCTGTTTGTCTCTTTAGATCAGTTCACTTCAACTCCTCTTGTCTTCGAGTATCTCTCGACATAATTGGAAACAGTTGCTCACACTTAAATTTAATATCCTTTATTCTTTTTTATGCTTGCAATTCACAAATAAATTTTATAATATTGTAAAGCTCTCAGCAGGATATTCACTTTCCCTGTCACTAAGACTTCAGCAACTAGAAAATCAACTTGAGCTTTTATCTACAAGCATTACATAGTTTTAAAGGAAACAATGGAATTTCATGAAAAACACAAACACACACACACACACACACACACACACACACACACACACACACACACACACACACACACACACACAAACAAGCACACTCACAAGCTTTCTTGTCACACTTACATAAATTCCAAATAGTACCCGCGATTATCATCCATCATGTGTTAAGTCTCCTTCCCCAAGTCCTTGTCATGATGTCCCTGTAGCTCAGTATGGCGTCCATTTATCATTAAGTGACAACCTCTGGGTTATCCAGCGTCCATAAGTTAACTCCGATCAATTCATCATTCCTGACTAAATACCTCCCAACACCCACTACTCCCATCCCCCCATCCAACAGTATTGGAGCCTGTATTGTAAATGGTGTTAAGCAATGCATGAGGGAAAGACCGATAACATGGTGCCTTTATTTCTTGTAAATCTTATGTTTTGTTGAGCTCCACATGCTGTCAATTTAGACAATAATATTGGATCTAGCATGCATTAGGAAAGCTGGCTGCTTTATGTGGTGTTGCGACACATCCAGGTTCAGTTGTCTTTAAATTGAAGGCTTTTAAAATTAGCAATATGTTGCAAACTTTTTGCTTTTTTAATCCTCAATTTCTTTCAAACTTTTATGGAAACAAAGTACAAAGTTACTCTGTTTCAGCGATCACTGTACGAAAACATTCATGATAGAAATAGAAATAACAGAAGTAGAAATACAGCTAACAAATAAAGATTTAATTTGCACATTCATGAAATGGTTACAGCCTTTTCTGCTTGTTGCAGTAGATCCATGTTCTTTAACTTTAAGTATAGGAAAGAAAATTCAATATCATAGCACCAGGTTTCTCTGGCTATGTTGTGGACATCTAATCTGAAGGATTTCAGCCCTAGAATATGAGTACGTGGTCTGCCACACAGTGAGTACATCCTCTCCAGTATTGCGGTTGTGCACCGCACCGGGCTGTCTGGGTTTTTGTTTCAAGCTCTTGAAAAAAACTGACACAGTTTTTCATGAGAAAACCCTCCACTATTGTGAGGCTGTAGCAGTGATTTGCATATTGATTATATTTGTCCATTCCTCAGGGGCAATGACAGCCCTTAATTTTTTTTTTCCATTTTGACCCTACTTGACAGATTTCCTACTTCTACATCTGTTTTCAATGCAGCAAGCACACAGAAAACAAATCCCATAAACTTTTTATCCTTAGAGTATTGAGAAAGCCCTATGATTTACAGCGATAGAAATTAAATACACAGATCATAAATATAAAAGTAAGTTAATAATTTACGACCTGCTGATCATTTTGCTTGTTTTTCAGCATTTACACGACATATGGATATGAGGTCACATCACAGCTGTCCTTTTGATTAGTCACAACATTAACAGATTTTTCTCCTGTGTAAAAACCTGCCCATGGTCCAGTTTTTCCATTTTATCCAACCACTGTGACTCAAACCTGGCTCTTTGCACAAGCTCTCACCAGGATGCACACAAACACCATAAGCTGTGGTGCAGGATCCAACATTTCACATACACATACAGACCAAAACCATGCACCCTTCCTCATCCAAGCACTCAATTTGACACCATATCAGGTCTCAGTCCATTGGTTCCCTGCAGTTAGCCAGTGACGGCCAGAGACAGATGGATTTCACAGTCAACGGTGGGCGGTGCCGACACTCACACTGTGCCTGTACCACAACCAAAACAATCCTCATGTGTTTAATTTCAACTCGGTGTCTGTTAAAGCATCTATTTTCGTCTTTACTGGATGGATGAGTGTTTACTGTGATTGTGCCATTTTTCAGTTAGATAAAATACGCATGCAGCAATTTCTGTTGTAGCTCAACTTGTGAAATACCTGTAAGGTCCAGCCAACAACTGGGTCACAGGCCTGCTGTAGTTGTTGAGTAATCAATAAATGAAACTACCAATATGTTTAAATGAGCTTTGCTCCAAAGGCGAGATTCTAAATTTCCCCTCCAGGTCCTGAACCCCTGCTGTTAGAGGCTCCTACAACCGATTTACAAGTCACTGTGGTGGAGATTATTTTACCAGTGAGCTCAATTTAGTCAAACTGTGCTGGGGTCACTATTTCATATTCAAGTCATTAGTGCAAAGTGTCTGCCTGTAAAAATGCTGCCAATGGGAGTTGTAAAAGACATCATTCTTTCTTTCCCTTTAATGAAATTCCATTTAAATCCACCAGGCATGAGCTCCAGTAATGTGCGTGTTACATCTCCACTATACCTAAACGCTGTGCTAATACCTCCTATTAATCACAATTAGGAGGTCTCGCGTCCATCCTGACATTGGCGGTTTCCTTAGGATGCTCCTGTATATCACTATTGGTGTAATAGAGGTGAAATATCATGAATGCCTGTAGTTTATGGCTTCAGTATCTCATTAGATATTTATGCAAACACAGAGTAGAGAAGTGAGAATCAGCACTGGGAAAGAAGAGCTGAGACCATGCAAAGAAGAGAGGCCTCCTCTGACATTAAGACCACGTCACCAGAATCAGTGAGATGCAGCGGGGGGGACGTCTCGGTGAATGTGTCAGTCAGCCAGCTGCCGCACCCCACAGGATGCTTTTCTATTCTATTCTGTGGATTTCAGCACTGCTGGGGCCTTTGGGTGATTATGCCTGTGCTGCCTTCGTCTCCTCATTACCGTATCGATCTCCCTCTTAAACAGACAGCGGTCATTAGCCTCCTTTAATGACATTCACAATCACCACGCCCATGCACCATCATCAGGTTTTACGGCCGTGTCTTGTAGCGGTTGGCGGCCTTCTTAACTCAGCTCTTGGCCATCAGCTACCTGTGAGTTGACTTTGTTAGGTCATAACACTTTGTAAGCACCATCTGGCCCGTATCTGTATTTGCTTTCTGGATGCAAAAAGAAGAAAAGTGGGAGTGCATTTACCAGGGAAACTGACTGCTACACTCACCTTTAGGGAAATGGGCGGAGGAAATGAACCTTTTTATGAGTGTGTGGAATGATGAAGTGAAGTTGAGAGAAGGCAAGACAGCAGAAGTGGGACAGCCATCAAAATGAAAATGTATGTGGGAGAGGAATCTGTTGGCTGCTCCACTGACTCTACCTGAGAAAGTGGATTCCCCCCCCTCGCCATGACTCCCAGTCTGCATTAGCTGGCTCATTGGCTTTCTGAGACAGTAAAGGAGCGTCACGCAGGAAGCTACACATGGGAAATGTTTAGGCATGCTCGACAGCGATGTTTGGCAAAATGAGAGCGTGTGATGCTGAAAGTGAGAATGTCACAACCACAGTGGAGGTGTTTCATCAACATGGCGCTGGCTCATTGGGTGAGAGGTGGAGGCTATTTTCACTGGGGAGTTTGGGAATGTTTCACTGTCAGCAAAATTCTCATCTATTAGCTCCAGACAGAAAATGGGTGTGAATGAAAAATATACAAACTGAACAGATTGATTTTTGTTGTGAAAAGTTGACTTAAAACTGAATCTAATGGGTCTGTCTGTTTCAGACGTACATTGTGTAGAAGTTAGAGGCATTTTTCCAATGAAATAGAATGTATTATGCAGAAGTATGTTTAAATCAGTTTATGTTGAATTGTCTATCGTAATTGTTTCATTTTTGACGACTTAGAAAAAGTCTTTTATATTATAGAAGCAGCGGGTCCTCGCTCCAGAGACTGCCATGTCACACCACCAAGTTTTCTACCGTAGCTCAGAATACTCAAACTAGCAGGGACCAAATGCATTTTGTTAATTACTGCGTGACAGAAAGGACAGGGAGAACCGTTGTTATGAGCAAATAAATTTATATTCATAGAGGTTTTTGATCATTAAAACCTGACTATGAATCATCACATGAATGTGAATTTAAGTGAATCAGCATTTTAGTCCAAACATGAAAAAGTAAAACAAATTGACACAGATGACAGTGTAAAACAAGAGTTAACATGGGTGTAACCTTAAATAGATGGAAAATTTATGTTTAAAAATGTCCATTTTCTGCTGGACAAGTAAGAGAGTGTTTATTTACTCAAAGTTACATTAATTTACAGAAAAATGAAGCGTAAATCATCTCAGTTCTGCTTTCAGAGATGACTATGATGCCATGTTGTGCCAGTAACTCGCCATTCATTTATCTTTTCTCTAGCAACACGGCTCATCATCCTTTAATTAACTACAATATTTAGAGTTGGCCAATTATTCGTCACATAATGTTGTTCTGAAGAGGTTTGCCACACATCTCAGCTTTTGCACAGCCCTTTCAGAGTCTTGATACTTTTGACAATGAGGTGCTTAGGTGACAAAAGTGCAATTTAACAAAATGCTCCACATTTCTCATTATAGTACAGAAAGCTGCTCACCATAAACTAAAACTACGACTTAACCACCATTTAATTCCCAATACATGATGACTTTATTCCAGATATATATAACTTTGAGACAACTTTACTTTCTGTAACAATATTACTTTAATATCACAACATTTTAGACCATTTCAACTCGACCATTCCATTGAAGTTAGGTGCTGTTCTGAGCATTATTTGTGGCTATAGAGTGGCTTTTTGGTTGAGGTTGTGTGTGGCTCCTGAGACCGCTGTGTATATCGTGCGGTCACTGGTCGTTGCTGAAGTTGGTATATCTAGAGAAGCAAGCAGTCGGCAACATTCATCTCTCGAGGAGGTGTCTGACTCGTCCACTTTTTTTCTGTGCAGCTCCACTTTTAAAAGTTGTTAAGGGTTCATGTTTTCTATGATTGACACTTGATACAGCCTATGGGCGTACGAAGATTGTGTAGATCATCCGATATGCTGTTTGAGCAGAGCGTCATCACAGTCTACGCTAAATGCGTAGAACGCTACTGTGCAAGTGGTGGTTCCAGGAGGTGGAGAAAATCCTGAAAATCATGAGAGCATTTTGGCTTCAAATTCATAATGGAGATCCAAGTTGTCTATTGTATACACAGTCTATGGTTAAAATGTAAATACCCCCCCAACACACACACACACACACACACTGGTTTAGTGTTACAGATTAGATACTAAATGAACAGAGCTTAGTGAGTTATGGTTTGCGTGTACTCTAAGGCTGTGTTGTGTTCATGGCAGGAAGTTAGCAGAGGGGATTAATCAAGAGAAAAGGCTCCTGTGTCAAACTGCCACCATTTGATGAAGCACCTACTGTCAGCCATGTTTGCATATCACAGCCCATGGCATCGTGAAGGTGGAGCTGACCTTACTGCTATCTCCCGCACACTGTGCTGCCCTCACTTCTCATGATGGGGAGGCAGTCACTTCTACACAACCCCTCCTTGATCGTTCACATATATACTGTACACACAAACACACACAAATATATTTGTGCATGCATGATGAACTGGAACGCAGCACGTATTTATACACTGAAAGAGAACAAGGCCAGGCCTAAAAAGCTTCCTCACTGCACTGGTTGTTAATCTAATCCTCTGTAATCATGGTTCACTTCATATTCCAGTTTATACTGGGCTGTCACATCCCATTAGGAACAATAGCATCCCTTCATTGATGCTTCTGCACATTTAGATGGGCTTTTCCTTCTCTCTATTTCACCACCGTTCTGCATATTTCTGTATTTCTCCAGCTTTTTTCTTGTTTTTTTTTCTTTTTTCTTCCATTTTTACACTTTCCACACTTGAGCTCTCATCATTTTTATGCCTTTTTAATCTCTCAAAAAGTATGCCTTTCCATACTGAAAACCAACCTGCTCTGTATCCTAGATATAAGTTGTGTTTTGTCAATGTACATCACATATGTCGACACATTAGACTGACTAAAACTACCAGAAGCATCTTCACAAACCTTTTGGACCCTCCAGGTTATAGTTCTGCAGTAAGGGTGAAGAGAGCAGTGTTGGAGATTTCCAGCACCCGTTTGTTGCGTTGTTGCCTAACACCGTGTTGCTATCAGGAGAGACGTGGGCGACATTGTGGGAGGTGGTTGTTCTAGCTAGCATCAGGGGGCAGCTGCAGTGTTAGCAGTTTTGGCGTCATGGTAAGTGGAGTGTGGTTATTAATAGCGTTGGGCCCATCCATCTTCCTGTCTAGGAAAAATGCTGGGAGGACCAAGGTGGCGTGGGCTTGTGTTCAGCACTTTTATGGCAGCCCACTCTCCTCCTAGTCATCAAGCTGCTTTTGTTTGTTTGCACACTTTTTTTTTAGGTAGAAGGATTTTTTTGGGTGCATCTTAGCCTGTGTTTGTGTAGGATGATGCTGGTGAGAAAATGGGTGTTTTACAGAAAGTCAAAAGGGAGATTAAGAGGTCCTGAACTTGCTTGCACTGATTGTTTTAACTGTTCATTGTTAATTGACAATTTTGTTTTTCCCATAAATGATCAAACTTCTGGATGAAGTTTGTTGGTAATGAAAACGTCTCTCAGCAGAATTTAATAAAAAAAATGAGAGTTTTTGATACAGCAGGCAATGATAACCAAAGCCATGTTGATGGCTAAGTACAACAGGTAATCATACCTGTGACTGTGACTATAATTTGCAATACTTTTAATCACTTGAACTCTGTTTACGTGATAAATACACCACTGAATTAGATGTATATTTCAATTTCAATTTCAAGCCACAATTACAAAAGTTGGAGCACTGTACATTTTTCACAATAACTAGTTTGCAAGTCTTTTAAACCCCGAGTGCAAGTGCAAAAACATCAACATAAAGGCTTTTAAAATTGAAAATGCTTCTCTGTTTTTGTTTTGAAAAATTTATATGCTGATCTTAAATTAGATGCTGGCAACATGGTTCAAAAAGTTTAAAACAGTTTTGTCATGCTACAGTAAAAGACTCTAAAACAACAGCCTCCAACTAGTTATGATGATCATCTGTAACATTAGAGGAAAAATAGACAAGAACGTGGAGTGGAAGTGACTGCATGAGCTTTCTAATTCCTGAAAACCTCTGTCTGTGAACACTGTTAGTTGCTGCTCAAATGTCGTTTAAAACTGTACAATACAAAGAGAAAACCATTGACTTTAAATCACCTCCACTTTCTCTGGAATTGAACCATTTTAAGATGAACTGGGGTGAAGTGGTCTGAGGAATCAAATTTGACATTCTTTGTGGAAATCATGGACATGGTGTCTTCTGTTCTGAGGGGGTGGGACCACCTAACTTGATTATCTATCAGCACACATTTGTAAATTGTTAAGCAGCTGAAAGTTTTAATCAGGCAAGAATGAAAAAAGATTTTGCAAACTACAAAAACTGTTCTCCTTGGTTCCCAAAACATTTATTGAGTACTTTTTAATGAATGGGGGAAAACATTTTAAACATGTCAACTTTTTGTAAAGTGTTGTTGCCATCAAACTTTAAAAGAGCATATATTTTTTTATTGATACAAATTTTCAGTGAACAACATTTGAAAAGTTACCTTAGCACTATGATTGATAATATAGAGACTATAATGATAAGCAAACCATCAAAACCTACAGCATCCCAACTGTCTTTTGGAGTTGGGGTTGAGTTAGCTAAATGCAGTGACGGGGAAATGCAACACACCTTGTTGATGTAAAAGCACTTTTTTTTTTTAGGAAGACAATTCACAAATCACTGCAATCTTGATCAGTATTAATGACAACTAGTATACAAAGTATAGGAAAGGTCAGGGTCTAGTACATGATTCTGCTAATATGTCAAGGGATAAAGGAAATTATTGTTGTCTGAGAACAAGCGTTAACACCTGAATATAAGCATGTAGTGCCGAAAGATCTTAAGATTTGAATGGCGGGCTGGATTGACCCCCCTTCTCCATCCCCTGACTGCCATGACAGGCTCACACCTGAGCAGTGCAGTGATGTCACCTCCCATCCCAGTGATGGCTGTGTGGCTGCCAGACACGGAGACAGAAGCATATGTTGCTGATATGGCTGTTCCAAATGTGCAAGGAGTCCAGGGTTAGAAACCAGCACCAGATGGTTCATCTAAATTTGTAGAGAGCGAAGAGGGGAAAAGAGGAAAAAACAAATGCCACCTACTGGCTCTGAGCCAAGGATCCAAATGTATCATTTTGGAAAAAAAAAAATCGAACTGGCTCTATTGCAATTTTATCAAAGTGTATCATACACCTCACATTTTTGACATTTGAACTTTATTTTAACAACAAAAAGGCTGGGGGATCATTCTTTCTTTTAATGGCTTAAAGTGCTTTCACTTGGCTGAGAATCTAAAGATTTGAAGTCATTTTATTTACGCTAATTGCATTAATACTTCCAGTGTTTGAGTCTTACTGCCAACAAAATGTATTGAATGAAAATGAATGAATAAACCACATGTTAAAGGGACATAAATTAATCCTTTAAAGCATTTAGGAGCTAGTTTTGATCCATGAAGAAAGTATTTTTTGCAACTGTTCAGTGTGTGCCCATTTTTACCACTCACAACTTGCAACTTTGTTAGAAGGGAGAGAGAAAAAGTCAAATGTTAAACTTTTTTGAAATAATGCATTCTCTGAAGGCTCTCACCTGGTCGAGCCAATTTGGCCAGATTTAATTAGAGAGCACAGGAAGTAGTCTGAGACAGCGACCAGGGAGAAACCAGCCTCCCTGTTATCTCCCCGGCTCCTTAATTCCTCTGCCACAGGGAAAAGCTCAATGTTCATCATCTGTCAAATAGTTCTCTGTCTGTTTTGAGGACAAATTGACATGGGGAAACTTTTATTTTTCATAAAGATTTTTAAAAATATCAAGTAAAATCTTAAATGTTGATGATTCAATCCATGTTAAATGATGTAATTCACTCACACAGTTAAAATAACAAAATGCTACTGGGACACTAACAGTGTGTGTCCTCATGTAGTAAGATTATCTATTTTGTACTGTTGTCTGTCTGTAAAGCCTTCTTCTTTTTTTTTTACATCATTTTTATTACTTTGATTACAACAAGCTTTACAGTGACTATTTTCCCTGAGTAAATATACCCACCCAACATGTATGTATCTCAATCCATGTCCTCTCCATGATTTAGAGCAGTTTGTATTCACAGGCACCAGAAATGACTGGTTGCTTTTCTGTCTGAGAGAGGAGAGGGACTGAGTGTGGAAGCAAAGAATATCAGCACTGACGGCACAGATATAATTACATCTGTTAATCTATATTTAGAAGTATTATCTCTGTGTTAGGATAACATTTAAAACATGGTTAAATATTAAAAGTGCACATGAACACCTCTAAAACTAAAATGTAAATTTTGCACTTCAATTAGTGGTTTGTGCATTAAAGCTGCTGCTCAGGAAGATGCCTTGCGGTTGAGTATATCTTGATTTCAACTTGTGTCTGGTTATTTTATCCTAGCAAATAGCATTTGTATCTGCAAAGGCAATACAGATATCCTTATCTGGGAGTATTTGCTTCAAAGATCAATGCACCTGCACTGTCCGAACAGTCTCTCTCCTCCATGAGGTCAATGTACAGCTTCTTAAACACGCTCCACTTTTTTTTCAGATCAGCTCACTCTGTTACATCAGCTGAGCTCTTTAACTTCCTGCAGTCTATACTGAGAGTACACTGACGCAGTCCAAATGGCTTCACACATATGAATGCACATGTGTACATGTCTGGAATACAAAATGCACTCATGCAGGCTCACACACGCGCACACACACACACACGAGAGCATACACAGTGACCTTCTTGTCCCCTTGTAACATACAGACGAGTCTTTCCCCAGTGTTCCCACAGGACTGAGAGAAAGCTGAACACCAGTTGCCCTTGTTCAGATTGTATGTATCAGGAAATTCTCACAGTGAACTTAACTTTACATGTACAGGATTGATAGCATGCAGACTGTGTTTTAAAGCCTGTCGCTGGCCGCCTTTGTTCAAAAAGGACAATGATCAAATCATGTTTGACTACCATTTGACCTGTTCTTCAGAAGTCTTTCAAGCTTCAGCCATTTCAGTGCTAACCTCCTATGGAGCAAGTTAGGTGTTCAGTGTAAGTTACCATGGTGATCTACCTCAGTACAAAGTGACCCATCTTTGTAGTGCTGAAAACCTAGAGTTAAACCCAGAGTTATCTCATAAACCATAAATCATTCACAGTGTATCCCTCTGGACTAACATAAACAACCAAATCAACGACACAGCAAAGATAGACAAAAAGACAACAATAAAGACAAATACAGCAATAAAAGGGAGAACAATGTGAAAGAAACGTGAATTTTAATAAGATCAAAGGCAGCAAAAAGGCAACAAAAGTTCCAACAATAACAAATACAGCTACAACAATAACAAAGACAGCTACAAAAACAGTGACAACTACAACTAACAAAGTCACAGACTAAAACAACAAAAACAACAGTAAAAATAACAACTACAATTATAACAGTAACAACAAGAGCAAAAATATCGTCAATAACAACAAAAACAACAGTAAAAGTTGACAACATTAACAAGTTTTCTGAACAATAACGATAACTGACAAGAACAAAGGAGTAAACCATGACAACTTTAACAACAACAACAAAGATGACATCAAAATTACAACAATAAAACCCCTCAAAAATGGCACAACAATGTAACAACATTAGTAACAGCCATAACAGCACAGAGGACAATCATAACAGATCACAGCAATGAAAATAATAATAAAGATGAGAAAACATCATAAACAATGACAAGGACAACATAAAAAACAACACCATCCACAATAATGACAACAATGAAAAATACAAAAACAATAAAAATAAAAAAAATCTGCTTTATATATTTGTTGAAATTCAAAGTTAAAGTTAACAGAAAATGACAATCCTAGGCATCAGTCAGGACCTGGTTGTTTTACATTTTGACTTTAGGATCAGTCACTTCCTCCTCTGGTAATGTTGTCACTGGAGTTTGGGGCTCACCTCTTCCCTACTGATGTGTTGTGATCAATGGTGCACAGACATTGGTAATGGGGAACCTTTCAAATGTAAAATTAATTACCTGCAATCTGACAGCATCAGGGAAACTCAGCATGTATTTTATGCTTAGTTGGTACTCCATCCTTTTCCACGCTTGCTTTAGCAGCAGGCATTGTGTGTATGTGTGTTTGTGAGTGTGTTATTTGGTTGTTGAAATAGGGAGCCTGCTGGAGACTCGGTTCTTTCTGGGGGGTTTAGATATGGCAAATCTGGCCTCTAATTTTTGTCATGTGAGACTGAATTTACCAACAGGAGATCGATTAATCTTAAAAATCTAAACCCAGGATTAGTCATTTACTGTGGAGGGAGAATCTCTAAAACTCCTTTGCTGTGGTTCCTGCTTGTTTGATGGTTTAAAAATGACTGTGTGTGAAAAATTAAATAGATTTAATGATCAAATTTACAGGTTTGAGTAACTTTCTGACATCCATTAATCATATTTTCCTCTTAAGCTTTAAAATGACAACTGAACAGGATACTGAGGGGCAAAAAGGACAGATTTTTAAAGGAACAATGTGTGTAACTTTACACCACGTGTCCATGTTGTTACTGAGAAAACTTTAACATCTTAAGCTGTCTTTAGTTTGCAAAAAATATTTGTTCACTAAATGGAGAGTGGATCGAACATTTTTGATGCATTCCAGTTAAGTCTGGAAATCTAAACACTGATTAGCTTTTGTGACACAACATCAAGCAGCAACTTAAACCTGTTGCACTCACATTGCAGATATCTATTTATAGTGATACATAGCAGTTTTTGTGTTGTTCTCTGTTTGCTTTTATACTCCATACACAGTTTTTCATAAACAGTGCAAACACCAAAGTGTGTTGTCTGATTACAAACATATGACAAATGGAAAGCAGGACACTGTAGTGTCTAGTGTCTCCCCTCTGTACAGATTGAACATTTGTCTAACATCTGCAAACAGAGATTCCAAATGCTTATATTTACAATAAGAAAAATAAACATTAAGGCAAATTAATAAGGAAAAGAAGATTAATGGCAGACTCTAATTTTTTCCACTTTAAAACAATTCAGTTGATTGACTGAAGTACTGTATAGTTGTTTTGTGTTGTACCACCACCCCGTCCTCGGTGGAGTGCTTTATCTGAGGAGACCATCAGGTGCTGTGAGTCTGACAGTCCCAGTGTTTGGTGGCTCTCTTGGCATGCTGGTATCGATTACCTCCCCTGATTTAATCTCCTTCCTCTGTTTCCGTGTCCAGCTCCACTCAATCTCTGCAGCTGTAGAAAGCAGTGATGGCTACATCAACCTGCTGTACACAAACTGGCAGCAGGAGGGATGTAGAGGAAGAGTGAGTGGACAGTAAAACAATCAGGGGAAAGGAAAAGAGTGCAAGGTTAGATCTAGAACTGCAGTTTGTCTTTTTGTTCACATTGTCTTAAACATTGACCAGATACACTAAAAAAAAACAATGTTTTTCCGTTAATCAGGAATAAGGTGTGAAAAATGTAATTGCAAAGCTTGAGTGGGTTAAAAAACAGGCAGTTTGAGAGGTGACCTTGTCTGCTGTTTGTGCTTGTCCACTATTGACTTGGGCCAGGTGGTTGTGTCAGGCCGTCAAGGCTGAACAGGTCAGAGAAACAACATTTGCTACTGTTCTGTTGCTTTAATAAGACTCATTAATATACTGCATGTGTCACCAACAGTGTCTGACTGCGTCCCCTCTGGGCTAGGCTAGTTTTGGCATGACATGAAGTAAGGACACACACATTCACTGAACTCAGTCCATTCCTCCAATGTATCATAGCTGAGCTCTAGCACTGCCTGTGACCTCTCTTCTCTTATTCATCTGTCTGTGTGAGAGAGAGACAGACAGAGAGATGTGCTAGTTTGTGAGATGGGTTAGCCTTTTAAACATGTAGTATGTTACAAATGATAGGCAGATCATAACTTATTAATAACTGCTTTGTCAGATGATTTTAATATGGTAAACTATTGTATTTGACCATGGCCAAGTTGTTGTCTTTTGATGAAATACAACTAAACAAGTCCCAAGTATGTCTGTGAGAACTTCTCAGATGAATTAAATGGTCAGATTAGTTCTGTTACTCAATGTTGCTAGACTTCTTCAGCCAAAAAGTAGAGAAGTCCTCAATTACAAACAAGCCATTGATATGGCTCCCACTTTTTCAAAAGCCCGTTTTGGTCCCCTGCAGTTTGAGCAGTCTGAAAACAATGTTACTTAATGATATAGCAAACCGATACAAGTAAGGCACAAGGAACAAACAACCGCTCAAGCCGAAAACTGGTTTCCCTTGGTTTGGACCACCCACAAGGTCCTTGATTGGCCGCTTTTTGTGTGTGCTGTCATTCATTCCATGCCAGCCGGACTAGTGTTCTGCAAGTTGCTTGTAAGAGTCAGTCCTTGAACATCGCTATTTGCCGATGTATGTTTACAGGAGGGTGGCATTTGTTTTCCCTCTGTAACTTCACATTCATCTGAGGTTTCATTTACATCCCTGTATAGTCACCTGTCCCCCCCACCTTTGAAATCAGAATTTCCTCCATGCATGCACCTCCCTGATATAACCATGATAAATTGGTACATGACTATAGACCATTATTGGCTGGGAGAAGTAACTTTTTGAAGTTATGTTTAATGACAACTGACAGAGTTTCCATGAGTTTCCGGCTTCAAAAAATACTCTGGCATGAAACTCTCACCAAACCAGACCCCCTCCCAATCCCACCTTTTATCTACACATAAGTAGCTAGGCTAGCTATCTCCAGGCTACCTTGCTGGTGGCAGTATTAAAAGTACAAATAGTATTAAAAGTACAGCCAAGGTAGATGTTTCAGTTTTCAACTAAGTCCCACTAGAGTGAGCAAACAAATTTCATGATGCTAATACATGATGCTTTGCCCCTGTTAATTTTCCTGACCAAATTAACTCAAAATTCATGCTACAGGTTCCTAACTGCCTTAAATCCTACTCGTTGTCCTAATTTGGGAGTCTGGGGAGGAAATAAAAGAAAAATCAATGCAAAGTAGACTTTCCCTGTAAGTATCATACGCTGTGGTTTTCATTGGCTGCAATGTTTTATGATTCTTAGTGCTGTTAAAGCCTGAGGAGGCTGTTTCCATATAAAGTTAGTGGAAAGAGTATTTCACTTTTACCACTTCCCTTTCCTACTCCCACTCAAGGAGTTTTATTGTTCTGGTGATTATTCTTATTTTTCTGCTTGCCTGCAGCAGTTGAGCGAAGCGTGAAATCATTTGATTCAAGATGCACTTTGATGGACTATCTAATCACATGGTGGAAGTTTGCAAAACCATAACCTCCGGAAATAGAGGTTGTTTGAGGCAGTGAAATATTTGAATGGTCTAAATGCATGGATATTTTCTCTTTTTTTTCCTCTCAGTGAGGTGAAGAAAAAGAAGAGATATTCCAAAATGCCTGCAGTCTCAGTTACACATTGCATGAACATGACGCAACAGGGAAATAGCATTGTTGGTGTGCCATTTTTAAATATTCCCACAGTGACGGGTACACGGTTTATTATGCCCACATAATCAGATTGGATAAAAATGGTTTGGCTAAATGAGACCCTACATTATACTCTGCATGACGGTGTAGCCACAAAGCCATAAAGGTTGGAGAAGGTTATTACTGTTGGTTGAATGGTGCAAATCTCCAGAGTCTGCAGCAAAATGAGGTAGTGTGGAGGATGAATGAATAACTACACACCTTCAGTTACTGTCAAGGTGGCCTTCAGCAAGGCAACAAATCTAAACTGCTCTGGAGGAACCGATCGATAGTAGTCAGTTAATATTTGAATGGGAAGCAATGCATTACAGCAGAAAGAGATGCTTCACTCTGTAAACAACAATGTCAGTTTGTTGTTTATTGATCTCATAAATACAGACTGGAAGGTTTAAAGACTTCAGGTGAAATAAGATGTACATTAGTGGCATTTAAACATTTAAACGTTCAGTGCTTGTTTCTTGAAAGTATTGTTTAGTCAATGTTCCCATTGCCAAATTTTCTTTGGTTCTTCTTGTGTGGAGCAGCTTGTGTTTGCTTGCTTTTTTTTTCATCCAAGGGAACATTTACTTTGGGGTGTGGCGGACATGCTTGTGACATGAGCTGCTGCTCTGAACTTCATAAAGATGATATTCACCATTTGTGTCCGGACAAGCAGTGGTCTGCTGCTCTTTGCTCAAGTGTCATTGCTTAATGCGGCCGTGGTGTCCTTCTACCTTTACAGGCGGTGTCACTACATGTGATAAGCTATAGTGCCAGAGTGTGTTTGTGTGTTTTCTTGAAATTCTAGCAAGTTTTAAGGCTTAACAATAAGTAGAGCTCAACGTTGAACTTTCCGTCATTACTCATGTTTGAAGAAAATGTTAGCACAAGAGTGTGCCTGAGGTCTGTCTTTGTATAATCATACAACGGATCTATCATAAAAAACAGCTCAACATGCTCCTGCTTTCTAGTGCTATGATGTAGACATGTATGCTGATTTTCTGTGTGGCACGATACCTGGCATCGGTACAGTCTCGCCAAGACTCTGGTGGAGCAGATTCTACGCCATCTGGAGCTCGTGCATTTACACCACCCCACCCAAGCCAAGAAGATGATTGCTATCAGCATGATTACGCCTTTATTAGATTAGCTTTGCATTGTTTACAGCAGGCTCTGCCCATGCAGGCTTTGGATGAATACTTTCCATTTGCCAATGGACGGGTGGAGTGATCAACTCAACAGCTGCTGTGAACACTTCCCTTATTGCTACAAAAATGTGTAACTCTCAGAGGAAATTATAAGGAGAATTCAGAAACATATTCCGCTGTTTATTATTCAGTGATATCTTGCTATGGCAGCCACTTTGTGGATGTATTTGTGTTTGTAGCCCTCGGCTGTAAAGTATATAAAAAAGTGGTATGAGTGAATGTATGCTGAAACTCTAGTATTGTTTAGTGGTAGTTTTTACTGCTGGTTTGTTGTTAAGTTTGTGTGAAAAGACATAATACTTTATGTTTTTTTTTATAACCATGGAGTAATGCACACATGAATGGGATCCTTTATGCCATCTGAGCACAACTTCATGTGTTGGAAAGGAGGAGGTTACACGACATAAAAATCCCTCCTCAGAGAGGTTTTGCAACAGCACAGATTTACCTACACTCAGTGCTCTGGGTCTGTTTTGTACTCATATTCCCCCCAATTCATGGGACCTCAGGTAATGAATAATGTTGTCTCTTCCTAGATTTTCAGGATTTGCTGTTTTTATCAAAATACAAAACAGTTTGTAATTTACTCAGTTGGTTTTGCAAAGAAACTGTAGTCACTCAGTAAACATGGAGGTAAAAGCGGGACTTTAGTGAAGGCTCTGTTTTCTTTAGTTCCACAACACATTCAGTAAATCACAGACGCCTCGTTTATATCACCCATTCAAGAGCAATACATACCAAACCAGTGTCAAGGATAAAGGGTACTGTCATCCAGGACTACAGAAAGAGTGACAATTTATCTGAACTCCTCCAAAACTGCTGTATCGTTATTCCAAATCTGTTGTAAAGCACAAATGGGAAAAGAGTCATTTTAAGATGAGATAAGATATTCCTGTATTAGTCCCACAAGAGGAAATTCTAAATTTACAGCAGTGATAAATACAAAAGAAAGATTGAAGTCTGAAGAAACTGTGGAGTTATAAGATAAAAAAGACAAAAAAAAAAAAGTGATTTATTGCACACTGAGATTTTTGTCGTGGAGTCTAACAGCTGCAGGAAGGAATGACCTGCGATACCTCTCTGTAGAGAGGTACACACCTCAGGTAGAGCATCTTGCCACTGTTGCAGGTCATTTCAGCTTCATGCCCAGGAATGAAGACATGATCAGAGGAGAGAAATGCTCTGCCAACGTCTGTCTCCTTTATGCCAGTGCATGGGGAGAAGGGAAAGGTAGTGGGCAGAGCCAACTTTCCACTCCAGCTGGAGAGCTGGTGAGAGGCATTGTTTCTCTCATCTCCTACTGTCAGCCCTTGTAGTAGCTGCTCTGCAAGGCTGACCACTATTTTTAAAATAGCATTGAGTCATCTCGCCAGACACTGTAGTGGCCTAAAAATGCTGTACTGTTACAGTACCTGGAAAAACTGAGCTTTTATTTTTTCAGATCTAAAAAGGTTTACACTTTTCTCTGGAGCATGTTCTCTGAGTTAAAGGCCTGATACTTTATCTGACAGGAGACTGAGATTTCCTAACGTGTGTAAGTGATGTTTCATTCAAATACTTTATCTATAGATGTACAAAAATGTCGAGTTTGCTACTTAGATTTGTCTCTCACATGTTCACTTGTGTCTTGGGCTGTTTCCTCAAACCCCTGTAGGTCTCTATCCTCTACAGTGACTCCCTTCATTACTGTGTAAAAAGGAGTCCGTTAATATTCCACTCACACCTACAGCTGATAGTCAAGTCAATGGTCCACAGAGCCTCACTGTCCCTCTCTGTCAATGCTGTCTCTGACCACACTTTGCTCTTTGAACAGACTTAACCTTTCTTGCGTGTAAACTACCTCCCTCTATTGGTCATGCCAGGGAGTTCAAGTAACAAATCAGCACTGCACTGAGACTGGGAATCAATGTCAGCATAGATTAATCCATAAACAATGTCAATTGAAACATGCTGTGCAGAAATATAATTAATTTTTTGCATTTCAACTTGTCAGTCAATCAATATTTGCCCCAGTTATCCTTTGTTAAGCAGCACTATTAACTTCCAGTCATTGAATTTGTAGCTATCAAAGATGAATTACTGTCTCTTTGAAATGATGCAGCGCTTTAATGGAAATTGCAAATCACTGGTGTTGGTTCACCGTCCTGTTATTACAAGAAAATGAGTTTATGATTCTGTTTTAAGAAATTTAAAAAACAAAAACTAATGCTGTTATTTTTTTATTTTTTTTGGCTCTTCAGGTCCAACTGGCTGAAGCCGTGCTGCGGTCGTCGTGTGGCCCTGTGGCAGGTCTGTCTGCTCAGTGCTGGCTTCAACTGCATCCTGGTGGCCTGCGTCATCCTGGTGGTGCTCTTCCTGTCCCTGGAACTGCTCATCGACACCAAACTCCTACAATGTAAGTCCAGCGAACATTTATTTTTACTATCTTATTCTTTATTTTATCACAGAGAGGTTTGCTGGGCATGCTTATTCCTTTCGGGTCAAAAATACTGAGTGGTGGTCACTAAACACCTGGGAGGCATCCTGTGCTCTAAGAAGCAGGTGAAGCACAGGCGCTGGAGGGATTTCAATGTTAGAGTGTCTGTTTTTATTGGGTGACTTTCCAAGCCAAGATTTCCTTTCATTCTTATATAATCTTTTTTAGTTGTACACCAACAATGGTACATTCTTGGATACATAAAAAAGGTGTGAGTTTAAGATGTTTCCTAAAAGGATATTGGGCCAACACTTGAAAGTGAGAAGGTCCTGGTTTCAAATCTCAACTTCACACTGAACTGTAAAACAGGCATTGGTTTAGCCCAGCTTACAGAGCAGGCATCTCATATACTGTGACTATTGTCTTTGTTGTACTGGTTGCAGGATTGATTCCTGGTCCCTGTGTGTCAATTGATGCATGTCATTCCCCAGCTCTTACCCCATATTTCCCAGAGCATGTACATTAAAGTCTTTAAAGCAAACAAAAGAGGAAAAAATGTCATAGGATCAACGTGTACTGTTGCTACTCAAGACAAGTAACACAATTAAGTAGAATTGAAATGATAAAATCAACCTATTGTAAAAGTGACAGTAAATTTTGTCCCTCTTTTCATTGATGTTATTCAATTTAGCTTCCATCACTGATGTGTGTGTAGTCCTGGCAGTCTCCGAGGACCTGGTGGTGTTTGTTGGTAAATGGCTGTGATGAAGAGTGATGGAGAGGGTTGATAATGAACCGTGGCTCTTGTCAATAGCAGCAAGCACACGTCCCCATCGATTACTGGCCAACATCCAGCTCCGATGATACCTGAGTCTCAGTGTGGGGACTGCAGGACTCCAGTCACTTCACATCTATTGTAATGTAGTGCTTTAGCTGCTGCCAGTCCTCAGAGACAAATAGAGGAGTGGGCAATAAGGTTAGAGTGCAGAAAGTGAATAGCAGCAGACAACATGGGTGGACACCGGTTGAATTTGTGCACTCCTCTTAAAATGCAGATACAGAAACAGCAATTCTTTTGTTTTCTGCTTGGTGAAAGTTTCTTTCTCTGTCGACAGTTTCCAATGCTTTTCAATTTGCCAGCATTATCCACTGGATCAGCCTTATCATCCTTTCACTCTTCTTCTCAGAGGTAAGACATGGATAAAGCTCACCATAAAACTGTTTCATCTACACCTCCATTAAAGATCTTTTCCTCATATAGTTCTCATAATGTTTTATTTCTACCTCCCAGCCCTTTTTTTTGGTCACAAGACTACATCAGGGGAACGAAACTCTAATATTCCAACTGACACTTTACATTTCTTCTCATTACATAATTTAATTTAATAAAAGTTCATCTTATTTGATTGTAGATTATACCCCATACTAGATTGTGTGGTTACCATAAAATTCGCTTTCTGTTAACATCTCGTGTCTCGTGGAGTAACATCTCACTTAAACATCTTAAGGTTTGATGGAAAATTAAATGTTGATCCAGAATTTTGTAGTTGTGATTGTAATTTTTCTAATTCTCATTTTAGGTCTAATTTTTGCTTCATTTGATGAAAAAATATCTCCTCACCAGTCTATAAAAATAAAATAAAATAAAATGGAAAGGGGAGAATTTGTCCAGCTGGCCTCCACTCTGGTGCAAACCAATTACCCTGACAGCCTCATCCCCAACACCCTAAACCCAACATTAATTACCAGTGAGCCAGCAGGAGCAATAATTAAAGCCCAGCTTAATGAGCTGTGGGGATGGGGTTACAGTGATACGATCCATCCAAACACCTCGCCCACTGACATCACTGAGGAGCAGTCATCTTGGGACGGTGTTAGATAAAAGAAACATATCACCATGTGAGCCCCCTCTGCGCCAATCGGAGAGCTGGATTCCAATGTGTGGGCGGAGTCTTGGTACTTCTCACGGCACATCCAATCATGTTGAACATGGACTCAACATGATGGATTAGTGGAAGCAGTCATACATGACACCCAATGCTAATTGCTGTGTGAATCAATGACCCTGCTCAACAGTGCTCTATCATCCAGCACTGTCCACAGAGCACTATGTCTATAATATGATAGATGATCAAGTTTTTTGTTGTTTAATAATCAAAATCGAGAGACAAATGTGTAATATCAGAAAGAAAATGGCAAGCCAAAGGTTGGACATTCCTCTGACGGACTATTTTCCCTCTTCGTAACGTAACATGTTATTTCCTATTTCCAAATCTTTTTTTTCTCAGGCTTTTTTTGGTCTTGCTCCCCTTTAGCATTTTGTCATTTTTAGCATTTTGTTTAAAAAAAGAGACATTTGAGTTACAAAACTCTGCCTCACAGACCTTCCTCAGTATTAACTCAATGTTCACACATCACAATAGAGGCTGTTGAAAGTGATGACAACTGAAAAGACTAAGAATATCACAAAAGCTTTTTTTAAATGCAGACTCTCTCACCTTTCTGTTTTAAATGCTTTCATTTATCTCTCTCTCGGTTTCAGACTGTCTTCAGGATCGTAGTGCTCGGGATCTGGGACTACATAGAGAACAAAGTAGAGGTTAGTGCTCATGTTGTGTGTTTGTTGACAGACCTTGATGATTAAGTGTCAGATGTTATTTCCAGACAGGCCACCTGTTCAGAAATGAGTAATTATTTAATTCTTCTCTTCCTTTTTTTCCACCGAATGTTCGTCACTTTGTTATTTTTGGCTCTGCCTAGGAGAAGCAAAAATTCATGCAGGACTGTGACCCAGGACACAAGAGCTTGAGTAATGAATGAAACCAAAAGCCAAACCTGAGTTATTTTAACCAAATGATTACAAGTTCATTATTTAAAATTGGTAGTGGGAGAGACAAGAGCTAAGGATCTGCACCGGCTTCAACAATATTTATTGGGCGAAATGGACCGCAAATTTAGTAACTGATGCAAATTAAAAAACTTCCAAAAAAAAAACAAAAAACCGAAATGATGACTACAAATGAAAAAGGATGCAAAAAACTGATACAGCAGCATTATCAGACAACAAGCTCAAATTATATAAATGAAGAAATGCAGGAAAAAAAAACACAAAATCAAAAAAACAGATGAATTAATTCTGCTGTATCAAACGGTTACATATAAGTACTCCAGGCCTGTAGGAGCACTAAGTGAAACAGCTTTATTAATGACAGAATAAATGAAGACCCAACACTGAGTTTATCTGTTATTAGACCATGTAATAACAAACGCTAACAGCAGCCAAGTGTGTCTGCTGATCATGTCCTACCAGTCCAAAACACAACTCCATAACAATGTGAATACAACCTGGACAACATCAGTTGAGAAAGAGTTTCTGATGGATAAAAGGCTTTAGTTAAAGCTCCTTTGAGGGACTTTATATTTATGCAGACTTTGGCGCCCCCTTGTGGACAAGCTGGAAACCCTTATATTGCTGCTAAATTTGATCTTTTGAAAGTGGTGTTAATTGGGGTGAAAAAATTCTCCTTGTGATGTCTTGTTACAGTGAAATATATCCCTCACTGTGAGTATTTGCTGTGAGAAAAGAAACATTAAAAAGAAAACGTAGAAACTGTCAGTTTTGTCATCAATGGTCTCATTTTCTTTTGTACATCATAGAGATGCATCACTGTCCATTTCAGTCTGTTTCTCCTCACCGGAACTTTCAGTAACCACTAATTAGAGTAGCTAAGAGTAGGTCAGCTATGGATCTCATTTAATTGTGCTAGCTACTTATTAGCTACCTGATGTCAGGCTCTCAGTACAGGGGCGTGTCGGTGTTTGCAAACATTCATTGGGGCTTTAGACTGCCTGGAGACTTGAGTTGTCCGGCCTGGTGTGATGGCAAGGGAAGTGGTGAGGTTTATAAACCTGGAGTAGTTTTTAAGTTACTGGAGGAACTTCATGTCAGTTCAAGTTAATTGGAAGTATTTTCAAAGCTAATTCTGTGAATTATTAACTGAAGAAAAAAGAAAAGCTAATAAACTTACAACAAGTCTGTTCTGGACTCTGACTGCTGGGATGATGTATGCAGGGGGAAAAGATGGATGTCAGGCGCCATGATCCACCCATCTACAAAAACCTGATCTAGGATTTGGTGGCAGCAGCCTGGACGCTGCATTCATAGTCTGAAAGTTTTGCGGGTACAGACAGGAGACTGAAACTAACAATATTTTCATTTATCTGAATCTGAAATTTGCTCCTGTGTATGACCCGCTCAGGTTTTTGATGGCGCTGTCATCGTGCTGTCCCTGGCCCCCATGGTGGCCTCTACGGTGGCCAATGGGCCCAGCAGCCCCTGGGACGCCATCAGCCTCATCATCACTCTTCGCATCTGGAGGGTCAAGCGCATCATTGATGGTGAGACAGAAAAAATCCTTGTGCCCATGAAAGTTGTCTCATGAAACTTTCTTTATGTGAGAACAGTTAAATTTGAGGAGCAAATCCAGAAAACACCCAATCAGTCATGATTCAAAGGGAGTAAAGTCATGCATCAAAATGAGCTTGAAGTGAAAAAGCAAAATGACCCTATTCTCTCCATGATTGTACAAATTATTTACTATTCAGAGCAATAGAGTTATTGATCGGCCGTCCGAGGAAATCGCTGCCACTCTGCTTCTCTAACTTGTATTGATTGTAAGGCTCTGGTTAAGTAAATTCAGAGAGGCCATAATGAATATAGTGGTTATTCTCCTCTATGCTAATGCTAGCTGGTTCGATATCTTTATAGAGGTCACCCTCACTGCAGGCTTTTAACTGCATACGAGATGAACTGCAGTGACACAGAGGACCAGTGGAGTCTTCTTTTCTTTAATACTTCTTTTCTAAAGCAAAAGTTTGATGTTTTAGGAGAGTAAATCAGAGAAAATCACATTCACCCACACATCCCTCAGCGGGAGCTTCAATCAACAAGCGTAACAACAACAAAAAAAATCCTCATATTGGGTTTCTCTGTATAGTTTGAAAATATTTTTTATCTATTTTTACTGTTATTGTAATGTTTTTATTTTCTCTGTTGGACCCCAGTAAGACTCGCTTTGTCTTGACAAAAGCTAATGGGGATCCTAATAAACAATAAACAATTACTGGATGGTTTGCTGAGGCAGTTGAGTCATAGGATAGCGCTAGCAGGTTTGCATCAGTTTAGTGAGTACTGGGTGAAACAGTGAGCTTTATAACTCAATCCAAAAGAAACATACTCTTCCTGACAACAACCTTCATGCTCCTTGAGGTACATGTACTAAAGAAGGGTAAAAACAAGAGGGATTATCCACAGTAACCCCAGTAATTTTACTTACCAAAGCTAGCTAGCCCCCAGAGAGTAAAATTTTACCAAAATCATAATTAGCAGCAATGCTGATTCAGCCTTAAACTTATGTTCTTTTATTGTCTTAAATGAAATTGAGACATCCATTTACTCTTATCAATTTTGTTTCTTTTTATACAGTTTTTACAGAAAAGTCTGTGAAGAAATTTCTATCTTTGTTCATTGTAGGATGATTTAATTGAGACTTAAAATTAAAGACATTGTATCTTGGCTAAAAGGGAAACGTCTCACTGGCATAATTCACAGCTTTGAGAGTCCATATGGTTCAGTCTCACTGACTGACTGTGGTACACTCTCAGCAGGAGCAGCATGTTCCCTGCTTCTTTACATGCAGCCGTGGTGTCGGTTTGCAGGGAAAGAGCTTGTGATTATCCTGCTGCACACCTCGACCTGTTGGGTTTGATATCTGTGAGTGATTGAGTTTCCTTGTTAGGCAGTCAGCAACACACCTCAGAGAAAAAAAAAAAAAAACACTCCCAAACCAATAAGGGTGCAGCTGAGGGACCGACTGGGTTATCATTGTAGAGAGATTGAGTCTCTCGCAGAATTATCTTGATGTATAGATGAACAGTGGTGGTGTTAGTGTCAGTCTCAGAAATATAATGGAGGAAACTACAGGACAACATATGCTGACCATAAAATCTGATTGAAACTCAACATGTTCCAGGGAGGGTTTCAACCAAACTAAATAGGTGCAGTAAAGTCATGCTTCACATTTAATACAGGGAAACAAGGTTTTGTGGACGGTTACATTAAGTAAGTGATGCAGACTTGTGTTAGCAGAGAAGCGCTTGACTGAAGCAGGACTACATAGTATATTAGCCTCCATGAAGTTCAGGTTTAAATTACAGAGTTGTGGATGAATGTCCTTTATTGCTCAGTAATGAACCCATAGTCAGCTTTTTTGTGCCTGTTTGAATTCTGACAAGACTGACCCCCTAAATGTCCCCAGTTTTGCAGCGTGTGTGTGTGTGTGTGTGTGTGTGTGTGTGTGTGTGTGTGTGTGTGTGTGTGTGTGTGCCAACCTGACTATAAATAGGAACAAGGAGCATGTGGCGATAGCTGCTGTGCTCTGCCCCCCTCAGTATCAGAGAGGCTGTTTCAGCCTTCTCTCGGTGTTTAGACAAAGCCCTCAGTTTACTGTAATAATTGTTCAAATCCAAAATCACAACAAACAAAACAGAGATACAGGGACTCATTACTGTGAGTTTTATCTATTTATGTTGCTCATAGTAATATTCTCCATCAGGGTACACAGCAGTACCATGTTTGATATCACGTGGCTGGCTTACAAATGTGATCACAGAGAGCTGTGAGGGACTGATCGCCTGCCACCTGTGATAACAACAGGTATTCCCATTTACTCTCACTGTTACTATTTTAGTACAGTGTACTGTTCTGCTCTAGAAAGTGTGTCAGGTATATATAAAATGTGCAGTCTGGTTCAGAGAGAAAGAAATTCATTGATCAAAATGTGATATAACTGTTCACTTAGTGTCATTCCCATACTTAACTGGTTATTACTGAATACGTACATAAAAATAAATAACTATTAAACAAATCAGCCTCAGTTTTATATGAAAATTTAAATTACAATCTGTAAAAGATGATGAGAGTTGACTATAATTTTAGATCTGTCATGGAAAGGGAAAATATTCAAGAGTGACTGTAGTGTGCTGGCAACACTTCAGTACAGCCAGTGGCATGCTCAGGATACTTGAGGGACATGAGCAAAAAAAAAAAACAACAACAATAAAAAAGAAAAAAAAAAACCTTTTTGCCTTGAAAGACTTTGAAAAGGTATTTTGTCTGCATTTGAACCACCAGTAGGGCAACCATGGGACACTTTGTCTACATTTTATGAGCAAGTAAGCAACCAGGGGTCACTTTGTTTACACTTTATCCACTACCAGGTGCAACCAAAGGGCACTTTCCAGATCTTATTAGCCATTTGTTTACACTGATCTGCCAATAAAGTAACCAGGGGACACTTTTAACATTTGATTTACTAGTACAGCAGCCAGAGGCAAATTTGTTGACATTTGATCCATTACAAAGAGTGATTGAAGGGCATTTTGTTTAGGTTTTTCTACTGATAAAGCAGTGAGAGAGCACTTAATTTACATGTTACCCGTTAAAAAGAGTAACCAGAGGACAATTTTCACATTTAAGTAGCTAGCAAAGGAACTAGGGGACACTTTGTTTACAATGTATTTGCTAGCAAAGGAACCACATGACTCTTTATCTACATTTTGTTAGCTAGCAAAGCAACCAGAGGCCACTTTGTTTACATTTGATCCATTACAAAGAGTGACCAAAGGGCTCTCTGTTAACATTTTATCTGCTGGTAAAGCAGTAAGCTAGCACTTTATTTGCATTTTATCCACTTACAAAGAGTTTCCAGAGTGCTCTTAGTTTACAGTTTTTCCTCCAATAAAGCAACACAGGACACTTTGTTTTCATTTTATACTCTGGAAGGAAATCTTTTAGGTCTTTCTTGTGTGATTTATTTGTTTTTTTGCAAGGGCAGTAGAGGGTCTGTTATGATGTTTTCTACAGTGTTTCTTTTACTACAAAGGCATTGAAGGTGGAGAGCCCCCTCTTGCCCCCCACTTCAGTACTTAACTATACATGTCTGTGCTAGGAAGAAAGTCAAGATAAAAATACACAAACATTACTTGTTTATCACTGAAAGGTGACGATTGCGCCATGTGATCATTAAAATAAAGAAAGCTGTGTAACAAAAATGCTAAGATTCTCATATTTCTACACAAAGCAGGGTTTGGGCATTGTTTTGATATAGTCTTACGGTCCAACATATTCCTATTAACTAGGTAGATCTCTTTGTATGACAATCATAAAGGCTCACTCTTTGTGTTTAATGGATTTTATGACTTTTTAAGTTTGTTTCATTATCACCAGTTTGTCTTTTCTTCAAGGAAACACTTCATTTCACAAAGCAGCTGCTCTACAATGAGAACAAAAGGAGAAACTACTGTTGATGTCTATTTTTTACCCAATCTTTGCTCTTTATCCTCTTCTGAGTAAAAACAGAACTTTGACTTAAGTTTATCCAGATGTTTTAAACTACTGTTGTCAACTCAATGGGTCATTTCTGGAATAGATGAGACGGGAGGTTGACAGTGTCAATCTGAGCTGCAGATTGTAACCCTCGACTTGAAAGACATCTTCAAGTCATTATGAAACAAGATCCCTCTGGAACATGTTTGACACCTTGCTAAAATCACTCAGCACAGGTGTAGGGTTACCAGAAGCTTCTAATTAACGCTGTTCACTTGTGTGGTGTCAGGCATATGGAGCAAAGGACAAATGATCTATCAACACTGACCTCTGACCCCATTGCTTGATGTAAACTTTAACTAGCTGCCCAAGTACATTTTTTCTGTCAATAGGACGTATTTTATAACTTATTTCATTGGTCATAGAAGTCATTGTCTTGTCTTTAATTCTCTCCTTTCTCAGCATATGTGCTGCAAGTAAAAGTCGAGATGGAGCTGGAGATCCAGCAGTGTGAGAAGACCAAGGCTGTGAGAGAGGAGCAGCTGGAGCGTCTCACTCAGATCTGCCAGGAGCAGGCTGTGAGTAGTCATAGTAGTAGTAGTAGTAGTAGTAGTAGTAGCAGTAGTAGTAGTAGTAGTAGCAGTAGTAGCAGTAGTGGTGGTGGTAGCTTAAAGATAGGATAAATTGATAAAAACACTAAGACGCAGCTCCGCTAAAACTGGGTGTATATTATGGTGGGAGCAGTACATGTGTCCTCACATGCAAAACACACCACTCACTGTCCACACATATTTTTCTGCATAAAAGTTGAAATTACCACAAACCTTTTTGCAACTGAATTTAGACCAAAGGATGAATACTTTGTATTCAAAAGACAAACACTGAATAGAAAGCTGGAGGAGTGTACTTGTGTCATATTTCATTTCTAAAGGCGCTCTATTTCAACTGAAAAAGTCCCTCACTAACTTGTTCAGAGTCAGTATTTACAGTCTTGCAGCAAACAGAAACCGATGATGGATTTGTCTTGTTAAATGGTTCCCAACATTTATAGTCTGCTGCACCAGCTCATACGACCTTTGGCCATGAGAGAAACTGCAAGTTCATTCAGCAACCAGAAGAGGGCAGCAGTGCCTCACAAACAGGCCGACTCTTACCACACAGCTCATCATATTTCCTCAGAGCACGGGCAGATGATCTCATAAAAAAACACTGCAGACTGCAGGGACTGTTGATAATCACTTAACCTTCAGTTGATCATATTGCAGAAATTTAACCCCAGAAAAAATTTAATTACCATTCACACATAATGATATGATGCTCGCAAAAACCCCCTTTTTAAAATTCACATAATGAAGGGAATACATTTTTTGATACTCTTTCAATTCCTAGTTTAGGATAAACCTAATCCAACAGGCTCAAATATTACCATGGTCACATTGCAATGTGAGTCAAATAGTTTTTTTTTTTTTTTGCTACTTATTCTCTTTCTTCACGAACCCCAACCCCTTTCTTTTTCTCTTTCTGTTTTTTACACATACACTCTGACCATCTTCAGTTTGAGATTAGGCAGCTGAGGGCCCATCTGGCCCAGCAGGACCTGGACCTTGCAGCAGAACGTGAAGCAGCCATGCAGATTCATCATCACGTATGGGGCAAGCAGGGAAGGAGTTTTCAGGTTGTTGAAGGCGCAACTCCTGGAGAGTCTGATGATGAGGGTGGACAAAGAAACCCCAGAGAGCCTCATGCCACTTCAGGTAAAGTGCAGTTTTTCATTTTAGAAAAAAAACAATCAGGAAGTAATTGGGAGATTTGTTTTTAAATAATGAACACAGCTTAATCCTTAAAGGGGACAAGAACAAATAGAAATATATAAGACATAATTAGGCTTTAATATACCTGCTATGTGCTTATCGCAGTTGATTATAATTGACAGTAAAACACGTTTTCTGAAAACTGAGGTATTCAGATGAGTGTATGACGTCAAATGTAACTAATTTAAATCCACACAAAGCCCAGCTTGGGGTTTGCTTGAGAAAGCAGCTTGACAAACTAGGAGAGAGGTGCAGCATAAAGTATGTACATAATTATGTGGAACAAAAAGTCTCTGACGGTGTAACATCAGGTGAACTGGATGCTAGAGCAGTGTACAGCTAATCTGGAGCAGTAGCCCTGGAGCATCTCCCAGGCCAAGCTCTTAGCCCCTCTGCACTCGCACATAACACCCATGTGACCGCAGGCGCTCTGGGATCAATATGAGGGCAAAAAGGCTTTTAGGATCCAGTGAATCCTGCAGACAACAAGCATGTTCACTGACACGACATCAGCTAGCATGGGCTTCATCCTCATGCCTTAACTGACTCTCTTACCGGCCCCCTCGCGGCGAGGCCAGCCTGGCTGACCTGCACCGCTTGGGCTATTTCAGGTACAGAGTGCTCTGTGCATTGGGCCTTGTTAGGAGAGAGTGGGCTTCTGTCAACATCTGTTCCCCTTCACCTGAAAACCACAATAGGGCACCAGGAAACGGCAGTGGCCGCAATATTACCCCAAGGGCATAGTGGGAAATCTGGCTCTTAGAAACAAGTGGGCCTTTTTGCAGGAACATGGTCACTGGGATGAGCACTAAGGCTACAGGGCTTAAGTCAAGTCAGGTCGACTCAGATCAAGTCAGGTTCGTTTTTTATTGCTTAACCCTCTGATGCATGAATTATGAAAGCCCTGATTAAGATTTTTTTCACAAGTGTTTTTAGTATTCTCAGGACATAAAAGAACATGTTAAACTGTTTTTTTCCAAAAATGTTATTTTTTCACAAAACTACAGAAGTGTCCATTCAAGTGGACTACATGCGCCTGAGCACTCAACACAAAACATTATGAACTTACAGTAAAAAGTACAAAAAAAAGTACAGTACACCTAAATATGCCAAACTATCTCCAACATTGGAAACAAAATTGTAAGTCCCCACAGTACTATAAAGATTCAGGACTGACATTACCATGCCCTTATACGAGCATGTTGTTTTCAACAACAAAAACTGACATTTTAGTCCCTGCATCTCCAAACATGTCTCTGCTCATCACACCTAGGATGTATGAAAGTTGGCAAAGCATCCAGGGCACAGTGGCACACAGGCTTAATATGAGCACAGGATTTGCTCATATCTGTTTACAGACATGGCATTTGCAATCATCCCTAGATGAAGGCCATCCTCACTAGACCAGTACATGTGTGCCCTGGGATAACAAATGTAGCTGTTTGATGATTGATCTATAAAAGAGTGATTCATCTTATGCTCACTTGTTAATGACACTTGCTAATGTTAACTCAGAGATGTCATCCTTGTAGGACAGGACACAAGTTGGTGTTTTTCACTATATCATCAATGAGATCTGCTGGAAACAGATGTCTGGAGAAGTCTATAGGATCTCTTCTCTCCACATTGAATTTCCACTCTCCTAGAAAAGTAGGCAAATCTCTATCAAAGAGATTGTCTTGGACTTTCCAGATATTTTTGCTTGCTTGAGAATGGTCAGGTGTCATGTGCCCATTTTCCACAGCTCCCTGATCATGCTGACCTTCCCCTGCATCCTGCCTCTCATCATCCTGGTCCTCATCCACTTGACTATAGGCATCTACCCTTTCTGCACCCTGACTGTCTGTATCTCCATCATCCTCAGCCCCTACATTTCTATTCTTCTCTGGCATCCACTTTTGGTCACTGCTACACACTGATTACACTGTATACACTGATTTATAACCAAAACAGCCACAAGTAACAGTGGAGCAATTACATGACTCCTGTTAAAAAAAATACTGGGTGATGCATGATGTCCACTCAGTTGGACACATGGTTAATTGGGTGATGCATGATGTCCACTCAGTTGGACACATGGTTAATTGTAATTTTCTACATATTGGACATGAAATTTTCAATTCCAAATGGATAATATCCTTCCTTAGATGTTACAGGATATCATCATATTTTTTTTACAGCTGGGGTTCTTCTACTATAGAAGTATTGACAGGACATGCCAGCTGTAGTCAGCAGGGGTGGCTGTTTCTCGGCCATCTTGGATTTGTAGGAAATTTACTTGCAGTTACACTGATTGCTCACTAAATGTAACTCAATAGAGTAGGGCAGTAGAGAGTAACCTAGAGGCTGATATACACTTCCACCATAAAAACCATTGCATTTAAGAGAAAATGAGTTTTTGGTAGCTGTCCACTGTAGTGACCACTATGAACCAGAGGGTTAATATTGAACACTCAGGCTCTCGGTGGGCTTCACTTACACTTTAATCCTTAAGGAACTCTTGTAAAGGCTGTGGCCTTCACAAGAATGAATGACCCAGGAGATTCAAGACTAATACACCAAATCAGGATTTTTAGAACAGTAAATAAAACAAGGTTGATCAATGAGCCTCTGGTTTTTTCCTTCAGGTGTTACAAGAGAATTGTAGAAACAAAGCACAAAGTATGAAAACAGCAAGAAAGCATTGAAACAAAGAAGTATCAGCTAGTCACTTTTCTGATAATTCTAATTAAGTTACCTAAATACCACGAGAGCATTGGTACATTTTAAATATCTCTTAAGTGTTTACAGCTACAATGACTATGCTAACATACTAATGTCATCTTAAGTAGGATTTTAACAAAGTGTCATATCTTTATACGTTAGCATGATATCTTATGACCATTAAAACAACTTAAGTGTTTAAAAGGTTTAAGGTTTGCAGGTAATGAATTATAAACCAAATTTTAAACTCAAATATAGAAGTAACTAAAAGATCAGAGGTGCCCAAAGGTTTTTTATTTTAAAAAGTAGCTGTTTGATGATTTGATCCATACAAGAGTGAGTCATTTTCCGCTCACTTATCAATGACACTTGCCGATGTTAACTAAGAGATGTCATACTTATAGGACAGGACAGTCTGCAGAAGATTTTGTTTCAATCCAAAATCTGATAATTGATGAGATTTTACAGTCTGGACTAAAGACAGCCATGGACACCTGACAGACAGACACTGACTTTGCAAGAGCCATGCTGCTAAAATAGTTAAAGCCCTCACAGTGTATGAGTAAAGCTCCCTAATAAAATCTATTTATATTTAGAATATAATAGTAATTGCCTTTACAATTTGTTTGTGCGTTCTGTCATTAGCTGCAGTGTCCTGCCTCCTTGGGATCCTTCTGTAAAATTGTGGTAGAAAATTAAGCTCAAATAACCTCAGTGTGTCACCTCTTTTTAGTCACAGACAGATGACAGCCCAGTTACTTGATTGTCACAGAAAAAAAGACTGTTATATATGCTGGACAGCCCATTCTTTTTTTTTTAAGACTCATGTGTTATTAATTGTGGAGGGATTGTCTCAGTCTTGTTTTAGTGAGTGCAATGCTTCCTCTCCAGGGGTGGCTCAGGGATTAATATTTTAGACTGAAAAATAAATGAAATTACCCATCAGAGTCTGCAGCATGTCCCAGGGGACAGGGGCTAGCACTCAGGGTACTCTGGGTTCGCACTCAGCCAGCGGACAGTGAGCTCAAGACCAATCAAGCGAACAGAAGAGCCTTGCAGATCACAGCCATTCACCACGCACACTCAGGCCTGCCAGACCGAAGAGATCTGTGCCTGAACAAAGAGATCTTACTCTCTCTCTTAGTTATTTTTCCCCATTTTCTACAGTCATGAAACCAAGCCCATCCTGTACCCTGTCCTAGTTTAGTTCTAGTGTACTAGGCTGCAGCTAATGGGCAGTGTAGCAGAGTGTGTTCCTGACCACTCGTCAATGAAGCACCTGTGGCCTGGGGCAGAAGTCATAGCTGTCAATATTATGTTGTAAACATGGGAGATATTTTCTATTTTGACTGGTCTGTAATGTTTATGTGAAATTGATCAAAGAAGCTGCATGTTAAAAGGTGTAAAATCCAATTACAGTCTCTGACACACTATTGGCTTTTTGAGTCAATGATATTGTGCTAAATCTGATCATAATCTTATCAGAATAATATATTGTCAATGGTATTTATTATCATGTTAGATCAAAAAATACAAGTCTGAACAGTGTTTGATTCATCTTTGTTTTTAATTACATGTAAACTTTATTCCAACAAAACTATGTTGTAGAAATATCGACAATGTGGTTGCATAATATTATGGAGTGACATTGAAGCATTTATTTCAGTCAGCACCAAAAAATTATCCACATAAAAGACACATAAGAGCTATGTACAAATCACAAACAGAAATACATTTAGAGAGTATTTAAGAGAAAATAAATACAAACAGTAAATGTAGGCAGAAGCTTTAGCTTGTTCTGCCCTCCCTTTTAAATAATACATCCAGCGTAAGCAACCATGTACTCTAAAATTAAGTACAATATAACATCACAATCTTTAAACGCTCTATCAAAAAAGAACCAGCAAGCAACTAAAACAAAGACCCTAGAGTATCAAATCAACCTGAGATTTAGGTCTTTTTATAATGTTTACAATCAACCGATCCACACAAATGAAATCATATATTTGAACTCCTCATCACAGCTGCTCTGACCTCTTTGTTTTTAAAGGACCTGTTCCTCTAAACTCATACCCACTCTCTCTTTTTTCAAACAGCCCCTGAATACAACCAAGAATTAAATTTTTTTGTGCTTTATATATAAAGTGTGCAGTTTTAAACATGACATGATGAACAAGAGCCAGTAAAAGAACAAAAACATTGTCCTGTGTAAGGGTCAGACTTTTGTCACTGAGTGATTTCTAATATGATAAGAATTATGAGCATAATTTCTGGGCGTTTTGAAGTTCTTTTCTGAGGAGTTACTATAACTTTATGAATCTGATACACTTTTGCACATGGGCACATCCCCAAACATATGATTTTACTGAAAGACAAGAAAAGCAACAAATACACATTTTGATTTATAGTGTAGGGAATTACAAAATTTAGATGTACAATTTTTGAATCATACACGTTTGTTATTGCTCTTAGACATAAGAATTTAACTCAATTAGTTAAATGATTGCAACAGATATTCATTTAAAACTAAGGTAGATAGGGTTTTTTAGCCTCATTGGGGAAAAAATGGTAAAATCGTTCTCTAATATATTCCCCATTTTTTCATTTTTGACTCCAGATCCAGTTGTACGTGACGACATGAACAACTACATCAGCCAATACTACAGTGAGGCAAGCAGTGGTGAGCCAACATGAACCTCCTCATCACACATTACACACCACTCTTTAAAGCTCCTCTGAGGAGTTTTTTTTGGCATAAATGGAATAGACTGAAATTCATGCTGGTGACTCTCTATGCCATACTAAAGCTAACAAGACCACCAGTGTTAGGAGAGGAGATTTTTATATTGTAATTTTTAATGAATGCCTGAAACTAAGGGGTAGGTGTCATCTAAGCCGCTGAAGAAACAGTCCTGTTTTTACAATTTCCTAATAAAATATTCACAATAATACATTTGACTGTCAAAAGTCAAGAAGATTAGTTTTTTGTTGTTGTTGTTGTTGTTGTTGTTGTTGTTGTTGTTGTTAGAAGACATCAGTCAAGCACATCGAGGATAGAAAATGGACACACAATAAAAGTTTCTAAGAGAAGCTTTAAGTGAATCAGCCAATCAAAAACTTTGTGCTTAAATTCATCTTGTCCATGTAATTGACCTTTTCTTGTTTAATGTGGATCAAGACCTTCCTTTTTTATGCTTGACCTTTACAATATGGAAATTTTAATTTTGTTCTTAAAATGTTTTCTGCTCAGTGTTATAGAGTCAAACGTTTTTACAGTTTCATTTAGCCAAAAGAAGGAAATCTGTTGAGTTAATTAAAACCAAATATTATGTTTGTTCGTCTCTGTTTCGTCAAACTTTCTCTAAAGACGCTGGAGCTTCTGGCTTGGGTGCTCGTGTCATTACCACAGCAGCCATTGATGTTCACCTTCCCACCAATCCAAACCCCGTCCAGTCCAATCCAATGCTGTCTATGGAGCGAGTGGGCAGTGCCGTAAGTGATGTCTCAACCAGCATATCACGGTCGAGTGGCAGCCTGACGGCCCGTCCACACAGTCTGAGCAGTCACACTCCAGGTTCATCCATGACAGACTGCAGCAGCAGCACAGCTCATGACCTTAGTCTGAGCTACAGCTCTCACCGCTGCTGCCCATCTTCTTTTCCAGTCCAGGACCCCTGCAGGGATCCGAGTGTGGTGGTGCAGGAGCTCCTCTCCTCCCTCTCTGAAGACTCCTGCCTCGCTCAGAAGGGGCTGGCTGTAGACCCTGTAAACCTTAAACTCCCCAGCCCTACTGGCTCAGAGAAAGCCAGCCCTGAGCTGGACAACAGAATAAACCTCTTTAACAGGAGGAACCAGGAGGAGAGACGAGGCCGGGGGAGGGGCTGTGTGCTGTTGCAGACTAAACCGCTGATCCACCTGCAGGGCAGCACCACTGAGCCGTCCCTGGAGGAGAAGTACCGGCTCCTGGGACCAGCTGACACACCTCTGGGGCACGTGCCTGATACATAAGCTACATTTATACAGAAATAAAAGTGTCTAATTTTCTTTTTACTGCCACCCTGTTTGGCTTTTATCTGAACTTTTGTGAAGGGTGACCTTTATTAGAGGGACCACACAAGATTTACTAGTTGGACTATCCCTACGCTTAGTAAATCCAGTCTCAGCCAATCCAGAGCAAGCTTGAGCCTTTAGCTTCCAGCTAACACGGATGCTCCTTAACTTGCGATGTTCAGAAGTTGATAGTAGAAGTGAATAGACAATAAGGACTTCAAGCCCTTTGCCATACTGTCCAATCTCCCTGGTTCCTTTTTCGATGGACTCTTAAAACCACAAATGCCCTGATATAGCACAAAGGACCATAACATCCCAGTAGGGGGGAGTCTGATGTGTTTTTGGACACATTCTCTATCAGGAATTTTCACGTCGAATAGGTCCTAAAAGCACTGAACTTTACATGAATTAAAACCAGCAAGGGGCCATTCAAGCCTTTACTGAACAAAAACTTCAAAACAGTCTTACAAACCAAGACTCTGCTTTTCAAATTTCAAGCAGTTTAAAGACGTATTTTCTATGACATTTTTCTTCTCCTTTTCTTTTTCTTTTTGTTTGTATGATCAAATTTGAACACCAGTCGAGCTGTTCTTTGTTCAAACAGCCACAGGGTACATAAGACTGGCTTCACTCTACAAACAGCCAATTTCTTTTTCTTTCTTCCTTCCTTTCTTTCTGTCTTTCTTTCTTTCTTTTTAACCTTTGCCTTTCTGTCAGCTATCTGTTTGATTTGAGTATCATCAAAGTTTCTTGAATAGCAATTTTGTTTTAGTTGTTCAGAAACATGAGTAGGGTATATTTGTGTGGATGAAGTGAAAAGGTAAGTGAGTGGATTCTTTACATGAAACTAGACTGGAGTGCTTGTAGCATGAACCTTTAAAAGAAATGTGCCCTAAATGGCAAGCAAATCCTTTGCACTTTAATGTTTACAGACACTTTTGTAAACTTGATATGGAAAAAGTTATTGCCAAATGCAGGTGTTGTCATTTGAATGAAAATAGCAAAAATAAAACTTAGTATTTCCTTACCAGCTGTCAGTTCACTGACTCTAACACATCATGCTTAGTCAAAGATTCTGCAGAAAGATAAAACCACTGCACAGTGACACAAACTTCAGTGCAACTCTGATCAAATGCATACAGGCTCCTTTGTACTAAGTGTACTGTACATAATTTTGTCAGCATCGTATCCTTATATGCATACTGGAAAAGCTGAATAATTTAAGGTTATTAACATTAGAAGACCTGTCAAAACAAGTGCTAATTGGTCAAGTCATTGCAAGTGTGTCATGAGAGGAATCACACCCCCTTAATTACCCCCCATATCATTAATTCAGGAGATAAACTGCTGTACCGTTTTGTTGCTTGTCAAGTGTTTATAGGTATCCAGAGAGTGTTTTAATTGTTAATAACTATTTCAACTGGAATGAAGCTATCAACACAAGTCTTCAAAGTTTTGAGGACAGGTCGTTAAAATACAGTTGTGGGTATGAGGACAAACGGCAAGAGCCTCATCGCTTTGTTAATGACTGAAAACATTTAGTGGACTGACTGGACCATTTCAGATACTGATACTGATACACAGAAGGATTTTATCTTTATAAGTTAACATCAAATGGTAAGTTTTGTAACCACAAAGTGTATTTAGATTCAAAGAAGCTCACTATATCTGTGGATTAGACATGTTCATGCTTTCATTTTGTTTTGCAGGATCAGCTGTTTTCAAATAGGTGAGGCGCTTAACTCTTTTTCCTGACGTGGGAGCCAGAGCTGTGCACAGGTCAGCATGTGAAATACAACATGAAATACAGCAGTGCTACTTTTCATATTTAAAGGAAGCATTTTAAAAGGTCTTGAGATAAGATACTCAAACATGTTTAAAATTTGTCAGGTCTTATTTTATCTCATAAAAAAACATTATTTACCATCAATTGTCAATGAATCACAACAGAGTGCTTTAGAAATTCCCTACTGGTGGTCATGACTTACTGCATATTCAAAGCCTTTTGTATAAACAGGCAGCATGTAATGCATACTATTATTTTCAGAGTAAAACAGGGCCACATATGAGGATTTAGCTACACAAAAGCTAGGTGAACTGATCCAAGGTGTTATTTCAACATGTGCCACTTACTGGTTTTATCAGTTCACTAAGGCTTTTGTTGGTCACAGTGTGGATTATTGACTCAGTTCCTTACCTTGGTGCTGTAATAAAGTAATATAAAAACAGGGAAAATTAAACATCAAATTTAATATTAATAAGGTATTAGTTCTAAATAAAACAGAATATTATCAATAAACCTGAAGCAGTATTTTGTTTTTGGAATTGGCTCGTTTTGTCCATTATTAGTGTAATTACATTTTAAACCAGTTACTGATTAAAAAAACATCATATCTGAAACAGCCTTAACAAGATATTTAGATGAGAAAGAATCTGCAACATGACCTCGTTAGAAATTAAAATGAAAAGATACAAAGGAAGTTGGAAATTCAAGCCATGTAGAAAAAAAGTTACCCCCAAGAAATACTTAATTTTCCTTTTTACCAAGCTGTGCACTTTTTTTCTCTTTAAGCCAACATGCATGTCAAAAACCCTGAAACCTTTTACCTACTATCCCTTTCATTAATCTGGTTAAGAAAATACTACAATGTCCATCGCATGCTGAGGACCAAATTAATAAATAATGACCTGCTTGGCTCTTGACATACACAAAGGGAGTCCTGTTGAATATGGGTGCCAAAGCTTGGCTCAGCCTCTATCTGTCATGGCTGTCTGGATATTTAATAATGTCTCAAGTGCATGTACGGGAACTCTTCCTGGACCTCTTACAGCTCAACCAGCCATGTAAAAGAGGAGGAAACCTCCAGCTCCACACTCAGTGTCACTCACTGACAAGACTAGGTTTTTTCTACTGGATACTGGCATCTATAGAGGAGAACAGACCACTAAAGATTGTGGGTGATAGTACTTTTCCTTTACGACTAAGACCAGCTATAACGTGTGTCTAAATGATTCATATGAACCCAGTTTGTCAATATGTATTCACCAGGACAGTTTGAGTAAAGTGTTCAACTTTGACAGGAGCGGACCTTTAGGAGACACGCTCAGAAGTAAATTGCTTTTGGGACCTCTCTGACTCACCCAGAGATACAGTTGCTGTCACACTCACAGGAAGCTAAGTGAATTAACAGTGACCATTAGACACTTAATAATTAAAATGTTTTAATAATGGCACAGAGGAAGTCACTTTAACTGCATTAACATTACATGATCATTGTTTTCAATCTCATTAACTGAGGGAACACGGACCAGTGATACATTAATGTTTGAGGCCCAAAACCAAGCGGGACAGTAACCAGGTGTGATGTCAGAGATAAGGGCGGCCCTGGGATAGATGACTTCAAGTGGGTAATTCAGAGACCGCAGGTTTCTTTTGTGAATTGGTTTATCTCTAAGGCCACCTAACAGAGATTAAAATCTATTCTCTTTTTTGCATAATAATCTTCCTTTGTTTCTCAAAGTCCGGCTTTCAAACTAAAAGGGTTCCTTTGGGCACAAAAGCATAAATATTACTTTTCATGAAGAAGAAGAAAAATAAATTATTTTACATTAAATTTTACATCTTATAAATTATTTTTTAAACAAAATATAGCAGTTTTCTATTGTCCCTCTATTTTTCTTAATGGTTCATCCAATAATATGAAAAGCAATGCCAGGATTGTGCCCTGTAACAGATTCTTGTCTTTTCTGTATAGAAACATAATTTCCAAGGAAAGTATAAAGTCAAATTTACAAAATTATTTTAGCAATCCAACATACTTTTTAAATATTTTGTTTTTTGCTAGCATGACCTTTAGGTAATTAGGTTTACTGACTTAAAAAAGGATACAGAAAGTTCTTCAGTTGTCTTCTGTGTCTGTCACAATCAAAACCTACAGTACCCAAATTTGGACAACATACAGTATCCGACTTTATTTACTTAATATGATTCAAAAACTGTTTGTCTTAAGACTACCTTTATCCTTGATTCTGCTTTTAATTTATTTTATCTGGTTAGGTCCACAATCAGAGTCAGTTCATTAAAATGTTTGTGTGTCATGAGATATCCACCACAGAGGATCACCTCTTTTATTTTCCACCTGAAACAGAAATTAAAGGTGAGTGAAAGTGAGTGAAGTTACAAAGGGAAACTAATTTTGTTTTGGGTCTCCAGTATTTTCAGAAAAGTTGATTAAAAAGTATGCCAGAGGAACAGTACAGACTTTAAGTTTTCTGAGTGCAGCAGTACAAAAAATCCATATATTGCCCAAGTTGTAACCTTGGTTCATGAAAACTGAACCCAATGCAAAAGGGCAATTATTACTTTCTAATTTCCTTGAAGCAGCAATCACCATATTAATCATTTTGCATTGCAGATGCGGTAGTTCTTCTGCATTAGCGTCTGTCTGATTGCATTTCCATGAAGAAATGATCATAAATGTTCCTCCTTGAGTTGCTTCACCCCCGCTGCAGTAATGAACTCGCCTGAGGCCTCTGTACAAACAAGCGGCTGCTGGAAGAGAGTAGGTGAGTTGGGTTTAGTCTCTTTGTTAAAGAAATCAGGCAAAGTTAAAAAGATGTTTGGTGGCTAGTGCTATGGCTGGGACCCTCTGTGTACTGTTGATGAAGTTAGGTGCTGTTCTGAGTATTATTTGTGGCTATAGAGTGGTGTTTTGGTTGAGCTTGTGGCTCTCTGTATTGCTATCGCGTGGTCGTTCCTTAAGTTGGTATAACTAGAGAAGCAAGCGGTCTTGATAAGTATCTTGGAATAAATATTAACCCGAGATTAACTTTATTCTATGTTAGCTGTCACCAGTGCAGTGAAGATGAACTTAGATGTATTATCAATGTTACAGCTTAGAGAAAATGAACCACTGGAACGTCTTTGATGTTTTTAACTGTGTGACATAAAAAGACATCTAGGATTCACACTTAAGTGGTTTTGTTTGTGAACATTGTTCCTTTCAGAGTGTGTGGAAGTGATTTTGAGCCCTGCCATATGGCCCAGAACAGCTGGTTATATGTTAAAAAGGGTCAGTCTCATTGAGAACAAATAGATGCGGGGAGCACGCCTGCATTACTGCTGCGGTGTGACAGATTCAGAACACGTCTCACACAGGACACTCTTTCAGGACCCTCTGAAGCAGAGAGAAAAATACAAATAAATTATACATCACTCTTTAAAAAGCTTCTCAGGTTCTCTTTTTCAAACATATTTCTTAAGTGCACAGGATCCAGAGATTCGCCTGGTGGAAGGAATACACTCAGGAGACTGTTGCCATGGCTACAGAAGTTTTTTTTTTTCATTTACATTTTTTTTTTCTCTGCGCCTTCTCCTCAGATGCTTGTTCTGGTTCTTGGGATAAAAGTGGGTCAACAGCGGAAAAAATGGGAAGAAACTGAAACAAGAGATTGTGAGTGACCAAGCTTAATCACTTCAGTCCTCTGGAGATACAATATTAATTATTAAGTCTGTTTTTACTAAATGCAAATCACCTTTCTAATCAAATAAAATGACCCTCTATAAACTGTGAGCGGAAATGAAGTAAGAAACAAATCACTGTGTATGAGCGCACTCTAAAGTATCTTTAGCTTTGTGTTTGTGTGTGTGTGTTTGAGATAGAAAAGAAAATTGAGCATAAACACTGATAATTTCTCTTGTTGCTCGTGCATATGTCATGAGCAATCAGACAAAGACGTACGCTAGTTAGTCATCTGATAAACATGAGGACACAATCGTGATAGTCCCTTGAGAGATGGGTCTCTGCACCACTCTGTGCTCCAAAGAAGTGAATCAAATAACCTGCAGAACATCCGAGTTAATTCAGCGCTCCGACATGTAAGAGTGTAGTTATGCATGACTTGTTACATGGGGGCTAAATTAGCAAACATTTGGAGTAAAAAGCCTAACTCTTGAGGGAAATGGCTGCCATACAGTTAGTTCAGCCTTATTCAAAATCCATGTACATATTCATATTCAGTGTTTTGCTTCTGCCACTAATGAATAAACATCCTAACCAAACATTTACTGCATCTTTCATGCATCTGATAGACACAGTCATTGATATGTGTGTTCAAACTGAGTCACAAAGTCAAACATTTAAAGCCTACAAACTATGCTGCTATTTTTATAAAGGTAAATTGTTTTTCTCAGCTTATGAGTAATGAGATTTTTTTATTGTTGCATGCACAGAAATTAGGAAGGCAATGACCATGTTCGAGTTTGATTTACTGTATGAACATTGTGACGTGTGCTGCTGACCTCTTGGCCAGGTCACCCTTGTAAATGAGATCTCGATCTCAATGGGTTTTTTCTTACCTGGTTAATTAAAGGTTAAATAAAAAAAATAAATTAATTAATTATGCCCCAGCTAGATGCTGAATTCGCCCTAAGCTGCAGTCCTGCATTCAAACACAATCTAAAAAAATATGGTGAGGAAATTGATTAATGACTTAATTAGCAGTGCTAACTGCATGAAATCCTCATTTAACTCTTAAATATCTCAGTAAATAATGCATCCATGTAGAAATAGCTGAAATCTGTTCGTCATTCACAAGCATTGCAACATTTTATCTTAATGAACTGTCTGACTCAACTCAACTCAACTCAAGCTTTATTTATTGAGCACTTTAAAAACAACCGAAGCTGACCAAAGTGCTGTACAGGTCAATAAGACACAGCAAAATACATAAAACAGACAGTAAACAATATGATCAAAAACACAGAATACAAGATTAAAATACAGCCAAGTACACTTAAAACTGTCCTTTGTACTCTTTTTACCTAACCAAGAGGTATTGGCCTGTTCAACATTTTTCCCATTTCCCAAAATTCTCCAATAATTTTCCTGAAATTCCTCCTAGTTTGCAGAAAAAAACACACACCAGACCCTCTCAGAGTCTGCCTACAGTGCAGACACTGAAATTAGTGGTGCTCAATCCCGTTAGTCTTTATCGTCGTCTGACCGTGCAGCCTGGGCTAAATCACAATCAGTGTCCCGGCCGGAGCTCAGGGTGTCTGCCAGCGCGTGCTGGGGCCCTGCAACATTTCCATCTGGCGCCTGGGGAGTCGCACATCAATTGCTCTCAGCTAAATGCACTCACATATGAATATTTCAGTACAATTTAATGTTTCAGCTACAGCCCCAAAGGAGCAGAGCATCAATTTGTGAACACAGTTCTCCTGGAGTTAAAAGCCAGGCCGGATAATACAGTATGAAAGGCCCTGTCAATCTAGAGGGCCTTTATTTTTTTCACTCTAGAGAAAGAAAAAAAGTCCACCCCCTCTGCCTTCAGTATGCAGTCAACTGCTTCACAAAGTTTCCTCTGGAAAGAAGCCGACTGTGGCAGCAGTGGGCAGATTTTGGTTCACCACAAACACCGGCTGATTTGCCAAGCTTGGTCAGTTTTCCCAGAGCTCTGCTAGTCTGCCATTTGGTCTCCACATGCTTACACACACACACTCACAGACAGACACGCACACAGCTGGTGGAGGGAGTGGGTCAGGGAGTCGTGCACCTGCTGTCCTGTTAATAAAATACCCCAAAGTGATGCTGAAACCTCTTCCTTCACACAGCAAAGCTTTCCTTAGGTGTGAGAACACGAGTGCCGAACAAAACAGGCAGATTATGACACAAGTGAATGAAACAGCTGGTCAGTATGTAGAGCTCTGTGCAGCACATAGAGTAGACTCATGAACATCACTGCAAGTTTAGTGGACTATGCATCAAAATTTGGTGTATTTAAAAGTAACAAAAAAGTCAAAATACTTCAGGATTTTAGTGAGTACAAACCCAAAATCATTCAAAGATGCAAAGAAAACGGCAAATCCTCATATTTGAGAAGCTGGAAAAATGGCTCCCAAGTCTATTTTAGTCTCCAATATTCACACAATTGCATTCCATCAATCTATAAATATATTATTCAACTAACTGTTTCACTCTATCCTTAAAGAACTTTTTGCATTATTTAGAAATAATATCTCAAGACAAGAGTGATTGCATTCATAAAGAGGTAGACCCAAAACTAGAAAGAAGCTCCTTTGAACCCTAACAGCTGTATTTGAGCTTTAACTTGCATAATATTCACTGTTTCAATTGTTCTTATCAAACTCAAAAGTAAAACTTTCAGGCCTCTTAAAGGTTGAGCAGAGAAGTACACTCAGTTTCATCATGTTCGGAGGTGTCACGCTCTGCAGTGGGTGTTTGCACAGCCTGAACGGTCCAAACAGAGAAGCCGCCTTCCTCATGTAAGTGACACAGCATCGTGTTAAAGCTGCTGATGAGCAACAAGACCGCTGCTCTGCTCTGGTGAGGGAGGCTGATAATAAAATACAAGATGTGTATTTGTAAAATAAAACAGTTGGCTGACAGTTACACTAATATGGTAATAATGGCACAGGTTCTTCAGCCCAACAATGCGCAGCTGCCCCGGGGCACAGATCAAAAATTAATTCTAATTATCATGTGAATACTGCATTAACTCCGAAGAATGATAAATTATAAATCTGCAACATGGTTCTCCTCTCAGAGCGGCTTCGCTCGCATGATGATGTGATTTTTTTTTTTCTTGCTGAGGCTTTTTTGAGACACTGGCACAAAGTAAATAACTGGGCATGCACACATACCATCACAGTTTATCAAAATAATCATTTTAATATGTGGCTTTTACTTAACACCTGGACTATTTGTCTTTCAAGTAATCAAAAATAGTCAGAGGGGGTTTCTGCGCATACATTTTCACTGTCATTTAACATTAGTGCTTTTATTAATTTCTTTTTCGTCTGACTTTACCTATAAGAAAGGATTAAAAGCACTTAAAGCCAGCTCACTTTAGGTCCTGGTAAATCATTTAGAGCTCTGAACAAGACATCAACTGCATATATAGCTGTCCGCTGTGTCAAATGGGAGAAAAGCAGCATCTTCAGCAGCTCAACATGTCTAAACTGTATTTCAGAAGAGATGGTGATAAAAAACAACACTTGCACACACAAGCTGCATGATTACAGATGTAAGCATGCCAACTACAAACACACAGTTGGGTGCAGACTGAGGAAAAAAGGCCCTTACATGCCAGAATTAACAAACTAAATACAGTCAAGGCGAGATGCCTGCAATAATCAGTTTATTAGTAAACTTGTAAAGAAACGTGAACTTGTGACGGTTGTTTTGACCTAATCTTGAATAGGAAAAAAACATAAATACTAGTTGAAGCGAGTAGGAAACTTTGATTTCTAATAAGAATTAATGTGCAATTGTTGCACTGACTTGTGTTGTTTTTGCTCAAATAATAGTTATTTAACATTAACAGCATACAAAAGCTCTGCTACATGTATGTTCAGTACTTGATCTCGAAGGTTCTAGGACTATGAATTACTGCCATAAAAATATCAACAACAACAACAAAGATATGAATCGGCTCAAGATTAAAACTATAGGACTCTAGGGACACTCCAACCATAGTTATAATGAAGTCTGTGTTTATTTTAAAAACAAAATGGGAAAATGCTGCCCTGTGTAAATGGAACAAAAATAGCAGCCTTGATTTTGGTTATTGTACCTCTTGATTTTACAGCTTAGTACAGGTGAGTTCGGGTGTGTTGTTGGAAGGTCAAACAAATCAAAAGAACTTTATTTATCTGTTAGAAATAATAGTAATAAAAACATACAGCATACAACATGATACATTAAAATTTAACTTTAAAAAGGTGAATGAAAATAAGGGTTGGTGGAGTGATTTTGTTGAGAAGTATCACAAGATTAAAATGTCAAAGACATTAAAGTTGTCTTACAAATACAGTAAAAGTTATCACCAGGGTCCTGCTTTACCTTCATCCTGCAGGAATGATTAAAGTAGAATAAGGTTATGGTAGACAACCAGACAATCTAAATTAGATGAAAACCGATGCTACATCACAGCCTCTAAGTATCTTGTTAGTTGCAGCACAGCAGGATTCCTGAACACGTGATAAATCTCAGAGCCAGTTCAGAAACGGACCCCGCCCTTCAAACATGCAAGACATTGATTTTTTTGTCCCATTTTTAATGTGTGGGGAAAAAAACCCACAAAACTGCTCCAACATACAAAACAAATAGACAAAACCTCAGCTCCAGCAGGCTGGGGGGTCTGAAAGATTTGGCATGATAAATAAGTTATAGATCCGACAATAAAGGCAAAGTGCCATAGAGGCCTAAAACATTCAGGAGACACCAAGTCACAGAGAAAAGTTCAGTAATGAAGCCCAAGAAAGCCCCCGCTGAATTCCAAACAAGAACATTTCGCTCTTGCCAAAGTTTAAGTGGATGATTTCAGTCACACATATATATTTCATGAGGTTAATGGGCCCCATCAAGTTGTGATTAGAGAATCTTCTGGGAGGCTTTTATGCCAGACTGACAGCTAGAAGGGCTGCAGCTTGATGTAGACGTCATTAACAGGTCACAGACAATAACTCTGCATGGGATACTCCTTGTCACTGTATCTATTATACAGTATATGCTCAAGTAAGTTGTAAAATTAACCATTGGCCTGCAACATAAGCCAGAAAGTGCATGTTATTATTTAATTTAATATTCTATTCTATTAAATACATAAATAAACCACTACATTATGACCAAACGTTGCCAAATGGTTATATTAATGGTTAAGTGAACGTCACTTACTGCATGCTTTCACTGAATTTATCAAGCCAGCCCTTATGGATAAATTATTATCATGCAGCGTTCTAGCTCCAGGAAACCCTTATCTACATTCACCGTCCATTCAAATTTATAGTTTATGTCCTGAAATATGAGCATCTTAAAATCATGAGAAATGAGTTTCAATCCAAAAACAACATTATTTCTTTCAAGTTTCTGTCTTGGGACACGTGGACTTTAATGGGGCAATGATGTGACCTCTGGGAATGAGACCTATTGCTGTAGCTTTCAGTGAGTGACAAGGGACTTCAAGCCAAGGCTGCCTTTTCACTGTGTTTACTTTAATAAGAATAATAACATTACTACAACTAATACTAATTATAATGATCGTGAAAATGTTATTATTATTATTATTATTAATATTTTTTTGTCATTATTTTTATTATTATTTTTATTATTGTTGTTGTTGTTGTTGTTGTTGTTGTTGTTGTTAATAATAATAATAATAATAATAATAATGCCAAGCCCAGCCATTCGTGTAGAGAAAACTTATTTTGGCCCCTTGTATCCTTGATCTCATTCTTTTAGTCACAACCCAAAGTTACTGACTTTATGTGAGGGTTGTACGGTACATGGACGGGTAATTTGAAAGCTTTGCCTTCACACTCAGCTCCCTTTACACCACGGTGGTTTGATACAACTCTCACAGTCCTGCTGATGCAGCACCAATCTGCCAGTCAATCTCACAGTCTATTTTACCCTCACTTGTGAACAAAACCCTGAGGTACTTGGCTTGGGGCAAAGACTCTCTCCCCTCAGTGCAGTGTCCTCTGTTTTCCAGCAGAGAATTAAACAAATTTAGAGAAAAGTCAAATGAATCGAGCTGGGCTTCGTTCTTGAAGGTTGGGGCCGTTAGATTTGAACTAATGTTGTCTATTTGAATTATCTGGGGCCATAAATCATCTTTTGTTTTCACAAATAGTTCAGTTTTGTGGTTAATTTAGCAACGTTATCATGAAGTGCGTCATGTCTACTTTTAGAGCTCATGATTCAGTCACCACTGACCATTTGAGATGAATGATTTCAGATAACAGGACCTTTGCTTCCTCTGACTTAGATGACTCAAACATACACGCAAGACTGCAATACATTTCTGACCATATGAGCTGTCATGCTCACAAGCCAGGCAGGTATCAGTCAAAATTTGAAAGGCCATGCCTACACAGAGAAAAAAATTCCATCAGTAAACTGAGACTTTTAATAGATATGAACATTTAGTCTCACTTCAGTTTTAATGCTTGACGAGAATCTTAACTTTGCTATCATATAAGCACTTAAACGATTTAAAGCTGTATTTCCAGAAGCTTTGAGGGGTAAACACAGGAGTGAGCTTAAGGAGAAACCTCTAAGCTATATTAAGTGGCATCAGTTCCATCCGATTTACATCGTCATTGTTGTTTATGCAACTTTCTGCATTTATCACAATGGTAGGCGCACCAGCATCATCCTGACAAAAGCATCTTGGGACTCGGCCTCACAGATGCCAAAAATAGTAGCCACATCCAGCTTAACAGACACTCGGGGGAAAAGCTTCAGCAGAGAGAAACTCAACATGTTTACGCTTACAAAGCTCTCACAGATCTTGAGTGACAGAGACTGAGACTCTAAAAGTTAAAGTAATGGCTGTAATGAGCTCTCTGAGGATAGGGTGGAAAGGTTATGTAGAAGCATAAAAGACAGCTCAGCCTGGTTTTAAAAATATCTGCAACAAACTTGTATTATTTCAGGCCACTTGAGCAATAAGAAATAAAAGGAGGCTTAAATATGATACCACTTTGTCTGAAAAACAACATACCTATAGTACAAATGAAAGTGACTGATGAAAGTGAGTCTGTCGTGTTGAATTAACCACACAATACACCTTGTTCCAATACTGAACAGAGAAGAGCCGAGCCTAGAAATAAAGATCAATATGAGCTGTAATAAAATACCTTAGATTTAGTTTAATGCATCCTAATTCAATTGAAATACCATTAGATCTAAGAGCTGACAGTCCTATTGAACCATCACAGAGTGAGGTCACTTATTAGAAAGAGAAAAACTTTTAGATCCTCAGAACATCCAGACATGATTGTTCAAGTTGTAAAATCTAATGTGCATAACACAATAACTGACTTTAATGCAGTCCAAAAAAAACTTCCAAATATTAACAAGAGGCTGTTTTGACTGAGAGCTTCCAAAATTACTTTATCCCTCTGTGTTACTATGGACTCAAAATAGTTTGTAATTTTAAAAGGATTGAGAGGCAAAGAAGATATTCTCACACAACTGCATCCCAAAAATGAAAAAATGAAACAATCTCAATCATGAATTTTAATGTTCGTTATCTCAATCTGGATGTTCTCTTAGATTCCTCTCAACATCAAACCTTCTTCTCCGTAAATGTCTTTAAAAATAATGTGATCTTTATACAAACAGTATAGTAACTATTCTATAGTTTCTCCTGACAGTCTCAGTTATTTTGTAATCCTGTTAAATTACTCTTGGTCTACACAGTTTGTTCCAGCTTACAGCCATGATGCGTCCTCCACTTTGCTGGCTGCAGTGCAACACAACTCAACCTGGGAGCTCTGGTCATGAAACATGCCTAGAAGTTTCAAATACCGTAAGTTCACATTCAGGGCATGGAGATTTGGTAAAATAAGCAGCAGATTTCTTAGCTAAAATGTGTCAACAGCAGCATTTCCTATACAGATGTTCTGATGGTGGGTGTAACTGCACTTAACCTGAAGATAGAATTACAAAATGAGCAACAAGAGTCAGCAACCATAACTACGGCTGCAGCTTGATTTAAACAAGTTTACAAAATACAACATGTTTATGATGGTACTGAGAAACTCCCAGTCTGTTAAAATGTTCAAGAACAGTTTTAATAGAAGATTGTTGACCTCAGTAGCTGAAGTTGATCATATCGATGTAATGTATTCTGCTACTTGGGAGCAGGGCAAACAATGATAAAGCAAAAATATGCATGGTTTCATTTGAAAGTTATGAAAGATGTTTACATTTCCCCTCTTATGATAAAGTTCTCACCTTAAAGTCAATGCAGAGGGAAAAACAAACAGCCACATAGGTGGACTATTTGCATCAGTGCTCTTAATCTGAGTAGCAACTTTATATCTTCAACCTTCTGCTTTCACACTTAGAGGATAAAGTGCGAAAATAAAAGTTGTTAAAAACCATGAGCAGCCTTAGTGGAAAACTCAAGGTTCATAAAGCGGAGTTCATAAAGTGATTCAGGCATATATAGTTTGGAAATTTCAAACAAGAGACCTTTAAGTCCATGCAGAGATAAATGGTTTGGCAGTAAAGTAAAGTGAGGGGACGTCCAAATGTAGACTTATACCTGGTTTAACTAACTCTAATAGACAAGATAACAGAGGAAAGAGAGGAAATATTTGAAGAGACACATGCAAACACACACTGCTATTGTGTAGGAATCTGTAGAGTTAGACTCACTATTTAAACAGACCAGCTCAGTCAACAGAAATTCATCCTTCCTCTCTCAGTGATACCTGTGTTACTAAGTGGGCCACATGTATTTTAATACATTAAATCTTAACAGACACACAGTGTCGAAAAGGACGTGACAGAATTGTACTAAATGTGCAGAAGAGCTGCAGTTTGTCATCAAAAAGTCTTTTTTAATTTGTCTTATCAACCTGTAGAGGATCAAATTGATCATTTTAAGCCTGTATAATATTCTGAAAAACCATTGGACTCATATTGCTTGGGCGGAATCTACCGCAGGCTCTTCTGAGTGTGCAGTCTCTCTCTTTATAGCTGCAGTTCCTCTGTTTGTCCAATAGATGGCCTTATTCTCGAGTAGATGAGCCGAGACACGGCAGCAGAGTGTTATCTGTCCTCAAGACCTGCAGATTTGTGTAAACTAACAGACCAAGAAAGTGGGCATCAAATAATTCAATTTTAAAAACCTGCATAAACTTACCCTTAATAATAATTATAATAATGAAAACAATGACAGTGATCTTCATTGTTTATACTTTCACAGTCAGTTTAGTTTCAACTCTTCTTACATCATATTGCAGAAAATCTATTTTGGTGTTTGACCAAAATTTATGCGATGCAAAATGCAAGGGATGAGAGTAAAACTAGTAGATCTCATATGGAAATAATGTAAAATTAAGTTGAAATGGAAACGATCTTTAGTCCTTTTGTGCAGAATGGTTCATTTATACTTTAATGTTGACAAGCATAAAATATTCCTTTACATTTTCAGCAGCTTAATGCTTCATGACGTGATCAGGCTTGGTCTTTATTGTGGAAAATTTTGAATGCAGAAACTTTCCCATTTATTTAATGATTATAATTTCATTATCATATATTTCATTTCATTACATAAATATCACTTTTTATCATGTAATCATTTTCTTACTGTAACCCCCATTTTAAGTTAAAAAAGTACTTTTTAAGGACACAAAAATATGTTGAATTTCTTATTTTCCATGTTGAGGGAGAAAGCACTGCTCGAGGCCGATTGGAGAGTCCAGTGTTGACGTCATGACGTCAGGTCAGCAGCGCATGGGACCCTGCAGACTCCTCGCCCGCCCCCCCCTAAGTCCGGAGCGACACACGTTATCAGGGAGGCAGCAGAGGGGCCAGTCATCTTCTCACATCTTTTCTGCATCGACCACAATCCCCTTCATCCTTCCTGTATGGTGGATATTATTTTCAGCTCTTCTTTCTTGGGTGATATGGGGGATCATTCCAAAAGTAAGTCCCACAAACTGCTCGCTGGACTTTCTGAGTGGCAGATTTGGTTTTCGTCGCAGTGGCATTAGCGCTTCGTGATAAAGCTGTAGAGCAGTGCAGCGAATGATTTAGACCTTTTGGAAACACCGTCTCTTTTCTGTATAGCCGTGCATTTTAAAAGTGAAACCAACAATGTTTTGCTCTGTGAATTTTGGCAAAAGTCTTCATCTGTTACATAACAGCAAGACTTGTTCAGTCTGCAGGAGTCACTGCAAAATTCAGACACACAGACATACAGGCTGGATTTTTAAAAGGCTGTGTAAAATAAAACAAACCAGAATCAGAGATAGTGTTTCTAATGCTGTGGTGTTTTTGCAGAGAAGCCAGGATTCGCCATGTGTGTCGGATGTGGAAGTCAGATCCATGACCAGTACATACTGAGAGTGTCTCCCGACCTGGAGTGGCATGCAGCCTGCCTCAAGTGTGCGGAGTGCAGCCAGTACCTGGACGAGACCTGCACTTGTTTCGTCCGGGAAGGAAAAACTTACTGCAAAAGAGATTATGTAAGGTAGGAGCTTGGAAATGTTTTAATAACAGTCTGAAGCGCATTTACACTTTAAGAAAATATAATTGAAACATCTCAGAATACCAAAAAGATTTAGAAAGACGTGAAAAGTACAAAGTATGTTTAACTAAAGAGGATACAGCTAAAGAAAAAATACAAAAACACATCTGTGACAGCTGTGTTTTTATTTTATTTTATTCTAAATTACGCCACTGATTCTGATCCATTTATGTAAAGTAAAAACAAGCATAAAGAGATTTAAACTTACAAACCTATCTCTGCACACACACAGTCTAAAGTTTGCCCTGTAATTTTTACACCTCTGTATTTTAGTCTCTCAATTTTATCCCATTTTTTCTTCCCAGGCTTTTTGGAATAAAATGTGCAAAATGCAATCTGGGATTCAGCAGCAGCGATCTGGTGATGAGAGCCCGGGATAACGTTTATCACATCGAGTGTTTCCGCTGCTCGGTGTGCAGCCGACAGCTGCTGCCGGGAGACGAGTTCTCTCTGCGGGAAGACGAGCTGCTGTGCCGGGCGGACCACAGCCTGCTGCTGGAGAGGAGCTCTGCAGGGAGCCCGCTGAGCCCCGGACACCTCCACCCCAACAGACCGCTGCATCTGGCAGGTCCGTACAGATTATTATTATTATTATTATTATTATTATTATTATTATTATTATTATTATTATTATTATTATTATTATTATTATTATTTAGTATTTGAAGTAGCCTCATGTCTCTGGAAATTCAAAGAATATGTCGTTTATTCCGGATAGATGGCCCTTACATTTGAAAAGGAGAAATATTATAGATATATTTCAACAAAGTCAAAGTAAAATAAATAAGAAAGAATAAACTACTCAATAGAATAATTGAATTAGATGAATTATCACTTAAAATAATTGATAAGGCTGGATTGTTTTTTCTCTAATTCCTTACAGTTAAATGCAGATAATTTGTTAGGTGTGTGTGTGTGTGTGTGTGTGTGTGTGTGTGTGTGTGTGTGTGTGTGTGTGTGTGTGTGTGTGTGTGTGTGTGTGCCACCTCTCTTTGAGCTTAATTTCATAATTGATCTCATTAGTTCTAACCTGCTCTGTTGCCATTATCTGAATAATCTTGTAGGCCCATTTGAGTTGAGACTCAGTGTTTGTGTGTGTGCGTGCAGAGTGTGTGTGCGTGTGTGTATGTGCGCGCGCAGGGCTGTCATCCGGCCAACAGAAAGAGAACAAAGCAAATATGTGAATGATGTTCCTCTTTAAAGCGTTCAATTTGGAGGAACTCACAGAGAGAGGAGTCAGGCCTACAGCGGAGACACAAGCATGAATTCAGATCTGAACCGCGTCTTTTTTAAATGTGATGGACTTCACAGAAGCCCTATGGATAGCAGCAAAATATACCTACTATTTGGCAGTGATACATTTAAGGATTACAGTAATCTATAAACAAACACACAGACCTTACATCGAAAAACCCTGGCCTCAAAACACTCAATCTTAAAAGGAGAAATGTCTTTTACGCAGCAAAGGAGAAATGACTTTTACGCAGCAGACTGTGGGGATTTCGTTCTTATTCCCGGACAGGATGTTGTTGCAATAGGATTTTATTCGCTTTTAAATAAAAACAAAAGAATACCAATCCTATGTTTCTCTGTTAAGGAGTCAGGAAATAGGCCTTTTTCGTCTACTTCTGGGATTTTATCGTAGCCTAAATGCGTAAAAATCAACAAAGCGCTATAGCATTTAAGGCCAAACGACGCAGATACAAATAAACAAGGTGCAAAAGTTTTCCCTGGCTCTCTGCGACATTTTATGACCGTGCTTTCTCTATCCTCCCTCTTGCCCTCAGCAGACCCGGTGTCGGTACGGCAGGCTCCGCACCGGAACCATGTGCACAAGCAGTCCGAAAAGACGACACGAGTCCGGACGGTACTGAACGAGAAGCAGCTGCACACTCTGCGGACCTGCTACAACGCCAACCCTCGACCGGACGCGCTGATGAAGGAGCAGCTGGTGGAGATGACCGGCCTGAGCCCCCGGGTCATCCGGGTCTGGTTCCAGAACAAGCGCTGCAAAGACAAGAAGAAGTCGATCCTGATGAAGCAGCTCCAGCAGCAGCAGCACAGTGATAAGACTGTAAGCATCTTCGTAAGTTTGACCACTTGATTTCTACCTACGATTATGTCTTTTTCCATGTGTTTGCTTGTCTGCTTTTGCTTTGAACTCATAATAAATCTAAAGTGTCTGAAAGGGTTTTATTCCTCTTGAAAGGTTGGAGTAAATCTTTGAGAATTTAGTTAAAACATGTGCAAACCAAAAGATCTTTATTATGCTATTTTTGTGATTAAAGGCTGTCTGTTTTTCGCCCTGTGAAGATCCTCTACTCACTTAAAATACGACTCCTTTTGAGCTTGAGTTTTTACCTTACTTACACAGAGAAGTTGAAACCGTTCCAATTGGCCCTAATGTTGTTCTGTATTCAAACTTTACATCGATGAATAATGAATCAACTGCTTTGGCTTCAGTTGCTTGACCTGAAAGGTAAAAACATCCTCTGCAGGAAGACTTGGCCTGCAGTTTGAGACCATGGATTAATATTTGCAGAAACCTTGGTGGGGGGGAAACCTGTCTTGGAAATTGATCTAAATTACACACAAGAATTCCCCATTCAATTTGAATGGGATGTTTTAAAATTTTATATGGCGGATTGGTGATGGGTTGTTTTTTTTAGGACACATGCAAATGTGGTTATTTACTCTTCTAAGAATTTCAATTTTCCCCTCAGAACTTACAGGGCCTCACAGGGACGCCTCTTGTAGCTGGAAGTCCTATCCGGCATGAGAGCTCAGTGCAGGGGAACCCCGTGGAGGTTCAGACCTACCAGCCTCCGTGGAAAGCTCTGAGTGAGTTCGCCCTGCAGAGTGACCTGGACCAGCCTGCCTTTCAACAACTGGTGTGTGTGATCTATCTATCTATCTATCTATCTATCTATCTATCTATCTATCTATCTATCTATCTATCTATCTAATCTGTTTTACGCACGCTCTGACGCATCGTTTTTTTGTTTCTGTTCAGGTGTCTTTCTCTGAATCGGGCTCTCTCGGGAACTCCTCGGGCAGCGACGTGACTTCTTTGTCCTCTCAGTTACCGGATACCCCCAACAGTATGGTACCCAGCCCGGTGGAGACGTGAAACGGGGCCCCTCAGACCTGCTGGCCCCCTCCTCCTCCTCCTCCTTAACTCCTGCAGGGACATTTGCAGCATGATCCCGGTCCCCTGCATGTGACCAGCTCATCATCACAAACTACAGAGGAGTTTTTTTTTCCTTCTTTCTCTTTTCTTTTTCTAAATTTGACTTCCTGAAATGGAACAGAAGAAAGCACCGATTGACTCCTGATTTTGTCTTCCTTTTTGTGGAGCTTTCATTGACAAAAACTGAGTAGGACATTTTTTTTGCATGACTTGATACGGAGAGAGAAGATGTACAGAAGATTTCTTTGGTGGATATACAACAACAACAACAACAACAAAGCTCCCTCTCTGATACAAACAGGAGACATTTCAACGTCGAAACAGAAGGACTTTGCTGCGATGTCTTCATTGTGATCATATTGTGTCTCATTTTTTGATACATTTATTGCGTTGTGGAGTCCAGTTGACTCTTTGTCTTAAGGTCAGAGCATGATAATCTGCAAACTATTCGTGTTGTAAAATACTTTATCTTACGGGCAGGAAACAGGCTGTTTGAGCTCCTCGAACAAAAAAAGTAAATTATTGTTATATTATTTATTGTTAGGACAGCGGTTCGTAAAGGGATTATTAACTGATAAAAAATAATAATAATAAAAAAAGATGAACACGTGATGTGTCTTAATGGCCACTCTTTCTAAAGGCGAATGCAGCTGCAGGCCAGTGTTGTATTGATTCAATTCAGTTTTATGGACAATCCAGCTGTATGTGCAACATCTGCTTTGCAAATGAAATGGACCTGAGTGCGTTTATTGTAAAAAAGGAGCTGGATGTAACATGGAGACGTGCACCATACGTGCGTCTTTGCAGGTCGGTGCAAGGATTCGTCCGCGCATTTCCACCTAAATTGGCCTGGTCTGCCTGATTTGGAGCCTGCAGGTTTTGCTGTTTTATCTCCAACCTCCATCTTCGGCGTTTCCCCCCTTCGGTTATGTGTCAGGAATCGGCCAGTGGTCATTTACTATCTCGGGGGCAGAAATCTGCTGTAAATTGTGCTCAGTCCAGTTTCTCTGGTTGAGTCACAGGCCGGTCTAGACAGCACGGAGGGATCGGCGACCTCTTATCTAGTCCTGGCATCACCTGCAAGCGATACACTGACTGAAGCCACAACAAACTAACCAAACACCCCCCCTCCATACATACACACACACACAGACATACACACACACCCTCCCCGAAGCACTTGGTATGAGAGGGGAGCAGAGATCAGCTCGTAAAGGGTCACTTCTCCTGCTCGGTTTATTTTCCTTCAGTGAAATGCGTTATTGCGCGCGGGTCAGTCGACATGACAGCTCGGGCTAAATGAGCTTTTACACTGTGTGCAGGACCAAACAAAGCTGCTATAGATTCTCTGAGAAGCTTGGATTAATTTCTTTCCTTTTTTTGAGCTCATGTGTTTGTTAGAGTGGTTTTAAATGTGTAAGGGTTGGACTGTAACCTGATTTATTTCACGTTTATAAATTACGCACTGTGCACAACGATTTTATTTATCTATCAATATCTGAAAACAAATGTAACGTGGAACCCTTTCCCCTTACTTTGGAGCATTTTGGTTTATCAAAGCAAAGACTAGAAAAAAATGACTTTAATGGCAAAACATCATTAATTCTTAAAACGACACAAGTAAAAATTCGGCACAGATTGATTCATCCTGACGCATTATTTTACCCACTTTAGTTATTCTAAAAAATCGGACTAATATGCCTAAAAATCGATAAAGCTATCCTCATATTCTCATATTTCTCTCGTTGCTTCGTTTTAAAACTCTGACAGCGTCCTGATCGGATGTTTGAATGACAAAGGGCTGATAATAGATTAGTAATTGAGCTATTTCAAATAAGATAAGTCAACAATGTGAGCAGATTAAGATAACTGAGATAACAGAGGAATAACAATGGCGTTTACAGACAAGAATGCAGGCCCATTAACTCTCACCCAGCAGAAAATCATTATGAGGCCATATATGTTTCCAAAACAGATGATTTCCAATGTGGATGTTGTATATGGCTCATCCTCTAGGGAGTTACATACAGATTATGAGCCAATATCCAAAGAAGTAAATAGGACTTTAAAAAATTAATAAAATAAAAAGATACAGAACGATCTTGAAAATACGCACCATTAAGGCTTTTGAAATAAACATCTGTTTATTTCAAAAGCCTTAATGGTGCGTATAAAATATGTATAACAATAAAAAAATCTAATTCAGAGGACACTAAAAAAGAAAAAAAAAACCTGAGTGACAGAGAAACAAAAACCCAAAACAAACAATTAAATGCACCATTACGTCCATTACACATAATGCATTAAGTATTTCCTGACTGTTTTGATTATTTATTCAATATTTTCCTCTCCAGTTTTTCTAGTTTTGTCCTTTTCTGTCAGAAAATCAGAGATCAGCTCCTCTGAGCGACAGAAGTGACGCCCGAGTATCTGTGAGCCATATGATCAGTGGGTGTCTCCCCTCAGTGCGTTAAACAACCAAAATAAACACTGCTGACCCCCCCAACACGCACACGCGCACAGCTCTGGCTGCAGTATCACTCATCGGATCTCTCCTCTCACTACAGGACTGACCTGATTTGATCGGAGTACAGTACACAGCCCTCAGTGTATAAAAGCGTTAACACACCGGTTTTTGATCATTTCTCACTCATCTGAACCGGAACACACACTTGCACACACCGGCACCGGTAGGAGCAGCAGTATATCGTTTCTCACATTGTGTCTGATTAACTCCAAACTGTGTCCCCCGCATGTGTCAAGTTGCCACAATGCAACCAGACGCCGTCACCGAGAATGACACCCTATCATTAATGATTAAGAGGACGAGTCCATTTAAAGGTGTGATGTAATTCTCTAATTGGTGGAGGGGTGCGCGTAATTAGATCACCCAACGCGCTCGCAGGGACTGCAGCGCCGCCCACCACCACGAGTCACTAAACGGTCATCGGCAGACGTACACAGAGCATAAATACTGGCTGTAATATACGTATAGTGTTTTTAATGCGTGTGTGTGTGGAAATGAAACTATTAGAAAAAATACACACCTTTTGAGGAAAGTGCTTTATTGTCGCTTCTATCTAAACGAAGGTTTCCACGTAATGTTTCTATTATTTCATGGCACCTTAAGAGAGAATTACACCACCCGTGTACTTTTTAAGAGTTCAGCAGAAATTATCATACGTACATCGAGGGATGCATTACAAGTTTTTAATGTGAGCATACATTTATTTTATTTTATATAGGCCTATCACAGAAACACCCCTTTCTCTCTAAACGTGTCTTTCATTCAGTCTTTTTTGTCATTTCCACTTTCAGCTCCATCCTTCCTGAACTTGATTCTAATATCTTGAGAGTGGAAGCAATCTGTAAGTGTGGAGGTTTTCTTTGTGTCACTAATAATGGGCAAACACATTCACTTTTCTCTATCAGCCAGGCTACAAATGCAGCAGTCAAATCTTGTCTTCATTAGATTTTGATGAAAATGTTAGAGAATGAAGTCAGATTTTCAGTCATTGTATTTGGTAAGAGGTGTCTCTAGTTCTAAGCCCACTTTGTTTTTGTTTTTATCAACAAAGGTTGACCAAATATCAGTGCGAATGGATTGACTATCCTTTAAAATTGATCTCCAATAGAAAAGTAGCATTATAACATTTTAACAAAAAAAAAAACAAAGTCAGATCTATGATATGGTAAATGCAAAGTCTGTTACTGTAAAGAAGGAAACCATAAATGAAACGAACAAAATCAGAAGACAAGCCTTCGTGCCTGGTGAGAGCTCTCTATGGATTTCATTTATACTTTGTGGGAAAAAATGAGTTAAGTATTCCACCTTAAAGGAAGTTAGAAAAGTAAAATAAAGGGGGAAAAATCTCTTTTAGCTCTAACAAGGTATTTTAATATTGACAGGAATTATAAAAACAAGCTACACCAAATGCAGATCTGCTGTATTTGAACCCTCCCTGAATCTAACTGTGTGTGGTGCCTTTACATTTCTCTAAAGTGAGCCACTGAAGAAATCTTTCATATAACAATTCACTTTCCTTTTTCTGCTCAAAAAAATCCACATTTTTGTTGGACTTGATTCCAGGATGCAGGACAGCCTTAATGTTCAGTCATAACGTGACAAAACTACAGCTCCAGACACAATCTCAAATTAAAGCCTATAAGTTAATAAACTCTTATTAAGATCATTTTTGTACATGCAGTGAAATCTATAAGTTAACCTTTTATCTATTTTTAGGAGAACCTGTTTATTTATTTATCTTACAGGAAGCCTCAGAATTTTTTTTTCAAGTGGAACAAAATATTACAGATGACTTCATTTTAGCTGTAATAAACGACACCTTTCAGTCCCACCTATCTCAGTGTCATTTAGAGCAGTGTTTTTCAACCAGGGTGCCATGACAGATAGTCAGGTGTAGCCTGAGAAATTATCCAATTTCACTTTATTGGTCTATTTTTTTAAATAACTTATTATCTGCAAATAATATGCTATTCTCGAGTGTCTGTGCTGTGATCTACAGCCACAGGTTTCACACTGGGTGAATATGAATACACTGAGAGACTATATTGTCATTGTATAAACTGTATTTGGGGCCACCAAGTGTCATTTAGTAACATTTTTGGTTGGTTGTGTGCCTCCTGATTTTTTTTTTTATGAAAAATGTACCATGGCTGAAAAAAGGTAGAAAAACACTGATTTAGAGTGACAAAGGTTTCTATCTCTGTTTTAGGTTGAATTTTAAGATTATTCAGAGGGACTATCAGATGGTTTCATAATATTTTTTTTCTTCTAAATGTTTTCCCCCTTTTAGTGTTCAGCTTCTTCTAATCCTTTTTTCATTTAACAAATAGTCTCAAGGTCACTAAATTAGTAAACTGACAAACATCGTGCGACTGAATGAATGTGTGGGATCCTGTGGAGTCTCTGTGAAAGTTTCGACACTCTGCTCCTCTGTGACCTTGCTCCTCCTGCTGGGGCCACCAGCAGAGGAACCGCCGGCACCAACTTCAAGTCCAAAGGTCTCCAGGGAAGCTCTCCTGACAGGCTGACTGAAGGCAGAGTCTGAACTGGGAGCTTTTTTTTTTTCATTCAGAGGGAGAAAAAAAAAAAAACTACAGTGAGGAGGGGGGTGAGAGAAAAGTGTCGCACTTCAGGGGAGACACAACAAAGACTGAGCTGAGGGGCTTGATAGCTTATGTTCAATTTAATCATAAAGCATGACATGGATATGAAAAATAAAGCTCTCTGTGGTGTTAATGTGTCATTGCATGCTGGTCCTCCACACAGGAAGAAAGTACTCGTAAGCGGTGACTCTGAAAGTGCATATGGGCCACAAAATTTCCCCTTTTTCTCTAATCCACTCTTAGAGAGCTGCAACTCTCACCAACATCATTTAATAATGTTTTGTGTTTGCACCGTTTTCTCTCCATGTTGCAAGGTGTTTTTAACAGGAAGCTATTAGTCTCCGATGGCTAATGGCCAGTATAACATCTGGTGACAAGAATTAATTCTTCTCTGCTCTTAGGTTACACTGATAGGGAAAGGGCAGCGTCAACATCTGTGTCCTGTACTGAGCTACTTGTGTACTATTGATCCTGAGGAAT